CCCCCCCCCCCCTCGATGTTAGCCAAACATTTCTAAACATTCACTTTTTTTTTTTTAATTTACTTCAAACCATCCTATTGAATACCGCCTATTAAACTTCCACTTACTAAATCATCTCAAAACAAACCTATTACACTTCACAATTTCTCTAAAAGATTCATTGCTAAAAATGTACGTACAACGTATTGAATTTCACACTTGCCACATTATTTTTTGCTTTAAAAACTCAATAACAATCCATCGAATTTCTCACATATACATATATTTGCTTTCGAAACTCAATAGCGATGCATTGAATTTCACATATTTTCCAGAGAAACAAAAAAAAATATAATAAACGTTCAAGATAAAATTCAAAATTGACCTCTTTTATAAAAAAAATTATTTTTTTTACGGTTGATGTGTGAAGGCAGCTTTAAAGATAATTAAATTTAGGAAACGATGCAGACGAGTATGACGTCATTGACAAGAGAGAAAAAATTAACGAAAGCTTCTTGCTGCAAATATGTCAAATTGTGATGTATTGTTTTTTACTTTTTCATTTTTTTTTTAAATTTCTATTGTTAAATAATCAGTCGGGCATTATCGATTTTAGTTCGTTTTTAGAACTGAGTATTTCTCAAGACGTCTTAATGGAGTTTTAAATTCACTAGTATTTTCAGATGTTGTTTTGAAAAGTTACCTGATACAATACTACCGATTAGTTCCGAACGTAGAAGATGTATTATGTTCCAGGGATAAAGTATTTTTCTATCAGTTTTGGCACAATTAGATGTTATTTATTTTTTTTATTAAACAATTTTAAAAACTTAAAATTTTTAATTTTGGCACAATTAGATGTTAATTATTTTTTTTATCAAACTATTTTTAAAAACTTAAAAACAAATTCATGTTTTTTTTACTCGATTTTCAAGTTACTTATTATAAATGGTTTACCTGTTTAATAGTTCCATGATCATGTAAATGTATTTCTCGATGTACATTACTTTTTAATAATTAGTATCACACCTTCACGTTAAATCTTAACTCTACCCTTTGAACACTTTATAAAAATGTTTTTACCTATGACTTTAAATATACTTTTAAATTTGAATACAAAGATACTGTAAAGCACATGTTGTTATTCGAATGTACATTGACATGTTTTGACTGGCATCCACGTCTGGTAGAGAAGTTGAAGTGGTTATTCGAATGTACATTGACATGTTTTGACTGGCACCCACGTGTGGTAGAGAAGTTGAAGTGGTTATTCGAATGTACATTGACATGTTTTGACATGTAGAGAAGTTGTTGTCATGCTGCCAGCCTGCTGCCGATGTCTTCTGCCATATGTCTTTTCCCTGTTCTCCTCCACTCTCCCCATCTCTCCAGTCTGTCCCATTCTCCTACACCACTCCCAGTTTCCCCAGATTTCTTCCACATCTCTCACACATCTCTCCCGGTCTCTCCCATCTCTCCCGGTCTCTCTCATCTCTCCCATCTCTCCTGGTCTCTCCCATCTCTCCCATCTCTCCCGGTCTCACATCTCTCCCATATATCCTGGTCTCTCCCATCTCTCCCGGTCTCTCTCATCTCTCCCGGTCTCTCCCATCTCTCCCGGTCTCTCCCATCTCTCCCATCTCTCCTGGTCTCTCCCATCTCTCCCGGTCTCTCCCATCTCTCCCGGTCTCTCCCATCTCTCCCGGTCTCTCCCGGTCTCTCCCATCTCTCCCATATCTCCTGGTCTCTCCCATCTCTCCCGGTCTCTCCCATCTCTCCAGGTCTCTCCCATCTCTCCCATATCTCCTGGTCTCTCCCATCTCTCCCGGTCTCTCCCATCTCTCCCATATCTCCTGGTCTCTCCCATCTCTCCCGATCTCTCCCATCTCTCCAGGTCTCTCCCATCTCTCCCATATCTCCTGGTCTCTCCCATCTCTCCCGGTCTCTCCCATCTCTCCCATATCTCCTGGTCTCTCCCATCTCTCCCGGTCTCTCCCATCTCTCCCATATCTCCTGGTCTCTCCCATCTCTCCCGGTCTCTCCCATCTCTCCCATATCTCCTGGTCTCTCCCATCTCTCCCGGTCTCTCCCATCTCTCCCATATCTCCTGGTCTCTCCCATCTCTCCCGGTCTCTCCCATCTCTGAGGTCTCTCCCATATCTCCTGGTCTCTCCCATTCTCTCCCATCTCTCCTGGTCTCTCCCATCTCTCCTGGTCTCTCCCATATCTCCTGGTCTCTCCCATCTCTCCCGGTCTCTCCCATCTCTGAGGTCTCTCCCATATCTCCTGGTCTCTCCCATTCTCTCCCATCTCTCCTGGTCTCTCCCATCTCTCCTGGTCTCTCCCATCTCTCCCATTCTCTCCCATCTCTCCTGGTCTCTCCCATCTCTCCTGGTCTCTCCCATCTCTCCCATCTCTCCTGGTCTCTCTCATCTCTCCCATTCTCTTCCATCTCTCACGGTCTCTCCTATTCTCCCACATCACGTGACTCACTTTTGATAGATCTATGCTGTTTTCCCCCATCAAATGCACCATTTTAAACGCAGCGTGTTTTAATGCACTGTAGAGTCAAGCGCAGGTGGGAGAGTACTTGAGCAGAAGTGACCTACATTACCTGTGTGGGGGTGAGGTGTGCTGCAGTTCCGGGCACTACCTGTGGGGATGGGGTGGCGGGTATTCAGAGAAAATGAAATCAGCTTAAAGTGTTTAAGACGTGGCTGTTTAGGAATCAAATGTTTTAAAATGGGATGAGCAGGGCGAGGATGTTGATGGTGATAAGGACGTGTGTGGGTTCTGATATCAGATCGTCAAAGGATGGGGGGGGGGGGGGGGGTCTTACAATTTGGGTTTTAATAGAGACAGGCAGTCGGTGTGTGTTCATGAGATTGTCTGTTGAATTTGTTGATATGTATGTTGTATTGTTGGACAGTCTTTTGTATTGATAGACACAGTACTTTATATTGATGGACAGTCTGTTGTATTGATGGACAGTCTGTCGTTTTGTTGGATAGTCTGTCGTTTTGTTGGACAGTCTGTCGTTTTGTTGGATAGTCTGTCGTTTTGTTGGACAGTCTGTCGTTTTGTTGGACAGTCTTTTGTATTGATGGACTATGTGTCGTTTTGTTGGACAGTCTTTTGTATTGATAGACACAGTACTTTATATTGATGGACAGTCTGTTGTATTGATGGACAGTCTGTCGTTTTGTTGGATAGTCTGTCGTTTTGTTGGACAGTCTGTCGTTTTGTTGGATAGTCTGTCGTTTTGTTGGACAGTCTGTCGTTTTGTTGGACAGTCTTTTGTATTAATGGACTATGTGTCGTTTTGTTGGACAGTCTTTTGTATTGATAGACACAGTACTTTATATTGATGGACAGTCTGTTGTATTAATGGACAGTCTGTCGTTTTGTTGGATAGTCTGTCGTTTTGTTGGACAGTCTGTCGTTTTGTTGGACAGTCTTTTGTATTGATGGACAGTATGTTGTATTGATAGACAGTATGTTGTATTGATAGACAGTATGTTGTATTGATAGACAATATGTTGTATTGACGACCCGTGACTGTTGTATTGAAGCACATATTTACTCCCAAACATTAATTTCCTGCGATAGATCCCGACACATATCAGCCTACCATTAAACAATCTTACATGTAAATCTAGACTTGGCTCACACCCATTAATAAGACCTGTTTTGCGAATCCACTACTTGGTATTTAAAAGACTTAAAAGTACTCCTCTTCCATTCCATATTCATCTATTACGTCAGCTTAGAAACTAAGTTAACACGTCAAACTACACCATCTTTAAATTCATTTTTTTGTCCACTTCTTTAATTTATTTATCAATGTTGTCGTTGCACTTATTAATAAAGCTATTACTAACACCATAGTTTTGCTCCCAGTGGTATAGATACTACTAACATAGTCTGTGCACTTTGTACTGTAATTACTGCTTATACAAATAAAGCTACCACTAGTCCAAATAATCATTGTATTTAGTACCACCACTAAACCATGTATTAATATCACCATTGTATTTAGTATTTAGGCTTGTGTTAGTATCACCATTGTATGTAGTACTGAAGCCCTCGCTAACAATATAACTGCACCTATTACTAGCACCCATATAAACATTAATCAAAGCACAAAACGACTTGAATGCCAACTCATGACCTTAGACCGTACGTGACTGAACTGTTTCCCGATCTCATACTATCTGTTATTCCACATGTATAATAACGAAAGGTGGATATTAATAAAACGTTGGAAGGGCTAAAGCCATCCCTCACCATACTCATATCTTGGTTCTAGTTCTCGATCTTTTCTTAATCCTTTTAGTCTATAGTCTATTCTCAATCCACAATCTAGATTTCAGACTATTCTTAATCCACAATCTAGATTTCAGACTATTTCTTAATCCACAATCTAGATTTCAGATTATTCTTAATCCACAATCTCGATTTCAGACTATTCTTAATCATACCTAGTCTCCAGTCTTTTCTTAATCCACACCCTAGCCTTCAACCTAACCCAGTGACCAGACTTTGTAAACGAGACTGGCCACACAGATAAAAGACAGCTGACCACATATTGACCTACTGACCACACATACAACACCAGCACTTGCTTGTAAACCTAGCTCAACATCTCACTTTTATCCTTGTTTACTTTTATCATGTTTGTAGTAGTAGTAGTTTCCCTTAGATTAGTATCCCTACAAATAGAACTATTTATGTTACAAAGATGTAAATTAGATATAGTGTAGCAGCAGTTAAAGACTTTTGTATTAGTTTATTACATTAAATAGAAACTAAAGCGAAACTAGTTTTCTTTTATAATTCACTGTTTGAAAAATAAAATCTCCAAAATTCACATTTAATCAATAAGCGTTTTCCTTCAATCTCATTACGATTAAATCTAGTTTTGGTCAATCAAACGGTTGCTCCTAGACTTGGAATAACAGATAATTTATTGAGTAAACAAATGGTTTATTCAAATGTCTAATCGTCTGCTGTGGTTGCAGGGGAGAACAGTGCTCAGAATAGAGATCACCTCCCTTTAGCTGACAATGAAGAGTCTATGTACAATCATATGGCCTTGTATGAGGTGAGTTTGTAGGCAGTTTTTTTTTTACACGGTAAATTCAAAAATAATATCTACAATTAACTTTTATAATATTAGATGGTTTTCTTTTATTCTTCAATAGTTTGTAATTGACATTCAAGTATCTGCAATTTTTTTATAAGATGTATACATAGACTTTGTGTGTATGTATTTATGTAAATATGTATGTAATTATGTATGTATGTATGTATGTATATATTTGTATATATACGTGAATGTGTGCATAGATATACATATAGACCTATACACATCAGAAAACGAAAAAGAAACAAATGATATATTATACATGTTATTATATTGGATTGGATAAAATATGCAGTAATTAAGTGTTTTAATTAGCACTTCACAGTTTCCATGTAATCCAAGGCCCAATTGTAAGCTTAATGTATAACCTACGTCTTAATTTGGTCGCACGTGTGAGCCCCAGTCCCTCCCCCTCCTCTGTACAGGTTTTGTACCTATTCGCAGGACGATCTAACCCATCTAGCCCGTGTGAGCCCCAGTCCCTCCCCCTTCCTCTGTACAGGTTTTGTACCTATTCGCAGGACGATCTGACCATCTAGCCCGTGTGAGCCACAGTCCGTCCCCCTCCTCTGTACAGGTTTTGTACCTATTCGCAGAACGATCTAACCCATCTAGCCCGTGTGAGCCCCAGTCCTTCCCCCTCCTCTGTACAGGTTTTGTACCTATTCGCAGGACGATCTGACCCATCTAGCCCGTGTGAGCCCCAGTCCCTCCCCCTCCTCTGTACAGGTTTTGTACCTATTCGCAGGACGATCTGACCCATCACGGCAAGCTGTCACAGATTTTAAACCGGATCACATCCTACCAAGCCGGCATACAGCCGAATCCCAACGATATAGAGAAAGGAACCGGCAAGCCGGTAAGACTAGGTTTTTATTTTTTGAGCTTTCTGTATTGTCACGGGAGTAGATGCCCTTCTATGCCTTTTGTTTTATATAGAGAAAATTATGTTTATTTGTGGGAAACACATTTTCCGAGGATTAGAGAGTAGCTGAGCTTAAAGTTAGCTGCAATTTGTATTGTATGAAACTACTCTCTAACCACACTGGTAGTTTTTGGAAAATTTATAAAACATTTTTTACCGTACTTCTCCACACAAAAAATGGATGATCCATAGCTAAAATTAGCCTACTTGTGGCGCAACAAGGTTTTGCTACTCCTGTGAATAAGAAGTTATTTTTAGTCCACCCATAACACTGACGTTCATAGGTCCTGCACACGTGTGGCGCATTAAGGTTTTCCTACCTGCAATGGAGAATCAATGAATTTATGGCCTGTTCCTGAAATCGACACCCCCCCCCACCCCCTTCCCCACCCTCTCCTCAAATTCTCTTGTGTTTACTGAGACCATTACATTAGTCGGTGTCGGGTAGAAGATCTCTAATCCCACATACATCTGGCACTAATCACCTGGCCAGGTATACCTAAGTAGATTAGAGAACCCCCATATTTATGCATGTTTAGCCATCTTTGTTTTTTAATCAAGCTTCATCTTATTAAGATCAAAGTTATCTCATCCTGATATTATTCCATCTTTCATTTTTTTTTCATCTATTTCCTCTTTTTTTTTAAAATGATACAGGTAAAAGTAAGTAGCATATATCCACAGCATCAGCAGCATATTACCTGCAACATCATTAGCATACCCGCAGCATAATGAGACCATCTAGCTAGAGTGTGACTTCAACTGCAGCTTTTTATTTTAACTCTGGGATGTTGTGCTTTTTTTTTCTACGCTACTAGCTTTTATTTTATTTTACTTTTTTTTATTCCAAAATATTATTTTTAGCCCTGTATTAGAAATGCGTTTTCAAGATCACTAATTTTTCGATGATTTTATTTTGATTTGACTAGCTTTTTGCTTCCTTCCTCTGCCAGTTTATTTTTTTTTTACTTATTAAATTACTGACTTGCTCCTGACCCACCCCTCGCCTGTGAGTACATGATGTCTGTGGGTGTGAGACGTTGTGTAGCATGTTGTGTCACTCGTGTGGAGTTTACCAACCTACGTCACTGGCACCAATTTGTTTGTTTTTGCGGGAAGTTCAGTTTTATTTTTAGATCATGCGGTACTCGTTTTGACTTTATCGGGAAGTTCAGTTCTATTTTTAGACACTTTGTTTTCAATGGGTTTGGTCAAGTTAATTATTCTTTTTGAACGTGGATAATTTTAAAGGTTGACTATAATAACATGGATTGGAATTAAAAGACAGGATACTATATTTTACCTGGCTTAAAATTATATGTTTACCTAGATGAACGATAAACTGTGAACCGCCAAAATACACATCAGAAGAGAGCATACACATTCTGACAAAATATCGAACAGTAGTACTAAAGAGAAGACGTGAAATGCATAACAGCTTTCGATCAAAACCACTGAGAGAAATAAAAAAGGGGGGATAGGCCATTTGCAACATGTGTGTGAAGCGATCGAACGGTTTTAGTAAAGGAAAGAATGTATTTAAAAACTTTCCAATAAAAGCGGAAATATACATACACAGTTCAACTGTTTATGGAAAAAATATAGGCAGACAACCTTTACGATTTGAATATATCTTAACACTGTAAAGAAGAAATGAAAAAAATCCTCTATATAATCCGTAAAATGGAGGTGTTTATACATCCATTAAAGGAATAAAAACGAAGACGTTTGTACATCCACTAAAAGAATAAAACGAAGACGTCTGTACATCCACTAAAGGAATACAACGGAGACGTCTGTACATCCATTAAAGGAATAAAACGAAGACGTTTGTACATCCACTAAAAGAATAAAACGGAGACGTCTGTACATCCACTAAAGGAATAAAACAGAAACGTCTGTACATCCACTAAAGGAATAAAACGAAGACGTCTGTACATCCACTAAAGGAATAAAACGAAGACGCCTGTACATCCATTAAAGGAATAAAACGAAGACGTTTGTACATCCACTAAAGGAATAAAACAGAGACGTCTGTACATCCACTAAAGGGATAAAACGGAGACGTCTGTACATCCATTAAAGGAATAAAACGAAGACGTCTATGCATCCATTAAAGGAATAAAACAAAGACGTCTGTACATCCACTAAAGGAATAAAACGGAGACGTCTGTACATCCACTAAAGGAATAAAACGGAGACGTCTGTACATCCACTAAAGGAATAAAACGGAGACGTCTGCAATTCACTAAAAGAATAAAACGGAGGTCCCCCTCTCCAGCAAGACGCAGTTACTCTTGAAATTGGAGGCATTCGTCTGAAAAGAATTTTCTTGACAGTGAAGGGCCAGCCATTTGAAAGAATCCCCGTCCGCTTATCAAAGCTCTAGACCCGGAGCCGACACTGAAATCACTTGGTCAGATTGCTGCGAGGTCTGTCGATATTGCCAACAATGTTTACAAACCTCTCCATCGGCTGAAGTTTAAGTTTTTAAAGGATGCCATTTATGGTGTATCATTAACTTCAATCATTCCTGGTCATTTAAACAGTATATTTATAGTACCTACGCTTAACTAGTTTAAAGAGTACTTAATTTATGTTGTATTTTTTTATAATTAACTTAGGGTAGGCTACTAATCAGCTTGCTGATTGTATAAAAGCACTAGAGATTATAATATATGATGATCTATGTATCTGTGTAACTAGATTAAGTAATATATAGCCTAATTTATACTAAATTAAAATATTCGCTCTTGCAAAGTATTGTAGCTACCAATATTTATGCATACTTACTTGTTTGATGTATATTCTCCTTAATACTGTACTCATTATGTGTGCTGTTTATAACACTTATACAACGTAAAGTTGAAAAGATTGGTCTTATGTGCCTAATAGTGTGAAAAATAGTGTGAATATATAGCAGAAAAAAAGTGTTAGATATTTCGAAATTATCTGTGCTCACTAATGATGTTAATGTTTGCTCTTCAAGCCCCACCCCGCCTCCCATCTTTTCCATCCTACCCTTCCTTTCCCCCCACCCCCCATCTTTTCCATCCTACCCTTCCTTTCCCCCCCCCCCCTCTCCACACCCGCCCAGCTTCATGTCAAAATGATTTTTAATTATAATCATGATTAACACACAGAAAAAAAAGGCATTACGTATTTTTGTAATTGTTATTGAATGTTTTATCGATAATTTTATGCTAACTGAAACCTAGACATTAATGTCTTTTAATTTGATTAATCATCAATAATGTTTTTTTTTTTAATTTGATTAATCCTCCAATTTAAAACGTGTTTGACCACTTCATCCTATCTCAGTATCTGAAGTTTTTTTTTTTTAATTTCTGAAAGTGGGTATCATTGGGGTTGTGGTTTCCCCCCCCCCCCCCCCCCTTCCCCCCGCCACACTATGAACCCTGGTCTCATGTAGCTGTGGACACTGTAACGTTGTAAACTTGAGACCCATTGCTAAAGATACACCATCCTGTCCATGGTTACATGGTCTATACCTCATTGATATCAGTACAAAAAACCACCACCAGAGTATAGCACCTTGTGCCGTGTGGCTAAGTAATAGAGCACACGATTGCGCAATTAAAACATCTAATGAACTGATATCTTTACATTATCTTCTGTTTGGTCTATTAAGTTCATACGAGCGATATTTCTTTGAGCTTGGTTTACTGATAGATTATGTGATCAGCACCTTGCTTATCTGCCGTTACTCCTTATGTTGATGTCTTAAGCGTATAATCTCTATATCGTCTTCCACCTGTTCATCTTTAACCCTTTATTATCTACCTGATACATTTGATAAAACGGCTGCTTCGATTTTTAACTGTCCTGATTCCTGGACAATTTCATTCAGCTTCTAAATATTGTATGCAATAAAGCGACTTCTTATACAGCGAATGTCGCCTTCTTTAATGTACTTTAACTTTACTTGAAATGTGCCTTGGAGTTTAGCATACGTAGGATACATTGAACTCTTCTAGCATGTGGGACGCGGATCAGTTGAGAAATATTTGAACGGGGCCGCTTTAAATCCAAACTGGTGGTCACCTTGTTGATGGCATTCACGGCACGGTCGACTTGAAATCGATCGGGTCTGTTCCGAGATTGGCAAGGGGAAGCTACCAGTCCAAGATTGACCAGGGGAAGCAACTAGTTGGTTTGTCACAAAAACGTCGAAACTTGGCTTGAAAAAAAAGATTGGGTTGTTGTTTCTTTGGGGGCCGAATTTGACGTTAGAAAATTGAAGATTCTTCCAATTTGTTATATTCTGTTCCCTGAACAAAACTAATTTATTTTCGCTCGCTCGCTTCAGCCTCGTTTTCGTTTTGTTTTTGTTTTAATTTTTTATCGTCTACCATCACATAACAGAAATATCTACAAACATGATAGTTCTACTTTACATAAAGAAATTTTTTTAATGCGATATTATTTTAAAAAACTGACTATTCCCACCTATGTGCCAAGTTAATTTGAGAAGTGACTAAACACTTGTCTTACTTTTGCCAATCAACAAGGCCTCTTATCTGAAAGGTCAGACTACACAATGAAATTATCATTGATGTGATATCTGTCTCATCCATTTGCAATCAGTATAATGGCTAGGGACAGAAGGTTAGCTTCAATACTGGTTGTTTTTTTTTAAATCAGTCTGGTCGTAATGAGCAGTTTGGCAGTATGGGGGCCACGTCTGCCCACATTTCACTGTGTGTCAGCGATGGCGCCATTATGTGTATTCAAAAGGACAAGCTGAATAATTTAAAAAGCCACACTTTTTTTTCGGTGATTATCTATAATTTCCGCAAAAAATAAATCGAATTTTGAACATTACGCTTAGCCCAGGAGATAATTTATCAATAGCCTTAAAAAGTTCGGTTTTATTTTTTTTTAATCTATCCCCTATACAACTCTCATCATTACTGGTAGGGTTTTACTGTAGGTCTTTTTTTATTTTTACTGGTCTAGTAGATTATGTTTAATCTTTTTTTGTCTCGACCTTAAATATTAGCCTAATACAACTAATAGTATCGTATCAGAGACCTAGTCCTAGATCTACGAATGTTTTGAGTTTAATAAACTAATTATAGACCTATCTTTAAATCTATGCTTTTAAAAATGAATTATTCTTATTAAGATTATAGCTACTGACTCGTCATTTTTTTAACCTATTAGATCTAGATTCTAGATCTAGAACATGGACAGAAGTCTGCTTCTTGCAAAAAATGTCTGAACTAGATCTAGATAGGCCTAATGCGCAAGGCTAGGGCCTAGGATAAAATAAAACGAAATAGAAATCCCATAATTCTGGTATGACGTAAGATGCAAAGGGAGATGATCCAGTCTGACAAAACGAAAAGATGGCTGGCGCCGTCCTAGTTCAATTTTTACTTTTATCTTTTCTGTGTTGTTGATTTTACACCAACACTTGAGTCTAGTATTTATTCAATAATTCTCATTACGGTTAAAATCTAGATTATGGACTAAACGCTGATCTAGAATCTAGATCTAATTTTATCTAGAATTCTAGATCTGCTAGCAATTTTTTTATAAACGACTTTGACTTTATTTTAATTTTAAATCTCAACTGAACTCAACTCAAACACAACACTACAACTCTTAAAATTAAATTGTCTTAAAACTACGCCTACAGTCTAATGCTATCACTACACATGATTTTAAATAATTTACTTAAGTTTAAATATTAGATCTAGATCTATAAATATTAAATAAACTGACATAACTTGTCACATCAGTATTTATTAGTATGAGTGAGTAAATAATACTATAATAATATAATATAGGACGGAGTAGTCTAGCGGTAGAGAGCTGGACTGCTAACCCGTTAGTCTCGAGTTCGAATCCGGGTTCAAGTAAGTAGACCGTCCCTGAGTCCACCCAACTCTAATGGGTACCTAACTCCTGTTAGGGAAAGTAAAGGCGGCTGGGCATATATAGTGCTGACCACACTATCTCTTTATATGCCGAGGTCACAGAAACAAGTGAACTCTACTTCACTTGCCCCATAGACCGTCAGGTTTGAAAGGGAAACTTTACTTTTATAATATAGATCTAGAATCTAGATCTATAATAGAATTTTGATCTATTATCCTGTAATATTAGATCTACTTACCCTGTATTGATTTGTATGCAATAATTATAATATTGCATATACTCAAATCTTACTATAGATTATCTAGTTTATACTACAGTGTCATCATCTCTCAGCTCCCATAGGTGAATGAATGAATAAAACATTTCATCCTGTCTCCACCAGTCCAGTTATAACAATCCCTGCTTGTAGGAATCTTAGTTCTCTTTCCCTATGCTCTTTCTACATTGACCTTCTCAATTTACACCTGCCCTCATTTTTTCTTGCCCAGTGATGGCCATCTGAGAGCAGTCCTGGCCAATGCTTCTGCTCTATCTATACTTAGTTTTTAAATGGTCTACTCAGTCTAGATCTTGTAATTAAATAAAGAAAGATTCTAGATCTGCTAACTACTATGTTGGCTTTACTCATCTTTTATTAAAAAAAAAAAGACTATTTAATCTTACAATAGATCTAATATTCAAAGATATTTTTAAAATGTCCCTGTCAGCCCCCTTCAGCCTACATACGCTCAACCCAACCCCATTCAAAATAAAGTTCTAAAAATTCTATAGTAAAATAGTTGTGTCTAAATACCTTCACACTTCTTTGCCTCTGTAACCCATGAGCTTATCTGTAGCGGAGTGTCACTATCAGTCTGTTTTTACCAGGTGACTTTTATAAGTCCCACATCTCACAAATAGATTTAATTAAAACCCTGCAGATAAATCATTCAAGGAGTTAGCTCAGCTTCACTTATCGCTTTCCCGCTTTTATCATCCATCCAACCCCGCTTGCAGCTGTAAGTCAGGTGATAAATATTGAAGTATCGCTAAATTCTATGTGACATTTTGTTTACATGAAGAGTAATATTCCTGAACCATAAATAATAAATAGGTCTGTCTGGTTTAATCTATCGTTTTCAAAAGGGGAATGAGGAAGTTACACTTTAATGTGGGATTAACTAATTTACATTCTGTCTAGAATCTAGAAGACGGCTACTTGGGTATACTACTATACTTTAATGCACTTTTCCTACTGTTATTCAAAATAAGTCACAAATATGACTACAGCTGTTTTCCTAAATAAATGATTGCTACACTTTTCCTCAATGGATACACCATATTGTTCTCTTCCTAAATATATGGCTTCATCTTGAATGGTTACAATCTCCTTATTTGAATTATCCCTTGTTTTGAGGTTACTTTTTCAGCTTTTCTAAAACCTTAACTATCACTAATTTTGAAAGTAGAATTAATTAAAACATAATTACCTTATTAAATATATTGATAAGTAGGCCTTAAACTAAAGCTACATAGATTAACAGTTGTACATTCATAGTACATTCATGTTAGTCAAATTATCTAGTCTAACAAGTTGAGTAAATTTTTTTTCTTCGTGTTGTATTTTTATGTAGAAGCTCATTTTGTTTCACTGACTACACTAAATCCAATCTGGCATGGAACTGTAGGCACAAACCTGTCTATGAAGCCTCCTGTGTTCAGTCATGTGACCTACTCCCCCTGGTTGAACAAATACATTTGTGTCCATTTTTTCTTTACTAAGTAAATGTTTCTGCATCAAATAAGAAAAAAAAAATTATAAAGGTTGAAATGGTTGTACAGACTAGTTCTTATTTTTTGCATGTCAGCCACAGTCAGTTTAAAATTCTAGGTTTGTGGTGCACCTTCTCTTTAATTTGTTTTATATTCATGGCAGTACTATCAGGATTTTTAGAACTAGCAACTAACTGGTAGCACAGTTAAAAAGTTTTCTTCTCTGTAATCTTGTAACATAACTACATCAAAGCTAGTTTATTATTAAACTATATAAGTAGATCTATATTTAATAATTTATATAACTGTACAATTTGTTAATATGTTTTGATTTTTTATGCTAGATTTATGATTGCATTTCTAGTCTTTTATTGCTCTTTGGACATAATATATGGAAACATTTATCTTTTTAAGAAACCTGTAATTTTTTTTAATAAAACTGGTAACTTGAATAAGTTTAACACATTATGATTGAAAATACCATTTAAGAAAAAGTTTCTTTCAAATGTAATTTGATTTGATGTTGCATTTTTTATTTTTAAAAACAGCAAATGTTTATGTTCTTCTCCCATTTCCTAAATTCAATTTTGATTATTTCCCTGTACAGAAAGCAAATCTTGGCACAATTCTAGGTGTATACTTACCATGTATACAAAATATTTTTGGTGTTTTGCTATTTGTTCGCCTAACATGGATTGTAGGAATGGCAGGAGCTATGGAAGCCTTCTGTATAGTTTTTATATGTTGTTCATCTGTAAGTATTGCTTTGTTTGATAGTCATACCTATATATTCTTAAAAGTTGGTATCTCCAATAACAAGACTCAGGTCTCTATACTAGCCATAAATCTACCTTTTATTAAGCCCTAATAAATTTAACATAACAGTTAATGCATCTAATAGATGATACCCTTTATATGAATATCTGGGTTTGGCTAATAAATAAGAGAATAAATTGAATTTTAAAATTATAAATACTATAAATTATTTATGTTACCTAAAACAGCAAAATAAATCTTTTTTTAATGTTGTAAATAAACATTAATCATTACAGCAAAAGTAACATATTGTAACAATAGTTTGAGTATAATCATAATGGCCATCAAGTTTCAGGCACTATATTTGAATTAGCTTTTAAGGTAGCAGAACATAGCAAGTACTCCCAATCTCCATGTTTAATTGATGTTTTAATTAATTCTCTTCTCAGACCATGCTGACAGCTTTTTCTATGAGCGCTATAGCAACAAATGGGGTGGTTCCTGCAGGGGGGTCATACTTCATGATATCCAGATCCCTGGGGCCAGAGTTTGGAGGTGCTGTGGGGGTGCTCTTTTATCTAGGCACCTCTGTGGCCTCTGCAATGTACATCCTAGGCTCTGTGGAGATATTAGTTGTAAGATAATTTTTTTTTCAACTATAAGGCATATAATATTACCTTTTAATCATTATAACAAATAGATCTTTTTTATTATTAGTTGTTTCATAAAAATGTGATTCATGCCTTACATGTTTTAGTTTGCTAAAATTTTAGTTTTAATTAGTTTGAATTTTCTAGACTTGGCCATTAAATTTTTTCAAGATATGTAGGCCTAAGTTCTTGGGCCAATTCATTATATAAATTAAAATTTTAAAAATAAATATTATTTTGAGGGTTTTTTTTATAATATCTACTTACCAGTTTATACTCTTGCTATTTATGATTACACTCAGTAATGATGGAGTAGTTAAATGAGGATTTGAAGTTAGCTCTGATGAGTTCCTAAATGAAATTTTTAAATTTCTGTTCAAGTCATTAAATTTACTACGGCTATTATTTTTTATTTGACTGGAAGTTTATTTTTTAGGTTACTCAGTCATCCAATATCTTTGTGTTCCAGAAATACATGGCACCCCAGAGTAATATATTTGAGGACGTGTTCAACAGCTACCGCTTGTACGGGACCTTAGTCCTGCTCATCCTGGCCTTCATTGTGTTTGTGGGGGTGGGCTTTGTCAGCAAGTTTGCAGCTCTCTCCCTGGCCTGTGTCATCATCTCCATACTGTGCATCTACATTGGTATATTTGTGGCCAACCCTGATAGAAGTGTGGAGTAAGTATTTTCATCATTCAAATTATCTGCAGAATTGTATGAACTTTTTCTCTGAGGGGTTGGGGTGGGGGAAGAATAAGAAAGGAATATGATCCCGACCCCGCATCTACCCCTTCGTCATGGACTACTAAAAAAACCATGAGTTTAACATTAAGCACTGATATGCAAAGTTACTGTTAAGAATTAAAGTTATGTTAATGCCCGCACGGCTGTGAAAACAGGCCATAAGTTACAGTTATGAATTAATGTTATGTTTATGCCAGTAATGCATAAAAAAAGAAATAAAAATTAAAGTCAGCTGTCAAATGATATCAGAATAAATAAAAACTATGAGCCGACCCGCTACGTAGCATACCCGCCATTTAGTTGTTTTATTTTCTACTTTTCAGTAATTCATAATTTGTGAACTCGACACTACCAATGGTGTGACTGAAAATATTTTGCTTTATAACACTATCAATAAGGATGATTATCTTCACCACTACCTCCGTGAAAGCAGCCGTCCTCGACCAAAGTTAACAGACGATAATGAGAAGATTAAGCCTCCCCTTATTTTCAAATCGTTTAAAAACTAAATTATCTGCCTCTAATAGCCGTCACTAATTCGACCCGGCTCTACGATTGTAAATATTCACCGTGAATCAGTTTCTCAGTAAATATTCACCGTGAATCAGTTTCTCAGTAAATATTCACCGTAAATCAGTTTCTCAGTCAACTACACTTCTTCAGCTTGTTATAACAAAGCATAAAATGAAGAAATAGAGATTCAATTTTTTGCTTCTAATTTCCCTAGAGTCTGCATGCTGGGTGAGAGACTGCTGACTCAAGACGCCGTCACGTTTAATGGAACTTTCATGTGTACCAAGAACGAGTCTGGCCCCATCTACCACCGCTACTGTGTGGAGGAGTCCAACACCAGCTCCAGCTGTGATTACTTCAAGAACCCAAACACTGAGGTCCACATACTCAAAGCCTTGCCTGGTCTGCCCAGTGGGGTCTTTGCTAGTAAGATTTTGCCCTACTAATTAGTATTGATTGTTATAACATCCTAATATCTCTCTCTTTCTCTCTCTCTGTTTCCAAGGCTATGAGCTCAGTATCTTCACCAATTTGTGGAGAACTTAAAGATACAGACTTTTGTTGAAAATAATATGTTGGGTGTATTAAATGTATAAACTTAACTTTATTTAAAGAAGGAAAATAAAAACAAAGGCATATTCGAACTTAGAAACACATCTTAAAATGTGTCGGATCCTTCCAATAACTATTTAATTAAAAAAATATTTTTCAAACAAGTATAGTATTTTTACTTTCTCGTATATACGTAGTATAGAGAAAGTATTGTAATCGTGCAAAAAAAAAAAATCGAGATTTTTACAAATCTCGACGTTTTACACCTCACTGATACGGAAAAACATAATTTTGCGATCTTGTCCGTATGTCTGTGTGTCCGTGTGTAAACACGATAACTTGAGTACCGTTACAGCTAGGTTGATGAAATTTCATATATAAGTATTATATCAAAATCGTAGATCCGTATCAACTTTTGAGCGATTTCCGACAACCGGAAGTGGTACTTTTTCTACTTTGAATTTTTCAAAAGCCTATAACTTGAGTACTATTTCAGATAGATAAATGAAATTTCACATGTAAGTAAAAGATCTAATTCTCTACCTTTTGTTAAATTTTGAGTAATTTCCGTTGACCGGAAGTAGTAATTTACGCTACTTCCGATTTCTCAAAAAACTAATGTAAATTTTTAAAGTACTAATAATATTGCGCACTATTACGCACATTTGGTTTTGGTGCTAGCTTGGTGCGCATTTTTTTTTCTACTAGATTTTATTCTATTTTTAAAAGTTTAAGTAAACAAAAATCATGTCTATATTCCGAGTTGACATCCCACGTAGTGTTATATTAGAATATTCGAGAAAGTTTAGGGGAGATCACTCCCGGTTTATTTAAAATAATGGCCTATATTTTAATAATTCATGTGTAACAGGTACCAATGGCTAGTAATGACATAATGGTTGTGAAATAGGAAGCTTAAAGTAATGCCTGCTGTTGTATTACAGCTTGGTTGTAGCTCAGGCAGTGGGTAAAATCATACAACTTACTAAATGGTAGCAATTCATTGGTTGATCTCTGTGATTATGCAAACATCAGAGCTATTCATGGGCTTGGGGAATCACTTGAGAAGAAGACTTAGCTCAAAGAAATACAATTTATCATTCAAACTGTATTCATTTTTTTTAGAATTAAAATGAATTTCAATTGCTAAAATAATATATTTGGCACAGAGTGTGAATTCTTTAATTTCTATATAGCTTTTTAATGATTATTTAAAGATTTTTTAATGCTTGATAAAATTTTTAGAAAGAAAAAATAAACATAACCAATGGGTGAATTTTTAAATGTATTTTTTATATTGGGAGAAAAACTCATCCATCTTCACTGACCAGATGTTTTTTATCAGTTGGTTAAAAATTTTAAATAAATTTATTTTTAATTTGGGTTACCTCGACCTTAACTACAAAAAAAAAGGTTTCAATTTTTCATAGAAATAAAAAAAAAAAAATTTCTGTGATGCACTTTCTACATCAATTGAAATATATGTGAACTCCAAAAATCTTTTCCAGTAAACTACAAAAACAAAATTATTTTTCAGACAACATGTGGAACAAATACACTCAAAAAGGGAAAGTAATTGGCACAGAAATGGAGGGTTCTGAACGCAGAGGGGAGATAATTGCTGAACTGACTTCATCCTTTATGGTTCTGCTAGCTATCTATTTCCCTTCTGTTACTGGTAAGTTGCAACAATTGACAATACACTATTTTTTCTTTTCTAGTAGTAGTACAAATGTTTTCCCATAAATTTTAGTTAGGCTTGTTTGTTTTTTGTTTGTATTGAGAAAATAAGCAAAAGGTGTACTTTTGAAAATATTCAATCTTTATAAAAATCATTATCTTAGACAGCCATTATGTGTCTGAATTGTTTTTGTTATGTAACGTACCCACTAATTTTGCTTTACCTAGTCCTGTTTGGTGGGGTATCCAGAGGGGTGTATTAGGGTGGATGAGAATAAAATCCTGCCTATGCCTCAGGTTGACACAGCTTTGTATACCAGACTTGATGTTTAGTTTATTTTATTTGATTCAATACATTTTTTTGTATAACCACTATCAATTAATCTTTTTTTTTGTAACTGCAATTTTGTTTCAAAAAGCTTGTTATTACACTTTACTTATACTTTACAATTATCTGTATATTTTTTATTACTTAAGGAATAATTTTTGTTTATTTTTACCTAGTAATTTTTTTATTGCTGTATTTCCTAAAAATAAATTCTAATTCTAAGTTTAATGTTGTTTAAAAAGATTTTACTAGCTCTGATTATCTAGAATGTCTTTTCATCTTTGATCTAAATCAGTTGTTTTAACTTTCAGGTATCATGGCTGGCTCCAACAGATCAGGTGACCTAGCAGACGCCCAGAAGTCTATCCCCATCGGCACAATAGCAGCCATCTGCACAACTTCCTCTGTCTGTATCCTTCACCTTGTCATTCAGGAAGAGCTTATACTTTTGATAAACATCTGAGATTGCATGTTAAAGTGCACAGAGAAATCAGCCAGGGTCCTCACTGTTAATGTTAAAATAAAATAACTACAGTTTAGAAAAAGAACTGTTCATTTTGCTATTTATTACATTATTCCTAAACGTTTTCAATTTTAACATTTGATATTTCATTTATTAAATTCTAAAATTAATAGTTTAAAAAAATGTCCTAGACATCTGGAGTTGGCTTGTTTCCAGCTAGACCTGAAGTTGTTAGTTAACAATGTAGCTCATGTGTTTGTAGTTTTCCTATGCAGCTAAGACTTGTCCAGTGTTCTGTTCTTTGCTGGCTGTATAGATGGCAATGTGCTCAGAGACAAGTAAGTTGTGTTGTTTGTGTAGCTGACACATTGGATTGTAATGATACGCATCCTGTGGCTTTTTACTTTTTTTACTCTTCATACTTTCCTTTTTTTTCCCCTCAAACTGTGTGATCTTAAATATCATCAAAACCTACATTAGGTTGTTTTTTACTCAGTGATATACTTTAAGTTGTGAAATTTTAGTTTTATACTAGACAGTGTTTTATTATTCGTGTAAAATAGGGGTCTCCAAACTATGGCCTGCGGACCGGATGCGGCCCGCGAGGTCCTCTCATCCGGCCCTCGGAGATCTTTTGTTCAGCGAAAAAAAATTGTTGGAGGTGGCTGAAGAAAAATTCAAAACAAATTGAAAAATGTAGCATTGGGTGCAAATACCATTGAAGTAAATGTGGCCAGTTGCCCAGCAAATGACCTCCTTAAAGACAAGTTCAAATAAGAGCTGGTGGGTTTTATAAGTATTTGCCCAAGGAAGACTTTCCTAATATTAAAACTTTTGCCGCAAAGTACCTTTCAAATTTTGGAACAACATACAAACTTTATCAAGAATGAAGTAGGCCTATGTGAAGAACAATTTAAGAACGAACTTGGACCTCAAGCATATTGTTCGGTCGCCGACAGTGTTTCTTTTTTTTCTCGGGTGGGGGGCACTTGAAATTTGCATATATATATATATATATATATATATATATAATTCCGTTGGGGAGGGGGGGTTTACCACCCCGAAGAGATGCCTGGAAGAAACTTTGGCCCCCGAACGTATATTTTATAGTTAATGCGGCCCTCGGGCTGAAAAGTTTGGAGACCCCTAGTGTAAGCCAACTTGACAATCAAAGAATGATGGGGGGTATTACAATCAGTTGACAATGTTTGTTCAATTATACAGGTTTGGTGTGAGTATTGGGGGCAGCTTACTTATAGGGAAGCTGGCCTGGCCCCATGAGTGGGTTATTCTGATTGGTTCCTTCTTATCAACACTGGGGGCTGGCCTTCAGAGTCTGACAGGTTAGTCGTGCTGTATTCTACTGTTTTCACTGTATGTGATGTATTGTACTGCATTCATCGTGAAGTATTGTACTGCTTTCATTGTGAAGTATTGTACTGCTTTCATTGTGAAGTATTCTACTGCTTTCAGTGTGAAGTATTGTACTGCTTTCATTGTGAAGTATTATACTCTTTCAATGTGAAGTTGCAATGTTTCTGTTTAAAGCTAAGTGTACCATGTCTTTTGTAGCTTTATATTTCTGTCATTGATAAGTTGTTTCAATTCTACTCATCTGATTAACTTAGTTTATCACCCTAAAATGTGTGCTTTCATCTTTCTTCTAAAGTAATAACTAAAGTAATTGTCTGCCCACTGGAATTAATATGCTTTATTGTTTGTCCAGGCGCACCTCGTCTTTTGCAAGCCATTGCCAAAGATGGAGTCATTCCATTCCTCCGAGTGTTCAGTGTGACCACAAAGCGTGGGGAGCCATTCAGGGCGCTGCTGCTGACTGCTTTTATATCTGAGATTGGCATTTTGATTGGCAACTTGGATTATGTGGCCCCCATCATCACAATGTAAGTTTATTTAGAGAGAGTTATATATTGATAGAGTTCTTTAATGGTTATGTCAGTTTGTTAGGAGAATAGTTTTTGGTAACAGCACAAAATTTTTTATTTTCCATTCCAGCTTATTTATTAGTATTTTTTCTATGGATTTCACAATTAATACAGCTCTCATTTTAACTTGCATACATTGAGTTTTTTTTTTATTTAACATTTAATGGATGACCTTGTGAAAACTCACATAACATATGTAATCTGTTATGGGCATGTATTAACTAGATATATTTATTCTTCTATTCCATTATGGCCTCTGGGGGAGCAAAAGGCTGATATATTTATTAATTTAATACTCCAGTAGAGGACCATGTCTAGTTAATGTAAATGGGAGGTTGAGGTACAAATATTTGATCTCATAGAATTTGCCAGTTGTTATCAGTTCCTGATGGACATATTGACATTATGTGTGTCTCCAGGTTTTTCCTCATGTGTTTTGGTTTTGTTAACATGTTTGTCTCCAGGTTTTTCCTCATTTGTTATATTTTTGTTAACATTTGTCTCCAGGTTTTTCCTCATGTGTTATATTTTTGTTAACATTTGTCTCCAGGTTTTTCCTCATGTGTTATAGTTTTGTTAACATGTTTGTCTCCAGGTTTTTCCTCATGTGTTATGGTTTTGTTAACATTTGTCTCCAGGTTTTTCCTCATGTGTTATGGTTTTGTTAACATTTGTCTCCAGGTTTTTCCTCATGTGTTATGGTTTTGTTAACATTTGTCTCCAGGTTTTTCCTCACGTGTCATGGTTTTGTTAACATTTGTCTCCAGGTTTTTCCTCATGTGTTATGGTTTTGTTAACATTTGTCTCCAGGTTTTTCCTCATGTGTTATGGTTTTGTTAACATGTTTGTCTCCAGGTTTTTCCTCATGTGTTATGGTTTTGTTAACATTTGTCTCCAGGTTTTTCCTCATGTGTTATGGTTTTGTTAACATTTGTCTCCAGGTTTTTCCTCATGTGTTATGGTTTTGTTAACATTCATGTCCAGGTTTTTCCTCATGTGTTATGGTTTTGTTAACATTTGTCTCCAGGTTTTTCCTCATGTGTTATGGTTTTGTTAACATGGCCTGTGCTCTACAAACCCTGCTGCAAACCCCCAATTGGAGACCCAGGTTCAGATTCTACCATTGGTGAGTAGATTTGTTTTCTGTGGAATGATGCAGTTGGAACGCTGATCTTTTTCCTTTGTATAGGTGTTAGAATGTTTTTTTTTAAGCCATATACATGAACTTAGGCAGCCTAATATAGAGATGGCAGATGTTTTATACAATATTTTACAAATAGTGGGAGATAATCTGTAATTCAAGCAAGTTCTTGTAAAGAAATGAGATAATGCTTCAAAAAAGTCAAATTGTAATTCCTGTTTTGAAAATAACATGTAATCTATTTCACCTCACAGGACTCTCTCCCTTGTTGGGCTAAGCTTGTGTATTGTCCTGATGTTTATCTCTAGCTGGTACTATGCACTGGCTGCCCTGGCTATAGCTTTCTGTATCTACAAGTACATTGAGTATAAGGGGTAAGAAAAGTTGATTTTTTTATTGTAACAAGTTTCCTAATTTTAAACTTTCTTTTTATTAATGACTGCATAGACATATGGTATGTTTGATACAACTATTAAACACTGTTGTATGTTGCTATTTCAGAGCTGAGCAGGAGTGGGGTGACGGTATACGAGGTCTGGCCATGTCCGCTGCCCGTTATTCACTGCTCCGGCTGCAGTCTGGACCACCCCATACCAAGAACTGGAGGTCAGTCATATAAAGACAAGCACTATTTTCTAATTTTAGTTTAATTAAACATAAAACCTATTCAATTATTTGTCTTCCATCAGTTCTATAGTTTCTTTCATTTGTCACACCATGGGTAAAATAAGATGTGCTGCTTCATCCCACAGTGTTCAGTGATTTTTTCAGACTACAGTATTAAATACGTTGTAATGTTACAGACCTCAGATGTTTAAATACTTCAGTAATGCTACAGACCTCCGATATTAAATAATTTATGTTACAGACCTCAGCTTCTGGTACTGATGAAATTAGATGACAATCTTCAGCCTATGTTCCCCAAGTTGGTTTTATTTGCCAGTCAGCTGAAAGCAGGTCAGTCTTGAGAGATAGATGGGCTGGAAGTGAGAGATAGATGGGCTGGAAGTAAATCTTTGTTTAACGTGTCAGATGAGAGCATGTCTGAATGAAAGTTAAAATATTCTCAATATGATAAGTATACTAGACATTCATATAACTGGTATATATAGTCAAAATAGTTAATACCTTATGGTAAGGTTAAGTGGTACTGATGGTACAGAAATTAGTTTTAGTTAAGGTAGGCCTAGTTGACATCAATATATGTCATTTCTCTACATGTGACATACCTGTTGTTCTTGTCCTCAGGTAAAGGCCTGGTCCTGGTCAACAGTGTCCTGGAGGGTAACTTCAGGGACAGGTACCCAGATGCTCAAGCCAGCAAACAGGTTATTGCCCCTCACATCATCTCACCCTTCAGACCATAACTATTAAATCAATTAAAACTAGAACTACATTTTTACTATTTGAACTCTAAAAATGTGTATATATGGCATCTATCTGTCACATTTACCATGGGCTTACCTGTTCAGGTTTGTTTATTATTGTCATAGCAAATGTTCTTTTATCTGACAGAGCCTGATAAATCTGACCAAAGAATATGGTGTCAAAGGCTTCTCAGATGTGAGCATTGCAACAGATGTTACAGAAGGTCTTTGTCAGCTGTAAGTTGTCTCTCATTTGTTGTTGTTGATATCAAACCTGTTCAGCCCCTTTAAAGTTGGGCTACAGGTCTTAGTTACAGTATCAACTATAAAAGATAAAACATAGCTTTTTTAATGTTAAAAAAAGCGACATATTGTAGAACATGCTTCATTTCTTCTCCCACCTCACCCCCTAGGATCCAGAATGCTGGACTGGGAGGTTTGAAACACAACACTGTGGTCCTAGGCTGGCCGTATGGATGGAGGCATGATGAGGATGACAGGAGCTACAGGGTTTTTCTAGGTGGGTTCCACTCCACTTCATTCAACATAATTTTTTTTTTCTCGTAGAACTTACATGGAGATTAAATTAAACAACTGCTGCCTTGTAGTTTGTTCTTGGTTGGACAAAGGCTATGGAAGCAAATCCAAAAAGAAAAGCAGGCTGAAATCGGAGTCAATGGCCTCAATGGCGCATAACCAGTTGACACGTAACGCTTAATTGTGTGGGAGGCGTGGTCGAGTCGGCAAAATTTGAACAAAGTCTCGAGTTCAAACGCACTGGCAGATAATTCTCGATCCCCTTCAACACTGATAATTAAGAACGAAGAAGAAGAAGAAGACATGGAGATGAGGTCAAAAAGGGTAACAATGGTTGCGGATTGTGATATTAAAAGCCCTCTGTTTGATGTAGTCCAGATAAATTTAGTTAAAAGTGGTTACTTAAAACTTGATTACACCTTACCATACTCAAATGTTTTGATTTTAACAGGCTTCTGGTTACATGTACATTATTTAAACATTGTTAAATTAATATTAGTGAAATTAAATATTTAAAACGAGTAATGATAAGATGGGGCTGCCTACTTGTGCAATAAGAATACTAAATAACCTCTGTAGAAAGTTTTGTTATTGAAAAAAAAATGTTGGGGTAGGCAGCCCTAGATAGACTGTTAATATTGCAGGTAATGCTATTAATGCCATCAGAACTAACAATGTTATAATGTGTTGATCAGATACTGTGAGAAATGTGGGGGCAGCCCAGATGGCACTGCTTGTACCTAAAGGGATCAACCAGTTCCCTGACATGGGCGCCAAACTACGTGGCACCATTGATGTCTGGTGGATTGTACATATCCTTTTGTTTGCTCATATCACACAATCAAAAAAATTTTTTAGTTATTTTACATCACACAATATTTTCCTGTTATCTTACACAATCAAATATTTTCCTATGTGATTTTATATTAAAAATCAAATATTTTTCTGTTATTTTTATCATACAATGAAATATTTTTCTAGAGATTTTTTTACAAGCTCATCACTTAACGAGATCTTTTCAATACATTTTGTGACTAGAGCTAATATTTTTAGCAATATGCCTATACAAAATGCATTTAAAGGTTTTAGTTTGCATAAATTTGATGCTGCTTCATATGCACTAATGTTTGTCTTGATACCAAGACATTAAATTACATGATAATTACATTTTTTGTATTTGATGCAACACATTTCATAGTTATAAATGAGTATATTCTCCAGTAGACCTTGTTAATTGGAAACTGATTATATTAGAAATATTTAATTTGAATCACCTATTATGAGTATTTAAAATTCTAAAAATTTAATAAACTTGTAACTTCACTCTTTTTTTTAAAAAATCACATAATTCTTAAATTGTCGCTCCTTGCTTTGTGTATTTTTTATTTTTACTATTCTTTTCTCTCACAAGTATTTAAGTAATGTTTTTAAAATAAATGGTTGGATGAGTTGTGTAGCCTTAACCTATTCACATGATGGAGGTCTGTTGATGTTGCTGCCCTTCCTACTGTGTCAGGACAGGACATGGAAGAACTGCAAGCTTCGCATCTTTACTGTGGCCCGTATCCTTGTCTCAGCTAGTCTTTTAAACAAACAAATTGATCAACTATTGGGTGATAATTTTCTAGTCTAATACATACAACTTTAGTCTTACTGCTTTAAGGTCTAGTACAGACTCTTCTAAATAATGTTCTGGTTGTTTTATTTAAGGTTACATTATACATTGTGTTGATGAATGATTTTATTTTATATGGTGCCTTTAAAGCTATATCGTTTTATACTTAATATGTAAAATTCTGTATACTAAGTAATTCCTGCAAAATGATAAAAGATTAAGCAGTTGAAATTATTGGTTAAAGATAATGTGGTGTGACATATTGATAACAGAAAATTCTGTTTTGAGATAGATTTGGGATATGTGAAAATATTTGTGGTATGTGTAAATGGTATAGAACTTTTGCCTTGACTGGAAGCCAGAAACTGAGGATAACTCTATCCAGATGAAGAAAGATCTACAGACCTACCTGTACCAGCTGCGTATCCCAGCAGACGTGGATGTTGTGGAGATGGTAAGTGGCGCCATGGGTCTGGCAGGAAGTGCATCTTGTGCTGTCTTGCTCTCTGTGTTTCTTCTCCACTAAATTCTTAACACAGCTGTTTAGGTCTCAGGTAACTCATCACTACCTGAGCATACAGTTTAGTCAAGTAAATCTAGGACTAAGTGTTGAAAATGTTATTTAGTTTATACCATAGTGAGTTATAACTGATCATTAAAGATTTTGGCTAACGTGATCAGTTTCTAAATACTTTTTATATTTTAAACTTTGTAGTAAAAGATCTCTAATTTGACTGTATGTGTAATAATATCAACTTGGGCTGTGCATACAAAACATAAACATGTATGGGCTATTTAAGGATTTGAAACTATGTAAAACAAATTGTATGATATTTCTGTGATTTTCTTATTTGTTTTTAAAATTTCATAAACAATTCTGTGGTATGATAATAATCTCTGTATGTTTTTATCTGAAGTGCATATTCATTTCTTTTAACATGCACTTGACAGTGGGCATGACCCCCAACCAGTATGGGGAGATAGTGACTTACTTAAAAGTAACATGTACTCAACCTAACTGTTTGAACCACTCTGATGGCTTATGATGTGTGTATGAACACGCCTTTATAAAATAACAGGACTTTTGGTTTGAGTGTTCTTGGGTGTTAGCTTCTCAATCCTTCATTAACATCCATTTCCAGGCCAACTCTGATATATCAGCCTACACGTACGAGAGGACCTTGATCATGGAGCAGAGAACTGATATGTTAAGTAAAATCAGGAATGCGCAAGTGGGGGTACGTATGTCATTTGATTAACACTTCTACTTCCTTAAGCATTGTGTGCAGATATTTTTTATTTGAATATTGTAGACTTTTTTTTAAGTTTTAGTATAGTGGGTGGTGGTTTATGATCTGCAAGCTACTAAATACTGATCAGAAATGTTGTGAATTAAAAACATAACTAAACTTATCAGCCCGTTAGTAATAGTCTTATCACCTTCTCTTTGATGATTGTGCTGTCTTTGTGCTGGTGTCTATCAAAGGGTTTGGTAGTATAGAAAAACTTCAATCATTTTATTTCTCTTAGTCTAACCCATATAACTGCATTTGACTGTAGTGTCATATTCGTTTCTATCTTTGAGAAGTGTGCTGATAGTGTAGTAACAAAATTTCTTGTAATATGTTTACACATAATATTATCTGTTTAGTTGGTAGATGTTTTTTTAGATCATTGTGGTTGGAGTTTGTTAGGCTGCTAGCATAAGGTTAACCCTAGCAAAACAGACCTGAGACAGTTCTAGATGCTGGTGCTACTTTTAACAATATATTCACAACTTTTTTGTGTTATTATGACTTTTCAGTTGAGTTCTTATGTGACTCATAAACAATGCCTTAAAATAGTCCTACAGATGTTACCTTCTTTGCTTTTTAAGATATTTTTGTTTTCAGTAGGCCTGTTTGATGTTACATTTTGAAGAAATATATAATGTAAACAAAAAATATGGATATTTAATTGACTTACTTTGTATGTTAATGATGAATAAAATTGTTAATCAAATGAAATAATAGTCTCCATAGAAAAATGGCAATGCTGCTAAAGAATATTTGATAGCTGTATCCTAGCATTACCATATCTTTAAAAAATTAGTTAACTGAACTCTGTACCCATAGAATAATAGCAGTCCCAGTCATGTCCTCATCATCAGCTGCCACCATTAATGAACTAATTGAACTTTGACCCTTAGAACAATGGCAGTGCCAGTCATGTCCCCACCATCACCTGCCACCTGTAATCAATAGCAATGCCAGTCATACCCCTACCATCATCTGCCACCTGTAATGAACTAATTGAACTTTGCCCCCTTAGAAAAATATCAGTTCCAATCATATCCCCACCATCACCCTGCCACCTGTAATGAACTAACTGACCTCTGTCCCCATAGAACAATGGCAGTGCTAGCAGAGTGCCCACCATCACCCTGCCACCTGTAATGAACTAACTGACCTCTGTCCCCATAGAACAATGGCAGTGCTAGCAGAGTGCCCACCATCACCCTGCCACCTGTAATGAACTAACTGACCTCTGTCCCCATAGAACAATGGCAGTGCTAGCAGAGTGCCCACCATCACCCTGCCACCTGTAATGAACTAACTGACCTCTGTCCCCATAGAACAATGGCAGTGCTAGCAGAGTGCCCACCATCACCCTGCCACCTGTAATGAACTAACTGACCTCTGTCCCCATAGAACAATGGCAGTGCTAGCAGAGTGCCCACCATCACGCTGCCACCTGTAATGAACTAACTGACCTCTGTCCCCATAGAACAATGGCAGTGCTAGCAGAGTGCCCACCATCACCCTGCCACCTGTAATGAACTAACTGACCTCTGTCCCCATAGAACAATGGCAGTGCTAGCAGAGTGCCCACCATCACGCTGCCACCTGTAATGAACTAACTGACCTCTGTCCCCATAGAACAATGGCAGTGCTAGCAGAGTGCCCACCATCACGCTGCCACCTGTAATGAACTAACTGACCTCTGTCCCCATAGAACAATGGCAGTGCTAGCAGAGTGCCCACCATCACCCTGCCACCTGTAATGAACTAACTGACCTCTGTCCCCATAGAACAATGGCAGTGCTAGCAGAGTGCCCACCATCACGCTGCCACCTGTAATGAACTAACTGACCTCTGTCCCCATAGAACAATGGCAGTGCTAGCAGAGTGCCCACCATCACCCTGCCACCTGTAATGAACTAACTGACCTCTGTCCCCATAGAACAATGGCAGTGCTAGCAGAGTGCCCACCATCACGCTGCCACCTGTAATGAACTAACTGACCTCTGTCCCCATAGAACAATGGCAGTGCTAGCAGAGTGCCCACCATCACCTGCTACCTGTAATGAACTAATTAAACTTTGCCCCCCATAGAACAATGGCAGTGCTAGCAGAGTGCCCACCATCACGCTGTCCCCAGTACCAGAGGAGAGCAGCACTGATGTCCCAGAGAAGGAACAAAGGACTACAGACAAATCTCAGTTCACTTTCACACCCCAGGATGCCAAAACACTCATCAATAAAAACAAGAAACCGTAAGCAAATTGTGTTACTACATATTTTGTTTTGTACCAGATCTACCTATCCTTTTGATTTGCAATGGCTGAAATTCAATACAGCCTCTTTAGTTTAAAAAGAATGTCTTTTATTTTTATGATATCAAAACATATTCTAGCATTTGTCTTCTCTCATATTTTTTTTTAAGAAAAAATTTTTTTTTACTGATTCATCACATGCTTGAATTGATTCCAGTTTTATCTTTTCCTTGTTCAGAAAATGATTTGATTAAAATGTTATCATTTCAATTAACCGAATAATTCAAATCTTATTTCATTAGGCTAGATAATGCTTCAGTTAAACAATACTTTTTTTTACTGAATGGAAGAATATTTTATCTTTAAATTGGATAGTTAATGGCTTTATTTAAAGTGAATGCCTTGATAGTTTCAACTTTTGAATGTATTCTCCATCCCAGAGACAAGGACAATGTCCGTCGTATGCACACTGCTGTTAGACTGAATGAACATATTGTTGAAAAATCCCACAATGCTCAGCTGGTCATCCTCAACCTTCCTGCCCCACCAAAATCAGACGCTGGTGCTGAAAACTGTATCCTTGCTAGTTCACATCTTTCATTTATGTTTGCTTAGCAAACCCGATATTATCATATTGTCTATTTAAATTAGATACACAATCTATATATATAATTCTCTTCATGGGGACCATTGAAAACACCACGCAGCTTAGCCACCACCCTTATCCCCCACTGTCAGGTGAGCTGTGGTTCACCCCGAATGTTTACAATCGTAGAGCCGGGTCAACTATTAGGGGTAGGGGCAGATAATTTAGATTTAAAAAGGGGAGGTAATAACAATTTCTGCCATAACTATTCATTAAACTGTCGCCATGGACGGCTGCTTTCATGGAGTCCGCTGTGGGGAGGGAGGGTGAGGATAATCGTCTTTACCAACTACTGCAAATTTTTTCAGTCGCAGCATTGGTAGTTGATTATGAATTACTGAAAAGTAGAAAGTAAAACAACTAAACAGTGGGGTATGCTTATGGCGCGGGTCAGCTCGTATTTTTTTATTTTGATTCTCATTTTCAAGAAAGGTAGATTTTGAGGATAGAATGAATCTTAGCCTAATCTATTTTTTTTTAAATAACTAACTGTTTATGAAATGTTAAGTTAAAAATCAATAATGTCAGAGAAACAGTAGGATGTTTTGTATTGAGTGTGAAGTTGCCTTAACTCTGTACAGACATGGAGTTTCTAGAGGTGCTGACTGAGGGGCTGGAGAGGGTGCTGATGGTGAGAGGGAGTGGACGGGAGGTCATCACCATCTACTCCTAACCTCTGGAGTCCAACCACAGCATCTCACATTAGACTGGTGACACATCGGACTGGTGACACATCGGACTGGTGACACAGACTGATGACACAGACTGATGACATATCTGACTTGACATCATGCCATTGGGTTAACTGTGTAAAATATTGTTTTCAAACATGACATTTTGTTTGAACATGACATATCAAACATGACTTACAGCTGTTGAAAAGCAATTTTATTTTCTACCATCACTTGACCTTTCATATCACTTTGCAGCTTTGCATATATCACTTCAAATAATGCAACACTGCACTTAATTCATATACCATAGGACGACATATCACTTGACGTACATAATGATACATATGACACAATACAGTATACAACACTACTTAACTCATTGACCGTTGGGATAAAACTATTTCTCAAATATTTCTATTGTCATACCATGACATCTACATTCTTTGACATTTGTGACATTTACAATGTAGTCCCAACAAGACAATGAACATACTGGACTTTGGTCATTGCCCAGATGACCATAGCTGAATGTCTGGCTGCAGGACTGGCCTATCATGTCTGGAAGTTCCACATGGAGTCTAGTCTGCTGGGAGGTCATCCTGACACATCCACCAGATGTTGTATAATCCACATGATCATGTTTGTAATCCACCAGACATTGTACATAACCCAAGTGGATGCATCCATCAGTGGACTGCTTCAACGTTTTAATTTATTCACTTGAACCCTGAGGTCAAATAATCCATGTGTTTATCGTATGGTAACCTCTGATCTTGCATATGAAATAGCATTATTTGTATCCAGTAGCATCCAATGGTTTGTGTCAAGAACCATCATGCACATGGGACTGGTTGGTGCTTACATTGTTGTTTTCTTGTCATTTGCAGGGTCCTGTTTACTGTTCAATGCTTGCTGTATACTTAAGTCTAGCTGGTGATATCATTTCTTACCATTTTTTGTGTGTGGAGAAATTGATTTTATTTTGTGTTTATACTATCTTGTTATACGGGAAATGTTAATGTGGTGATCTGTTACTGAAAAATGTTTCAAAATGTGTGTGGTGGTGTTGTTTCTCTCTCCTTACCCCCATCCACCTCCACCCACAACCATTGTCATATTTTTTTTACTTTAATTATTTGGGTTGTCTTAGCATAGGTTTGTCTCCTGCTTAAATTCATCTTTTCAGCTGTGATTTCTGCTGGTCCAAGGGAAGTAGGAATTCTTTCAAGGAAGCAAATGTGCTACTGTTATTTCCCTTTGATAACCAGGGGAGGTAATATATTTATCTTCCCCATTACTTCTTCCAACACTCTCACTGCCCCATTCTTCTGATTACTGTACAAGTGTATGCCATGGGTCATCTATGTCAGCCGCTTTCTGATGGTATCAACATTTATTGGATGCTTTGTTTTTTAATGACAGTTATTATTTTATTCGTCAGCACATATGGTATAAAAAAAATTGTGCAAACAGAATGAATACAGACTAATTACACTGGTCTCTGAAGAAACATTGGCCTACTTAAGATGACATTTGTTATGTTTTATGACCTGTAATATTTTCCTGATACCTCTAGATGAAAAATTAAGTTTAACAAAACACAATGTTTTTTGCAATACTAAATGACATGTAGCACTAGTGCACACTGTACTCTTAAAACAATTATCATACGGATAGTAAAAAAAATTATTATTTTCTGTAGCAAGAATGGGTTACAATAGCTATATTGTTGTGTGGGTTAATTTACATCCTAGACAGAGGGTTGGTTGTTACACAGCTGTGTGATTCAATTGGTTTAGTTTTTAACTGGAGACAAGAGCTACCATCAACTGAAAGGATTTTCAAGAGGATTTCTTAATGTTTTGGTCTAGTCATTGTCTTTTTTCTGACTCAATGAAGACAAGGATAGTTGCTTAGCTTTAAATTACTCCATATGTATATTTATATAGTTGCAACATCGCTGGGAGGTACTGATGTAAAAGACTAAAAAAAAATTTAAGTGTGCAAATCTTTAAGGATGGCCTTATAGAACTTACATATTATTCTCTTCATCCCCATGTATCTAAGAAGTCCAAAGAAACTGTTCATATGTTGTTTAGTCCCTTGTAATTACAAATATTATGGAACATTCTGAAAAAAAATACTACGCAAACATTAATGGCACCTTCAGTTATGTTTCTGAGAGTTAAACCAATCATCTTTGCTGTTGTTTATTCTGCTTTGCTAAATGAACCAATCAACGGCCAGGTTTTTAAAAATTAAATCTTATTAGGTGGACCAATCACCACTCCCGGTTTATACAGCCTACCTTTGCTGACTGTGTATGAAGTTTTGATCTGTGAAATCTTGTTTATGTGTATATAAAAATGCTAGTTGCGTTCACTGTACTGAATATGTATGTTGGTGTTAGTTGTCCTCTTTATATAGGTTTCATTTTATTTTTTGTTTTTTTGGTTCATTTTTTTTTTTAACATGTCCACTAATTCATGCCATGCACATGCTATTTATATATTTTGACCAACTGTTTTTTTTAACCACATTTTATATTTCTTTGCATGCTAGACTAGTGTTTAAGCTTATATATTAGTGGTCAGTACAATTTTAACTAATACATTAGTGCTCAGTGGTAACTGATCTTATTTATAATAGCTAAAGTGAGAATATTGGATGAATGTACAAAATATATGTTTATAAATTGCTTTCTGGTGAGTTTTGTCTAATGTTAGTAAAGCAGTTATGTTGTATGATGTATTTAACATAACGTTTATTTTTAATTTTGATTAACCGATCACGACAAATAATTTTCATTGATTAATTTCTGTATTTGCTTGATAAAAAAAAAGACATTTTTATTTGTGTACAACTCGTTGGGTATTCTGTTTCAGGTGTTTTTTTAAATTTGGTATTTTTTAATTAGATAGCATTTCAGGAGTAGATTTTTAGAAATGAAAGCAATATTGCCATGATATGTAATCAGCATTGTAAAAATTTCATATCTTTTTCCAATACACTTTTTAGTGGTGGAAAATGCTTTGTAAAAATGTTCATTCAACAATCTTATATAAACATTGAGAAACTGTTTTTAGAATGTGTAAAAGTTGAATTGATTGGAGTTAGTTTTCAAAATTAAAATTGGATATCAAAATTGCAGGTGATACAAAAAAAATGTTTTGGATTATATACAGACATGTACACACTTACTTTGTTGCTGTCAGTTGTATTGTTAGCTAATTATCAAGCTAATTGCAATCAAAATATGGCTGTGTGATTTACAATAATTTTATTGGATGTGATTTTTGTTCAAGGGAGATGATTCTGTAAACCATTGTTGTTTATTTTTTTTTTAAATTAAAATAAATCTCATTAGAATTTTAGGAATATTTCATCTGCTCCATAAATCATTTAATGGAGAGAAAAAAATGTTAGTGGGTTTTTTTTTTTAACATTTTTGCAAGCAGAAGAAATTAGTTTCCAATCTTCAGTAGAAAAAAAGAAAAAGCTGCCTTATTCAGACAAGTTTAAATTCTATTAAGTTTATGTACAAGGGTGGTCAACCACTCCCTACATACTGGTCTTAAGGTGTTTATCATGTTGATGATAAATGGTATATGTCATGTGATCTGGTCATCAACTTAGAACTTTAATTTAAATATTTATTCAACAAGCAAAAAAAAAGTCATTGGATATCTTTATTTAACCATTTTCTTTTCTCTAATGATATATTTTTTTATAATCTATGGTGGCCAGATTTTTTCCATCTGTACAACTAAAATGTATTTTGTCAACCCACTTGAAACAGTTCATTTGATCTGTAACATTGTTTTTTTTTATTTATTGAGTTCAAGATGAAATTGGTGTGAGTTAAATACTAATTAAGTTAAAAGTAAAGTTGTAATTGGTGAGTGATAGGTAGAGATGGTCTGTGCAAAGCTTTGTGGACAGTGGTTCATATGGTCAGTGTAATTTATCTTTCATTGTTTTGATAACTCACAAGTTCTACTGATCTAAGTAAAAAAAAAATTGTTTAACAAAATATAAATAAACTATAGTAGAAAAATATGTGATGTGTGTTGAATTTTGTACGCAATGTATATGATGTTTGCACTGCTGGCCTATAAAAGGTGAAAATAATATACAATATGCCCATTTCCCACTTTAAGTATAGCATACACACATATCAGTAGTATTAGGTACTATGGTGATTCCATAAAGACTAGTTTATGGGATGGTGTGGCCTAGCGGTAGATAGCTAGACTACTTACCAGAAAGTCTCGAGTTCAAATCCAGGTTCAAGTAAGTAGAATGTGTTGCGCTGCTGGTTACCTCTCTAAAGGTAGTTGGACTTTGTGCAGACCACACTACCCCCTTCAAATGCCGAGGTCTCTGAAGCAGATGAACTCTACTTCATCTGCTCCCATGTGTTTTAGGCACGAGTGGGAAAAGATGATGATAAGTACTAATTTAGTTCACAACATAACTCAGGGCACACAATACTTCAACAGGGTTTTAAAATAGACCTACCCCAGATATTTAAACATGCGCATACCTTGGACAACATTTTAAAATAGGTGGTCCATCAGATGTTTTACATAGGGTAAACAACGTATTTTAACTTGGCCTACATCAGGTAGTAATGTAAAGGTACTTGTGGTGGCTGACTCTACATAAGACTTGTGCAAATCTTACAGAAACCCGAGTAAGAAATATAGGACTACTTCGTTTTGTGTCGTGGTTAAGCTTCAAAAAAATCCCACTGCAGTTGTTGTGTTTTCAGTATGCATACAATTACTTTAAAAAAGAACAAGTATTGCATTTCTCTCAGTGCAAACCCCTATATAGGACTACATCAAACTATTTCAACAGACAAGACAATGCACCAAGCATTTGTATTACACCGTACGACTCTGATCTTGCCAAATGAACGATTACGCAGAACTTATTAGTTTTTCATATAGATAGGATCTTGATCTACTTGTTTTTGGTTGGTTTTTTTTTCAAAACTTGAGTGATTCAGCGCTCAAAGCAAAAAGTTAAAGTGGGCGTTTTCCGAAAACGCGCACGCCCTGATTTCCTGTTTTGCTTTCCCCCCAGCTAGACAGGGCATGCGTTAGACAGGAAGTTAAAAGTCCTCTGTAGATGGCAGGTCAAGTGACTGAAGTGGCTGTCTCAACATTTAAACACTTCCTTAATTTTTCATTTTAAAGGAAGTTATTTTTATTTTATTTTTGGATAGTTTTTGTTGGGCCGATGGCCTATCACAGGGGTTCCCAACCTTTTTTTTTACTCTAGAGCACATTCTAAAATATCGGTAGGGTGGCGGGCACCACCTATTTTAAATCGACAAACTCCTTCCAGAGGCGTAGCGACCCTTCCCGTCACCCGGGGACAAAACTTTCGATTTGAACCCCCCCCCCCTCAAATTTTCGATTTGCACCCCCTCAAACTTTCGATTGGCACCCCCCCCCCTCAAACTTTCGATTTCCATCCCCTTCAACCTTTCAATAATGTTTATGAAAAAAATTCTGTCTCTGTCGAATAGTAAGAGGCGGGCACATATGAATCGTTCGGCGGGCGCCATGGCGCCCGCGGGCACGGGGTTGGGAACCCCTGGCCTATCATTACCATGCCTAAAAAGGAATAATGGAAAGTGTTCGACATTAAGAGAATTGTATTTGAATGGGATCTGTAAATCCGATTTTAAATGAGGACTATGAGACCCCATGCTTATTTGACCTTACCCCTTTTTTGGAGTAACATGTCCATTTAGACTTTCTTTCGGGGAACTCGTTTACCACCCCACCCTCCCCCATCCCTACCCCTCCTTAATCTCGCCTACCGCTCTCCAGTGTTTCTTCCAGACTTTTTTCTCCGGGGGGGGGGGGGGGGGGGCACTTGAAATTTTCGGGGGGGCGGTAGACTTTCTTCGGGGGGGGGGGGGGCGGACACTGTTAAACGTATATATTTTCTATATAAATTATATAAATTTCATTTCGTTCGGGGGGGCGGTAAAAAAATTTCGGGGGGGCTTCGCCCCCCCCCCCCCCCCCCCCGAAGAGATGCCTGGAAGAAACTCTGCCGCTCCCTAGAACAAAACAGAATTTAAATACAAAATACATACTTCGGCTTTCCCCGGAGCAAAATTTCTTTATCAAACAGCCCGTTTTTTTTGGTTGTTGCTTTTGTGCTAACGTGTTAAGCATGAAAGGGTAATGAAATTTTGTTGAATTAAGCCTTGAAGCAAACTTTGCACAAAACCTAGATCTATTTTATAATGAGGAGCATGGAGCATCGGAACATGTTTCTTTGTTCTTGTAATTTAAATACTTCTTTATAAAAAAAAGTAAAGCGCACCCCAACCCTAGTTTAAATTCGGGCACCAAAATTTGGTGCGCAATTCAAGGCTCTGTTTACATTTCGCACTAATGGTGACGTCACGACTTTTTGCCTATAGTGACGGACGACTGTCACAAATCACTCCGCGAAGAAATAAGCCATCTTTGACACAATTCATTGAACAACTAATTAATTAAAACCGCTGAGAACTACAACGTTTTATGAAATGGACAATGGCGAACACCAATAAAAACAAAAAGAATCAATCGTAGAACGGGACAGTGCGATAGCTGTACCAGCTCAACAGATTCCTACCACGTCATTCTCTTGGTAACTGTGTTCTTCCATTACATCCTTGGTAACCAGACCCCCCATCAAGTTAAAGTTAGTAGGTCTAAGGTTGAAGAATTTCTTGGAGCTACTGAGACGAGACCAAGACCAGGCTTGGTCCAACTTGATAGTGTGTTTGTTCCAGGGGAGTGCGGTCCACGCAAACGCTCAAGATGCGGGAAATTATGCACATACAGGTCGGCCAATGCGGCAACCAGATTGGCTCGAAGGTGAGTAAGATTTTCTTGAGCTCAAAAAATTCTCTAAGTTCGTTACAATTGAATACTAGATCTATAATCTAGTATTATAAACTCTCCCTTAATTACTAGATCTAGATGTATATTAATATTAAGCAGAGACTTCGGCTCACGTAAGTCTTAAACAATTCGTTGTTTTAATGTTTACTAGTAGATCTATAATCTATTTATCAATGTATTAAAGATCTAGAATATAGATCTAGATCTATAAACTCTCCACCACTCATTATTTATTACCGAGTGGAGCTTTAATTGATAGATCCAGAGATCTAGTAAAAGTCGAAATGTGGGATTACGGCCTCGGAAAGTCTGTTGGCAAAATTCAATTCGACAATGAAGTTACAAATTGGCAAACTAGATCTAGATCTAGATGTAGATCTGAGCACTAAGTTATCGGGTGTTATGGAACCTTAACGAGAATGTAGACCATCAGAATTAAAGCTAGATCTAGCTACGATCTGATACAATGCTGACTTGAGCTTAACTTGGTCGCCGGGTCGATATTGTTTTTACTAAAGCTTGTGTAAGGTCTAGATTCTCTACATATCCTTTTATTTGAAGTGTATAATTTAAAACGTTCGATGTTCAATATCAGTGTTCAATATCAGTGAATTAAGTAGAATCTAGAAATCTAGATCTATGTTCAACGTCGTGACCTAATAAACCAGACCCCCCTCCCCTCACCCTACCTCTTCCTAAACACTCCCTATCCCTCCCCGCCCTATCACCCCACCCACCATTTCATTAAGCTTTTCATCAAAAAGTCAACACTCACTCCCATAGAGGCCTAGATGACTGATGTTCACAATGAACTGACAACCCCTACCCCATTTATCGTCCACCCACTGTATTCTATTAATCACTAACCCTAACGATCCTAAACTTCAACATCGGGGGTGGTGGGGGAAGGGTTAAAATATAGATGCCCCTTGAACCTTTGAACCCTTTCTCCATGTCCAGTTTTGGGAAGTTATATCAGACGAGCATGGCATTGACCCAACCGGAAACTACCACGGAGACTCGGACCTCCAGCTAGAGCGCATCAATGTGTACTACAACGAAGCCGCAGGTAGGCCCGCCATGTTGGTTTACCATTCACTTTTTACATATTACCCTCACATTTAATCAAACAAATTTGAGCGCATCAACGTGTACTACAACGAAGCTGCAGGTAGGCCCATTGCTTACTCTACTATATTTCACATAATACCCTCACACGATTGCTTACTCAACGATATTTTTCACATAATACCATCACACGATTGCTTACTCTACTATATTTTCACATAATACATTCACACGATTGCTTACTCTACTATATTTTCACATAATACCTTCACATTTAATCAAACAACTTTGACATCATCGTGTACAACAACGAAGCCGCAAGTTCGCCATGACGATTAGCTCAACATATTTTTTCACATAATACCCTCTCTTTTATACACTTGAATCTGAACGAACATGACGTTTAACTGAAAACATTTTGTATGACAGACCAAATAATTAAACACCTAGTTAACTCTTCCTTTAGCCGTACCTCGTCAGAAGAATCACCAGTCTATGCAGTAACGGTACCTCTATCAAACTTTAGCCTTGAGTTTTATAAACAACGAACCACCTTGACCCTGTGTTTGTTCTGCAGGTGGCCGGTACGTCCCCAGAGCAGCGTTGGTTGACCTTGAACCCGGCTCCATAGATTGGGTCAGATCTGGTCGCTTTGGCACTATTTTCCGCCCCGACAATTTTGTCTCGGGTAAAGGAGGTGCCGCAAATAACTGGGCCAAAGGTCAGTGTCACTTTGTATTTTTTTATGAGGTCGTGTGTTGTAACGATGCCAGTTGTTTCCATAGATCGCGTGCTACAGGTTGGTGATACGGGTCACAGGCTATGTGATTTTGTTACAGGTCACTTGTCAAATGATTTGCTACGTCACATATGTTGCTACAGGTCACGTGATATGATGTTGCTACAAGTCACGTGATATGGTGTTGCTACAAGTCACGTGATATGATGTTGCTACAGGTCACGTGATATGATGTTGCTACAAGTCACGTGATATGATGTTGCTACAGGTCACTTGATATGGTGTTGCTACAAGTCACGTGATATGATGTTGCTACAGGTCACGTGATATGATGTTGCTACAAGTCACGTGATATGATGTTGCTACAGGTCACTTGATGTGATGTTGCTACAGGTCACTTGATGTTATGTTGCTACAGGTCACGTGATATGATGTTGCTACAGGTCACGTGATATGATGTTGCTACAAGTCACGTGATATGATGTTGCTACAGGTCACTTGATGTGATGTTGCTACAGGTCACGTGATATGATGTTGCTACAAGTCAGGTGATGTGATGTTGCTACAAGTCACATATGTTACTACAGGTCACTTGATATGATGTTGCTACAGGTCACGTGATATGATGTTGCTACAGGTCACATGATATGATGTTGCTGCAAGTCACGGCTCACATGATTTCCAACACGTCACGTGATATGAATTTGCTATTGGTCACTTGTTTTTGCCACAGGTCACACGTTGTAGCCCTACCTCTCACAGGTCACATGCTGTATCCCTTCTTCTCACAGGTCACATGCTGTATCCCTTCTTCTCACAGGTCACATGTTGTAGCCCTACCTCTCACAGGTCACATGCTGTATCCCTTCTTCTCACAGGTCACATGTTGTAGCCCTACCTCTCACAGGTCACATGTTGTAGCCCTACCTCTCACAGGTCACATGCTGTAGCCCTTCTTCTCACAGGTCACATGTTGTAGCCCTACCTCTCACAGGTCACATGCTGTAGCCCTTCTTCTCACAGGTCACATGTTGTAGCCCTACCTCTCACAGGTCACATGTTGTAGCCCTACCTCTCACAGGTCACATGCTGTAGCCCTTCATCTCACAGGTCACATGTTGTAGCCCTACCTCTCACAGGTCACATGTTGTAGCCCTACCTCTCACAGGTCACATGTAGCCCTACCTCTCACAGGTCACATGTTGTAGCCCTACCTCTCACAGGTCACATGCTGTAGCCCTACCTCTCACAGGTCACATGTTGTAGCCCTACCTCTCACAGGTCACATGTTGTAGCCCTACCTCTCACATGTCACATGTTGTAGCCCTACCTCTCACAGGTCACCTGTTGTAGCCCTACCTCTCACAGGTCACGTGTTGTAGCCCTACCTCTCACAGGTCACCTGTTGTAGCCCTACCTGTCACATGTTGTAGCCCTACCTCTCACAGGTCACATGTTGTAGCCCTACCTCTCACATGTCACATGTTAAAACCCTACCCCCCCCCCCACAAGGGTTTAGCGGTAGAGAGCTGGACTGCTAACCAGTGAGTCTCGAGTTCGAATCCGGGTTCAAGTCAGTAGACCGTCCCTGAGTCCATCCAGTTCTGATTGGTACCTAACTCACGTTAGGGAAAGTAAAGGTGGCTGGGCTGTCTATCTATCGCAGAAACAAGTGAACTCTACTTCACTTGCCCTATAGACCGTCAGGTTTGAAAGGGAACTTTACTTACATACCCCCCCCATACACACACGCGTCACGTGTTATAACCCCACATGTCACATGTTATAACCTACCCCCATCCACACACACACAGGCCACATGTTATATCTCCCCACACACACAGTCACATGTTATAAATCCCCCCTCACTTTTACCCCCACAGGCCATATGTTATAACCACCCCCACTTTACCCCCTCAGGCCACATGTTATAACCACCACCCCTTTACCCCCACAGGCCACATGTTATAACCCCCCCCCACACACACTTTACCCCCACAGGCCACATGTTATAACCCCACCCAACTTTACCCCCACAGGCCACATGTTATAACCCCCCCTTTACCCCCACAGGCCACATGTTATAACCCCCCCCCCACTTTACCCCACAGGCCACGTTATAACCCCCCCCCCTTTACCCCCACAGGCCACATGTTATAACCCCGCCCCCCCTTTACCCCCACAGGCCACATGTTATAACCCCCCCCCCCTTTACCCCCACAGGCCACGTTATAACCCCCCCCCTTACCCCCACAGGACACGTTATAACCCCCCCCCCCCTTTACCCCCACAGGCCACATGTTATAACCCCACCCAACTTTACCCCCACATGCCACGTTATAAACTCCCCCCTTTACCCCCACAGGCCACATGTTATAACCCCACACGTTGTACCCCCCCCCCACTGTCACATGTTATAACCCCCCCCCCCTTTACCCCCACAGGCCACGTTATAACCCCCCCCCCCCCCACCTTTACCCCCACAGGCCACATGTTATAACCCCTCCCCTTTACCCCCACAGGCCACATGTTATAACCCTCCCCCTTTACCCCCACAGGCCACATGTTATAACCCCCCCCTTCCATTACCCCCACAGGCCACTACACAGACGGTGCCGAGCTGGTAGACAACATCATGGAGATCGTCCGCAAAGAGTCCGAGCACTGTGACTGTCTCCAGGGCTTCCAGCTGACCCACTCGCTGGGGGGTGGCACCGGCTCGGGTCTTGGGACTCTGATCATCAGCAAAGTCCGTGAGGAGTACCCTGACAGGATCATGTGCTCATACTCCGTGGTCCCTTCACCCAAGGTCAGCTCTGGGTTGGGTCTGGGTTGGTGTACGGTGTATGGGCTGGTTTGATGCGAAGTGTGTTTGTGTGTTGATAGGTGTGTGTGGTGTTTGTGTGGTGCATGGATGTGATTGTGTTTAATGGTGTTCATGTGTAATGGTATATTATAAATGTATTTTGTGTTGAATTATAGAAGTGTTTGTGTTTTAATGGTGTATGATACATGTTTATCCAATACTTCGTTATATACTGAAGTTTCTGTATATTGAATAGTCGGCTACATATAGAGCGTCGCATTTGAGCATAACCAACTCCTGATGTTGAGGAACATAGCAACAGCCAAGTAAAACATAGCGACTTGTTTGATTCTGTTTAGGTTTCCTAGGACGAACGGCAAGTGTCAAACATATGATATATGAGCCCTGGTTTCCAACATTCACTTCTCCCCATATTGCTTACATTAATCAAACCAATATCCAAGCCAGTTAGTCGGAGTTTGCCGTGTTGAGGCCTGCCTCGCTAATGAGAGACACCTCCTGAGACGGTGATGTCTGTAAAGAAAGAAAAAGCTTACACAAGTAGAGTCAAGTTCACTAGTCATGGACACTAGCGAGGATCTGTGTATTTATCAAACAGACCTGGCCATGTTAGCACAGAAAATATTAGCAAGTTCATCGATTCACTCTCTTTCCGGGCCTCTAGATAGAAGACCGATGTACTCTTAAGTTAAAATGTGCGAGACTGACCACTAAAGAATAAAATGTATTGTTTAACAAGTGATTGTATTAATTCAAGAGACTTGAACGTTGAACTCTATTCAGCACAATACACATGTTTGTTTAGAAGGACAGTGTGGGTCTATTCAGGGTTAGATAACATTAGCGAATGCTGGCAAAGATGTTGTAAAAATGTACGATAGTTTTTAATTGTAAATTGTATCAAAGTTGTTTTTGTTCGCTATTTTAACCCAAAAAATATCATACCCTATTCTTTAACAATAACTAAATTTGCCGCGATACCGGTCAAAAATACCACAGAACATAAGTTTATTGTTTCTTCAATTTCTGTGTATCTTTAGGTATCCGACACCGTCGTAGAGCCCTACAACTGTACTCTTGTATGTTAATTGTTTCTTCAATGTCTGTGTATATCTGCAGGTATCCGACACCGTAGTAGAGCCCTACAACTGTACTCTTGTATGTTAATTGTTTCTTCAATGTCTGTGTATATCTGCAGGTATCCGACACCGTCGTAGAGCCCTACAACTGTACCCTTGTATAAATTGTTTCTTCAATGTCTGTCTATATCTGCAGGTCTCCGACACCGTAGTAGAGCCCTACAACTGTACCCTTGCCATTCACCTCCTGGTCGAGAACACCGATGAGACCTACATCATCGACAACGAAGCTCTCTACGACATTTGCTTTCACACCCTCCGCCTCTCCACCCCCACCAACGGCGACTTAAACCACCTGGTGTCTGCGACCATGTCTGGCATCACCACCTGTCTCCGATTCCCCGGCCAGCTGAACGCTGACCTCCGTAAACTAGCCGTCAACATGGTGCCATTCCCCCGCCTGCATTTCTTCATGACGGGATTCGCACCTTTAACCTCCCGCGGCAGCCAGTGGTACCGTAACCTGACGGTTCCAGAGCTGACCCAGCAGATGTTCGATGCCAAGAACATGATGGCGGCGTGCGACCCACGTCACGGTCGTTACCTGACTGCGGCGACCGTGTTCAGAGGGAAGATGTCCATGAAGGAAGTGGACGAGCAGATGTTGAACGTCCAGAACAAGAACAGCCGCTACTTCGTAGAGTGGATCCCCAACAACGTCAAGACCGCTGTCTGCGATATCCCGCCCCGGGGGCTCAAAATGTCGGCAATTTTCATGGGGAACAACACAGCGATGCAAGAACCATTCAAGCGTGTTGGGGAACAATTCTCAGCCATGTTCCGTCGTCGTGCTTTCTTGCACTGGTACACAGGTGGGTTTGATACAAGCATCTAGTGGCCGTCCAGAAATGACGTCACGTAATGTTTGCCTATTTTTCTTATCCCCTCCATAGCGTAACACGTAGTCAAAACAAGCCCGACCAGCCCCACCCCTTTCCCCCACTTAAACCCTTAAATAAATCATGATTCTAACGTAAATTTTGTTCATCATTAAAATTACTATCCTAATGTATAAGATGTCATTTGTGGACAACTTAGATAATTATAAACATGTTTTATTATTATGTTTACAAGCAGTGTTTCTTCCAGACTTATTTCTCGGGGGGGGGGGGGGGCGGACACTGGTAAAAGTATGTTTTCTAAATAAATTCCATTTCGTTCGGGGGGGGGGGCGGTAGACTTTCTTCGAAGATACCTGGAAGAAACTCTGCACGTTTTTAAATAACATTTGCGATAAATGTAGTCTTATTTCATACAACACTGTGATGCACTTTATCTAACTTCTCTCTAGCTTCTCTATAGCTGTTCTATACCTTCTCCATACCCCCTCTACAGCTTCTCTATAGCCCTTATTCTCTCCGTGCTGTATCTAACATAGAGGTTTTGTTCCCATCTCTGTCCACTAGGTGAAGGCATGGATGAGATGGAATTCACAGAAGCCGAGTCCAACATGAGCGATCTAGTCTCCGAGTACCAGCAATACGAGGAGGCTACAGTGGAGGACGGCATCAACTTTTATGAAGAGGAGGAAGAGGAGGCATAAATCAATACCTCCCCAACGCCCACACCTTTGCGCCTTACATGCATAGCTTGACCAGAGTGACCATTGTCCATCTCGTAGCTATTGCTACCCATTACAGTCCATCATAGAAAGAGCCATAGTATACCATCGTTGAAAACTTTAACATCTTGAAGTGACTTTGATTTTTAAGAAAAATATAAAAGAACGCAACATCAATTATTTCGTTTCGCTCCTAGACAGAATATTACGATTCATCTTTTTTGAAAAACCAACTACTTAACCTCATGAAGCCTGCTGTATAGTTTACATCTATTATACTAATGTTACCAGAAACGAAACCAAAAAAAAATTCAGCCAACCCAAGCAGTGATGTAATGCTTTCAAACTTTGTTTACTTGTTTTCCCCCACCTGTCGTGGATACAATAAAAACATGGCAAGACAACAACCCGCCCCGAATGTTAATAAATTTATTATTTCAATTTTGGTCTTGATCATGTCTTAAACCTGAGGATGGTCGTGAGTTCAAATAAAAATCATTTTTAGCTTCACTAACTTTAATGTCAAAGTGTAGGAATTTATTCTAGCTCAACGCTATTGTTTAGACAGTTCTAACAATATTTCTGTTGTCCATTTACTTGAGTTTTGTTCGCTAGTTTGTTTGTTTGTTGTTGTTTTTTCCAGCTAATTTCCTTAACTTATTTTATTGTCTCAATGAAAGACGTCCAAATGCGTTTTGTTTTTAATTATACCTTGTTCTAAAGTACAAATTTCAATGCATCAGCAGATTTTTATAAATCGACACATTCAAGACACTATAAAACAAGGTAAAATGCGAAATAAAGATAGGGAAAACAATAGCTGTATCATTACATGATTACACAAAACGCATTACTACAAAGTATGAATTTGAAATCATTTTATTGAAAAAACTGAATAGACAAAGGACCAACAATACTAGAACAATGGGTACAGTGGATCCAGTTAACCTCAAACAACTAACCGCCATAGAACGCCTTCGTGAATTTCAATGAAGTTGTGGAAGTGGCTACACAATAGTAGGCCTATTAACATAAGTAACAATTAAGACTTAAATTTGTCAACAGCTGCCTTAAATGTAGGGCTGTTCCATATCAAAATGAACACGTCTCAGATCTTCAATGTTTACAGTTTCCGGTTTAAAGTTGATCTTTACAGGCAATGATGACGTTCTGTCAATATGGAACAGCAATTATTGAGTATGTCTTATATTGGGTGCTGGCCACAGATTGTATTTTTAAAACAAAAAAAGTATCGTTCTGAACATTAATCCACCTCACTAACAGTTAAAACAAATCCCTAGCGGAGGTATGGGAAAGGGGGGGGGGGACTGCACATATGTACATTTTCCCTTAGACTACGCTTTTAGTAGAGAGACCTTTGAAACAAAAACTCGAATTTGTGGCAGTGGTATTGGAGATAGTATTTTAAAGACATACTACAATGTCTCAGGTGCGTTTTGTTCGCCAACGGTCTATTTAGCATGGGTGTGTACTAAGGAGATGCTGATATTTCTTACGTTTTTATTTAACAACGCTATTAGCTTTATCGGGTCTTCTTGCTTGTTAAGCGTCATATGGGTCTACTAGAGTTCGAACTCGAGACTTTTCAGATAAGCAACCATGAGCTTTACCGACTCGACCACACCGACCCAGCGCCTTCGCCTAACCTTAAGATTTCTTACTAACGTACAATGCCGGGGAAACCAGCCTACTATTGCTACAAAATAAGGTTTTGAAAGTGTTTTTATAACTAGTGAAAAGAGTACTCGGCCTCTGACAGGGAAGGAGAATTATAAATACATGTTTTAAAAAAATTTACCTACAAAATGTCCACCAGTTTAAAAATAATTCTGTAGAGCCCCCCCCCCCCCCGTCCCCGTTCCCCCCCCCCCCCCCGTCCCCCAATAAAAGCGGGGTCCTAAGTGCTAAGCTATACCCTGTTTAGCTTCTACGTAAATCCGGCACTGTTGAAAACAGGAAGTGGCCATTGGGCACAATACCTGCACAAAAACATACATTTTAAATCCCGCCCCTACAAACATACATTTTAAATTCCACTCCTACCACTATAAGACAATGTAGCATTGTCTCCCCCCCCCCCTCTACCCCGTACTCGCTATTTTCGTTTCTTTCCTATCTGTAAAGAGCTTAGCGTGACGTCGTTAGCCCCACCCCCACCCACCCCCCACCCCACTATATCCTACATAACTCTCGCTTCTACCCTGTTGCTTGACTAGGTTGATTGTCCCATTGTAACTATATTGGTGGAGCCAGCGCTTGTGATGTCATGGCGTAGGTCTATGGCGGTGGTATGTGTGTGTATGTGTGTATACGTCTTCGTGTACGCGTACGTGTACATGTATGTGTAGGGTTATTATGATGTGTATGTTTAAGTGTGTGTGTGTGTGACTGTGTGTGTGTGTGTGACTGTGTGTGTGTGTGGTGAGGGGAAAAATGCGCATCACACCACTTGACCAATCACTTACACTTGTTTTTCCTCCCACATGAATGAAAAGCCCCAGATGTTGTACGAAAAGCGTTCAAGAGCTCTTTGTTAGAAACTATTGTGGCTCATTCACATAGTCCATGACATTGGCGAAAATGGCGTCCATTGATGACGTCATGTAAACCTAGCCCACCCCACCACCACCGTCACAACAAGCCACCCCCACTCCAGAACGCTTCCACGAAGCGTCTTCCCATCCCACCCCCCCCCCCCCTCAATTATCAATAGCTCTTAAGATTTGTTAACTTCTAAAGCCTATTATTCAACTTTGTCTAAATGTAGGTCTACCTGCCTACCCCTAGGCCCCCCCCCCCTCCCATTAACAAACCAACTAAACAGCTGAAAATTTCCACCTCTTAGTTTTTCAACAATCAAAATCCCTTACAATTCGACCCAGTAATCTGTTATTTAAAAACAAACGGAAAAAATACAACAATCGAGATGAAGGCCTTCACACTTGTAATACTTGAATCTACCAGTCGCTGTGACACCCAAAAGGAAACTTTGATTCAGACAACTTGAAGGGTCGTTCATTCATTGCGGAAATGGCGTCACACAGTCTAGCGAAGTAGTTTTGCGGGGGATGGGGAAAGGGGTGGGCTTGTAGTAGGAAGACTAGTCTAGAGCCGAATGATTGCGTTGTTTCAGTACAGTAAACACCGACTGCTAAGCCGGTGGTGATTTTCAGTACTGAAGATAGAAATCGAGCTTGGGATAGTTTTACAAGTTGGTCAAATGAAAGAAACTGGGATTTGTCTAGGCATAAAGTTAGAGAACTACTGAAGCTACCCAAGTACCAAAATGCGGAGAAGTAATTTTTCCCGTAGTTTACTGGGTGTTTCGCAGTTTTTAGCAATTTTGGTTGCAAATTGTTTGTTAGGGTCTGGACAAGTAAATGGAAATGATGTGACAAAACTACCTAAATCAACAAAGGTAAATAAGTTAGGTTAATTAATAGTTCTAATTAATTATATTACATCTCTAGAGATGTAATGACATTTTAGCTGAGACCGTTTGGCCAAAATAAATAACAAATTTATGCCAATTGTCATTGTGGAGTTGTAAATTGTATGTAGAATCTATTATTAAATGTATTGTCCAAGTATTCAAATCAATAAGTAGAAATTCATACACTATAATAAGTATATAGATCTAACTATATTCATATTATTATTGTGTATAATTAGTATTGTTGTAAATACATAGCTAACTAAAGAAAAGCTAATCTAAAGTGAATTAAAGGTCAATAGGTTAAGAACGAAGACAAATGATAGGCTACAGGCATTCATATAGACAAATGCTTATGTCATATACTTAAAATAAGATGGCCAGACAAAATATCAAACAAAGACATGTGGCAATTTCTAAAGCAACAGCCAATAGAGAAAGACATCAAGGACACACATTAAGAAGAGAAAAAGAAAACATCGCAAAACATGCTATGGCCTGGAATACCCAGGGAAAAAGGAGGGTGGGCAGGCCAAGGAAGGCATGGAGAAGAATGGTTGAAGAAGAGGCAAAAACAGCTGGGCACAGATTAAGGGAGCAGCCCAAAACCGAGTCCGCTGGAAATGTGTGGTTGCAGCCCTTTGCTCCCCAGGGGCCACAAAGGAATGATGATGATGATGAGGTTAAGAACAAAATGACTTAAACTTAGGCTGGGGCTATTTTTAATAATGGTTAACCTACTTCTTTTCTTTACTCACACAAAAATAACAAATAACCCAGTGATATAATTTGTCTCTGTGAAGCTAACCTAATAGCACTGTTTGAAAAAAACGTAAACGGCCTAATGTTTTTACCTCTTTTTTTTTTCCATTTATTTTTTCAGGTGATTGAATCATTCCACATCAGATCTGACATTCGCTATCGTTTTGCCACTACTCAGCTTGAAAGTCTTGTAAGGAACACGGCCAATAATTCCCAGCAAATAGATTTCAGTGTCACCTTGCCGAAAGAAGCCTTCATTGTCGACTTTTTCATGTAACTTGTGTTTTTAATTTCCTGTTGTTTTTCACTTTTTCAAGTAATTCTTGTTTTTAATTTCCAGTTGTTTTTTCACTTTTTCACGTAATTCTTGTTTTTAATTTCCAATTTTTGGTCACTATGCTAGCAAGTCAAGTTACACAACACATGCACATATTTTCACTTAGGCCATATGTTTGATATTGTGTAATGTAAAAAGTAACACAAAATAGCAATAGAACAATCAGAAAACAACAATAATACAACAAGAAGCCATTTGGTTTGAAATATAGAACCCTTCAACAATATATAGGCTCATTTACTAAAGATCATTTGTGTACATTGGTTTTGGTAGCTAAAAGCTAATGCCACTCAGCACTGATGGGTATCTGCTGGTATGATGATGTTATTGGTGTGTAATTGATGGTATGATAATGTGAGTGATGTGTCACTTAAGATATGATGATGTCATTGATGTTTAGCTGATGGTATGATGATGTAAGTGATGTGTAGCTGATGGTATGATGTCACTGATGTTTAACTGGCTGAATGTTAATGTCATTCATGAGTAATTGATAGTATGTGCCACTGATGTGTTGATGATGTTGTTGATGTGTGTTCTATGAAATGATGATGCCAGTGATGAGTGATGGTATGATAAAGTCAGTGATGGGTGATGTTATGATGATGTAAGTGATGGGTGACTGATGTTGTTGATGCTCTTGTTAAGATGATGTAGATGTAGGTGCATGTTGGTAATAGCAATGTCATTGATAAGCACCTGATGATAGGATGTAAGTGATGGGTGATTGTATGATGTCAGTGAAGTGTAACAGATGGTGTGATGTTGTCACTGATGTGTATCTGATGGTATGTTGACTTCATTGATGTGTAACTGACGGTGTGATGATGTCATTGGTGTGTAACTGATGTTTTAATGATGTTGTTGATGGGTGCCTTATTGTAATGATGATGCAAGTGATGGGTAAATGATCTGATGATGTAAGTGGTAGGTGATGGTATGATGATGTCAGTTGTAGGTGATGGTATGATGATGTCAGTGCTGGGTGACTGATGTTGTTGATGAGTACCTCTTATTTAGATGATGTAGATGTAGGTGCCTGTTGGTAATGGCAATGTCATTGATAAGCCCCTGATGATATGATATACATTATGGTTACTCGATGGTCTAATGTCCTTGTATTAGCATTGATATACATGATATTATCATCCATTATTCAAAACATTACTTAAACAATTCTGCTTATTTAATTAAACTTTCCAATTTATTACCATATCATAATGTGTGGATCAATTATTATATTTATTCCCATTTCTTTTAAATTCAATTTTTTTCATTTCACATTTTAATGGAAATAATTATTTCCCTTGTATAGCTAACATCCTGCCATCTTTGGAGAAAATTTTTTGTTCTCAAATAAAATTTTCTTGTCTTACCTTCTAGGGAAATTGATGGGAAAAAATATGATGGTGTAGTCAAGGAGAAGTCTCAAGCTAAAACTGATTATATAGGGGCAGTCAACCGCGGTGAGAGTGCTGGACTGGTCAGGCAGGCGTAAGTTAATCTCCGCTAACTCTTCTGTAACTAGCATACAGAGACATTTTGAAAAATAGGGAGGAAAAAAATATTTTTCCCAAAAATATATTCTTAGTTTTTTTGTATAGTAGGTATTAAAACTTTGTACTATTTTCAAGAAACTGTTGAACTTCTACTTATTTTTAAGTAAAAATATTTTCTGGGGAAATAGTGTTCATTACTGTTGTACTCTGCCATATGAATACATACTGTTTAAGTCCACTATATCCAATCCAATTTTCTCAGCCCTTGTACTCTGCTTTATGAACACATAATGTTAAAGTCTGCTATATCCAATCCAATTTTCTCAGCCCTTGTACTCTGCTATATGAACACATAATGTTAAAGTCTGTTATATCCAATCCAATATCCTCAGCCCTCGCCACTCCAACTTGTTTGACGTGTCAGTTAACATTGCCGCTGGATCAGCTGTTAACTTCACCTTGACCTACCAGGAGAGACTGATGAGAAAGCTGGGCGTGTATGAACATGAGATCTACATGAACCCACGCCAGCCTGTCCAAGACTTTTCTGTGGAAGTTTACATTCAAGCAAGTTAAATAAAAAATTGCATTTTAGCAGAGCATTTTGGTTATGAAATTGAAAATCTCCTTCAGGGGAAAATATAAATTTGAATTTCAACAGGCCTAACATTTTTAAAGATTTAGAAGTATTTTAAAAATTGCTGAATTATATTTAGATAAATAAATTTAACTTAGAAAACATTTTCCTTTATTAATGAGTAAAAATATTCCAATACTCTTTGTTTATGGGAGTTAAAATTAAATTTAAAATATTCTTTAAATTGCAGGAAAACAGGAAGTTGACATTTGTTAAAACTCCAGCTTTGAGAAAAGATTCCCTTGTAAATGAGGCTACAAATGACATCAATGGCAAGTTGTCTTTGCCTGTTTATTTACATTTAGTTGATACAGTTGTTTTTAGTATTATATCTGTTTAAAGTTTTAACTGCCTATAAAAGGGTAATAATATGTGTGAAGTGATAAAATGTTATTAAAATGTATATGATGTTTAAATAAAAAAAATAAACCAATCACTAAATATAATTTTTGCATATTATTATTCAAAGACTAAACAGTCCAACTCTATCAATGACTGTTTTAAAAAAAAAAAATTATTCTTTTTTGTTTGCAGCTTTTTTTTATTGAAACTTTCTTTTTAAAATTCACTTGTAGATCAAAATGTGTTGGCTGTTGTTGACCAACCTACCCCTGAGTCAGCCTACATTGTGTACAAGCCCTCCATTGTGGCTCAAGGCAATGAAGGTCTGGCTGCTCATTTTGTGGTGCAGTATGATGTGGAGCATAGTTCCAAAGGTGAAGTCCTGGTAGGTAGCAGATGTGGATGTTAGAATCTGGGACCAGTCTTGGTGAAGTCCTGGTAGGTAGCAGATGTGGATGTTAGAATCTGGGACCAGTCTTGGTGAAGTCCTGGTAGGTAGCAGATGTGGATGTTAGAATCTGGGACCAGTCTTGGTGAAGTCCTGGTAGGTAGCAGATGTGGATGTTAGAATCTGGGACCAGTCTTGGTGAAGTCCTGGTAGGTAGCAGATGTGGATGTTAGAATCTGGGACCAGTCTTGGTGAAGTCCTGGTAGGTAGCAGATGTGGATGTTAGAATCTGGGACCAGTCTTGGTGAAGTCCTGGTAGGTAGCAGATGTGGATGTTAGAATCTGGGACCAGTCTTGGTGAAGTCCTGGTAGGTAGCAGATGTGGATGTTAGAATCTGGGACCAGTCTTTCTATCTGGCACAACCTCTACTGTACCGTCCCCCCCCCCCCCCTCCACCCCAACTGGTTGATACCTGGACATTCATACTTAGGTAGCAAATTGACTAGTCTGGTTCCTCCCCTCCCCTTCTTTTCCCTAGCTACTAAATTCTAATAAATCAGTGTTTTTTTTAAATTAACTTTAATTAAATAATTTAAATCAGGGTCAGCTGCAATTTTTGAGCCATAATCCTAAATTGTTATTCCGACATGCTGAGAGTCATATTTAAATAGATATTATACATTGTTGAGCCACACTTAATTAATACTATAAATTTAAGAGCCAAATTTAAATTAAAACTTTAAATTGTACTTGTAGGCTGTAAATTATACTAATACAAATCTTACATGTTTTGTAGGTGGGAAAGTCTTATACCAGAAAAAATGAGCATAATGTCAATGTGTGATAAATAGGTATAGATGGAACAAATTTAGAAACTGAGGAATTTTTTTTTTAGTAAAACTAATACCTGCATGTAATGCTACTAGAGTGCAGTTAAGTAAATTGAACTTGGAACAGATTTTAGCACATCAACCTCAAAACCAACTTTTGAAAACAACACCCAACAAATTGTATCTGAAAACGGACACTCTTTTCAGGTAGTGGATGGTTACTTCCTCCATTTCTTTGCACCTGAGTTACCTGCCTTACCTAAAGACATAGTCTTTATTCTGGATGTCTCTGGGTCCATGATGGGTACCAAACTCAGCCAGCTCAAGACTGCCATGAAGAAAATTCTAGAAGATCTTCAGCCTGAGGACAGGTTCAACATCATCAAATTTAGGTTGGTTTGTTAGCTTTTAATTGTTGACAAATTAGGTTGGTTTGTTAGCTTTTAATTGTTGAACACATTTAGGTTGGTTTGTTAGCTTTTAATTGTTGAACACACTTAGGTTTGTTTGTTAGCTTTTAATTGTTGAACACATTTAGGTTGGTTTGTTAGCTTTTAATTGTTGAACACATTTAGGTTGGTTTGTTAGCTTTTAATTGTTGAACACATTTAGGTTGGTTTGTTAGCTTTTAATTGTTGAACAAATTTAGGTTGGTTTGTTAGCTTTTAATTGTTGAACAAATTTAGGTTGGTTTGTTAGCTTTTAATTGTTGAACAAATTTAGGTTGGTTTGTTAGCTTTTAATTGTTGAACACATTTAGGTTGGTTTGTTAGCTTTTAATTGTTGAACAAATTTAGGTTGGTTTGTTAGCTTTTAATTGTTGAACAAATTTAGGTTGGTTTGTTAGCTTTTAATTGTTGAACAAATTTAGGTTGGTTTGTTAGCTTTTAATTGTTGAACAAATTTAGGTTGGTTTGTTAGCTTTTAATTGTTGAACAAATTTAGGTTGGTTTGTTAGCTTTTAATTGTTGAACAAATTTAGGTTGGTTTGTTAGCTTTTATTGTTGAACAAATTTAGGTTGGTTTGTTAGCTTTTAATTGTTTAACAAATTTAGGTTGGTTTGTTAGCTTTTAATTGTTGAACAAATTTAGGTTGGTTTGTTAGCTTTTAATTGTTGACAAATTTAGGTTGGTTTGTTAGCTTTTAATTGTTGAACAAATTTAGGTTTGTTTGTTAGCTTTTAATTGTTGAACACATTTAGGTTGGTTTGTTAGCTTTTAATTGTTGAACAAATTTAGGTTGGTTTTGTTAGTTTTCAAATGTTGAATAAATTTAGGTTGTTTTGTTAGCTTTTTTTTCTTAATTTTTTTAAATATTGAATGTAATTAACTAAAAAGATATTTTGAAATCCATTTATGATACTTAAGTTTCATTTTACGTATTATTTTTTTTATTTTTTTATTTTTAAGCTTTGGTGATGTTGAGCATTATCAAATTTCTTTAAAAAATTTTGTAGCTGTTTAAGTGATATTTTTTGCTTATGAATAAGAAAACGTTGCACCTAGTCATAGATAGTGAACACAATTCTTCTTCTTCTTCTTCACCTCCACAACTCCCAGTGGAGCTTAGGCCATTCACAACATCCTTCTATGCTAATAACACAAATAATACACTAAATAAAAACTAGAGAACAGCTCAAAAAAATTTATGCTGTGTTTGATCTTCATTAACATATTAAAACAAATACTATTTTATAATCTGATTAACAATGACATGATATAAAAGTACCCATTATTCTATATTCTATATGTTGTGGATTGCTGAATGTCAATTTGCTATGAAAATTCTTAATTGTTAAATCAATCAAATAATATCCTACATTATTTTGTATAAAAAGATTTTTAAAAATAATTTTTAAATTCAAAAAGTTGTTGCTAAGTTTGTGTATAACTAAATAATCATTACATAACAAGAATCAACATTATAACATGAAGTGTTTGATATTTTAGTGCAAGTTTATTTTATATCAAGTAGTATACAATTTATAGCAGTTAGTCTACTTCAAGTGCAAGTTTATTTTCTATCAAGTAGCATACAGTGTTTAGCAGCTTCTCTACAAGTTTTTTTTATATCAAGTAGCATACAATTTATAGCAGTTAGTCTACTTCAAGTGCAAGTTTATTTTCTATCAAGTAGCATACAATGTTTAGCAATTTCTCTACTTTTTTTAGGTACAAGTTTATTTCATATCAAGTAGTATACAATCTTTAACAGTTCCTCTACTTCTTCCATGTTGTACTTAGAGCATCTAACATTCAAATTGGCATTTAACTAGCACATTTTGACTTCACCCAGCACTGACCTCACAAAGTGGAGAGACAATCTAGTACCAGCTACTCCGGAAGCAGTTGAAAAGGCTAAACTCTTTGTTGACAAAATGGACGCTGATGGATGTAAGGAAATTTTTTCTCTTGCCTGGTTTTTATGTATGTGCTTATGGTTATACCCCCCCCCCTTCCCCACAAGGTCAGATCCTGCTTCCAATAAGTTGTTTCTCTTAGTAAAAGGACATATTTTTAAAAAAAAAGAAAAATAAAGCTATTAATTACTGAACTATTAATTAATACTGAAAGTTTAAAAAAATCCTAATAGAGATACGGTACATTGACCAATCATTATAACAATTCTCATAAAAGTAATTAAAAATATAAAATAAAATTCAATTTTAATGTTATAAGTCCACCCCCGTCCCCTGCCCCCCCATCCCCTGTCTCCCGTTTCTGGCTTGTAGTCCCAGAGTTCACACAGCTCTGATGGGCACTTTAGTCCCACCAGAGTTCACACAGCTCTAATGGGCACTTTAGTCCCAGAGTTCACACAGCTCTGATGGGCACTTTAGTCCCAGAGTTCACACAGCTCTGATGGGCACTTTAGTCCCAGAGTTCACACAGCTCTGATGGGCACTTTAGTCCCAGAGTTCACACAGCTCTGATGGGCACTTTAGTCCCTGAGTTCACACAGCTCTGATGGGCACTTTAGTCCCAGAGTTCACACAGCTCTAATGGGCACTTTAGTCCCAGAGTTCACACAGCTCTGATGGGCACTTTAGTCCCTGAGTTCACACAGCTCTGATGGGCACTTTAGTCCCAGAGTTCACACAGCTCTGATGGGCACTTTAGTCCCTGAGTTCACACAGCTCTGATGGGCACTTTAGTCCCTGAGTTCACACAGCTCTGATGGGCACTTTAGTCCCAGAGTTCACACAGCTCTGATGGGCACTTTAGTCCCTGAGTTCACACAGCTCTGATGGGCACTTTAGTCCCAGAGTTCACACAGCTCTGATGGGCACTTTAGTCCCTGAGTTCACACAGCTCTGATGGGCACTTTAGTCCCAGAGTTCACACAGCTCTGATGGGCACTTTAGTCCCTGAGTTCACACAGCTGTGATGGGCACTTTAGTCCCTGAGTTCACACAGCTCTGATGGGCACTTTAGTCCCTGAGTTCACACAGCTCTGATGGGTACTTTAGTCCCTGAGTTCACACATCTCTGATGGGCACTTTAGTCCCTGAGTTCACAGCTCTGATGGGCACTTTAGTCCCTGAGTTCACACAGCTCTGATGGGCACTTTAGTCCCAGAGTTCACACAGCTCTGATGGGCACTTTAGTCCCAGAGTTCACACAGCTCTGATGGGCACTTTAGTCCCTGAGTTCACACAGCTCTGATGGGCACTTTAGTCCCTGAGTTCACACAGCTCTGATGGGCACTTTAGTCCCTGAGTTCACACAGCTCTGATGGGCACTTTAGTCCCAGAGTTCACACAGCTCTGATGGGCACTTTAGTCCCTGAGTTCACACAGCTCTGATGGGCACTTTAGTCCCTGAGTTCACACAGCTCTGATGGGCACTTTAGTCCCTGAGTTCACACAGCTCTGATGGGCACTTTAGTCCCTGAGTTCACACAGCTCTGATGGGCACTTTAGTCCCAGAGTTCACACAGCTCTGATGGGCACTTTAGTCCCTGAGTTCACACAGCTCTGATGGGCACTTTAGTCCCAGAGTTCACACAGCTCTGATGGGCACTTTAGTCCCAGAGTTCACACAGCTCTGATGGGCACTTTAGTCCCTGAGTTCACACAGCTCTGATGGGCACTTTAGTCCCAGAGTTCACACAGCTCTGATGGGCACTTTAGTCCCTGAGTTCACACATCTCTGATGGGCACTTTAGTCCCTGAGTTCACACAGCTCTGATGGGCACTTTAGTCCCTGAGTTCACACAGCTCTGATGGGCACTTTAGTCCCTGAGTTCACACAGCTCTTATGGGCACTTTAGTCCCAGAGTTCACACAGCTCTTATGGGCACTTTAGTCCCTGAGTTCACACAGCTCTGATGGGCACTTTAGTCCCAGAGTTCACACAGCTCTTATGGGCACTTTAGTCCCTGAGTTCACACAGCTCTGATGGGCACTTTAGTCCCTGAGTTCACACAGCTCTGATGGGCACTTTAGTCCCTGAGTTCACACAGCTCTGATCGGTACTTTAGTCCCTGAGTTCACACAGCTCTGATGGGCACTTTAGTCCCAGAGTTCACACAGCTCTGATGGGCACTTTAGTCCCAGAGTTCACACAGCTCTGATGGGCACTTTAGTCCCTGAGTTCACACAGCTTTGATGGGCACTTGACTCTGTTAAAATAAAGGCAATTGAGTGGTGATAACTACACAATCTCTTTCATCTGATGAGGTTAAAGAAACAGGTGAACTCTACTTTATTTTTAGTTTTGGACCATAAGGTCTTAAAGTGTCTATAATGTCTTTAATGTCTATAAGTAGTTATTAGTTTATTTATAGTGCACATCCATATCTGTATACTAAACCTTTTAAAAACCTAACACTAAACATAAAAGCATGCTTAACACTAGACTTACACATTTGCTGAAAATACAAAAATTAAGCAAATAGTAAACAATTAACATAAACCAATGATTAAACTATACACTATATTATCATTATCTAATTATCTTTTCAAGTGACCAACATCAACAAAGCACTTCTGGGTGGTATTAAAGAACTTCAATCTAGCACAGACAAGAAACAGGTTGGGATGATATTTTTCTTAACAGACGGGGAAGCCACTAAAGATGAAACAAATCCGGAAAAAATAGCGCAAAATGTCTTGCGGATGAATGAAGGGAAGAAACCCATATTTTGTCTTGCGTTTGGTAGCTCAGCAGACTTTAGCTCCCTGAAAGTTATCTCAACTCAGAATTCAGGGTTTGCTAAAAAAATTTATGAAGCCTCGGACGCGGCGCTGCAGGTGTCAACATTGTATCAGGAAATATCCACCGTCATTCTAGAGAACTTAACCATCTCGTACCTACCTAGTGAGGTGGACGTGAACACCATCACGGAAAATTATTTCCCAGTTATTTTCAACGGCACTGAGATCTGTGTCGTCGGACGGATGACGGACAAGAGGAATGAATTGAAAGTCGAGATCCAAGGGAGACAAAAATCAGGAGTAGTTAACCTGGTCCTAGATTTTGACAGTGCCAGTAATTTCATTCTGAGCACTGATTCATCAAGGAATCCATTTTTCTCAATGCCAAGGGATTACTCTGGGAGTGTGGAGAAGATGTGGGCTTACATGACCATCAAGAATCTGCTCAAAGAAAAAGAGAAGGTGATCTCGCAGGAGTTGAAGGCTAACGAACTTGACCAGAAGATTCTTCAGCTCTCTTTACAGGTGAGGTCTTTTCTTTGTAGGCCAACCTTTGTTTAGTAAGAAATACCAGTTAGTAGGAAATAAATGTTGGATAAATTATACATATAAATATTTTTTCTTATAAATGTTTGTTTAAATTGTATAAGTTGTCAGATGTTGTTGTATAAAGTATCATAAATTTCTGCCTGACTGAGTTTAAATAAGATGATGACTGCAGGATCATTTTACTTGTGACTCTTCGAGATTGGCCAGAATGTTCAACATATAGATACATTTCACTTTTTTTGCTCAATCTAGTTGCTGTTTTTGAACCATTGTATTTAATTTGAGATTTCTGGTTATTTTTAGAACATGACTTATCAGTCGTGTTATCAGTTTTCAGGATTTTTTTAACAATTTAGATATTTGATATAATATATTTAAAAATTTTTTTATTTTAATACAATGCTTGGATAAAAGTTTCCCATTTATTTAACTAAATCTTATTTAATTAAATGTATGAGTTTAGTATATGTATAGAGAGAGAGCATTTGGCGACTAGACAAAGGTCTTGAGTTCAGATCTTAGCTCGGCCTTGTGACAGTAAGACATTCCTGAGTCCACCCAGCTCTGATGGGTATCTGCGTACCAGACTTACATTAGGGAAAGTAAAGGCAGCTGGCATAGTGGCAACCACACCATCCCTTCATATGCTGAGGTCAAGAAACATATGAACTCTACTTCATCTGCTAATGGATCACTAAGTCTAAGGAGGAACTTAACTTTTTTTTGGCATATAATACACAACTAATATTGTGAACATAACATCAGTAATTTTGATTAATGAAAATTGTATTTGTGGGATTGAAGTTTTTTTTTACTGAATCTAATTATTGTATTATGCATTTTCTACAATGAAATATTTTTAAAAATATTATTCATTACAAATTTGTCACACCATTGACTTTTGATACAAATTTTCAGTAGGCTGAAATATTTATTAAGTAAAGTAAAGTTTCCCTTTCAAACCTGACGGTCTATGGGGCAAGTGAAGTAGAGTTCACTTGTTTCTGTGACCTAGGCATATGAAGAGATAGTGTGGTCAGCACTATGCCCAGCCGCCTTTACTTTCCCTAACATAAGTTAGGTACCCATCAGAGTTGGGTGGACTCAGGAACGGTCTACTGACTTGAACCCGGATTCGAACTCGAGACTTACGGGTTAGCAGTCCAGCTCGAAATATTTATTACTTGACTTTTTTTTTTTAATTTTCCAGTTCTAATTTTTTGCACCATTGACCTTTAGCATAAATTTTTCAGTACAAATTTGTCACCCCATTGACCTCCATGGTTGTGACAAAACCTGACGAAGAAAAACCTGTCCAATCAGAAGTGATGGACTCTGACCAGACGCCACCGTACCACCAAGCCCTTAGCCATTTGCCGCCAGTTATGCAAGCTGCCAGTGCAAGCTTTTATCCACAAAATGGTCTGTGTCTACTTGTCTGTTTCTACTTGTCTGTTTCTACTTGTCTGTTTCTACTTGTCTGTTTCTTCTTGTCTGTTTCTACTTGTCTGTTTCTACTTGTCTGTTTCTACTTGTCTGTTTCTACTTGGCCTATATTTGTTAAACCAAAACCATGACACTATGTTTACACTTCCAACATGAATGCTATACACGTCTCGAACACAAAACCTCCACAACTTTTATCTGGAAACATTTCCTCCATGGAACATGTATACTTTAGCGTTCACACTTACAAAACTTGTTATTCAACATTTTAGAAAACAAACATGACCTTTGACCTGAAGCATCAGCTATACAAGCATTGATAATAAAAAGAGAGAGTAATCAAAGTAAAAAGCAAAAACATATATAGTGGGCATACAACTTGATTATTTTAAAGGAAAATGGTTTAGCCATGGTGCCTATAATTCAACAACAAATTATCTAAAAATTAGAGAACATAAAAGATTTTATAAATTTTATTGGAGTGTTATCTGCCAAGTTTGAAATAAAGTTATGTATGATTGCACAGGTCTTAAGACACTGAACCCCTCTCTGTTTACTCCCTGGCCACTACCCACCTGCCTTTTCTAAACCATCCCCTAAAACTATACCCCCCCCCCCCCAGTTCTGCAGTACAATTATCTCCCCCCCCCCCCCAAAAAAAAAAAAAACAACCATGGTAGCTATTTACCCAGCTTACTGTCATTTTACAATAATTAGCTCTTGAGAATCATTTAGTTCTCTTAAGTAGCTTCTCCGGAATTCCAAATAATAAAATTAAATAATAAAAAGTATAACTAAAAGTATGTCAGTCTGTAATTCAGGCTCTTAAAGAAGATATAGACGTTAGAAAATTTGAAAACACCCTATTTTGATTATATTCTTCAGAAACAGATTGTATCATTTGAAAAAAAAAATATTTGTCTGCTGAAGTGCCTGATTTCTTCATAAAAAATATTGGGACTTTGAAATTATGTCACTTTTAAAAAATTTCTTAATTTAAATTATGGCCCATTTTATAGCAAACAATTATAACTTGTTATCTGCCTGTTTTTATAGTCAGTGGGCCTACATCTGAGATCCAACCTCTAAAAATATGCCCTCAAAGAATCAAGATTAGTAGATCAAAATTTAGGCAACACATTTTAGCTGAGTGATAGGAATTAGAATTCAATTACCACACAGTTAGTCAGTACTACGCTTCCAAACATGCGCTCTCATCTGAAAATTTAGAACATGTTTAATGCACAAAAAACAAAAACAGAACACAGAAATAGGCATGTTTTTGTGCCAAGCAGTTCAGATGTTCCATACACCAATAACATGTATAGCACACATATTAGTAGGTCAAGTCCTTCGTTCATGTTGTAAGTGTAAATGTGGTAAATGCCTAGATTTCTTAAAGATATCCTCTACGCTAACACCAGTTTGTATAAAGCCTCTAATTGTTAAAGCTAAGCTTTAAGCATAGACGTGTTCCAAAGTTCAACCACTAAGACTGTCCTGTATTCACAGCTTTCTTTGATGATCCTGATGGCGCGATTCAACCTGATTTGCCACTATCTGCCACTTACACTGCCCCGTTCAGAAAGGGTTCGATTCTTTAACAATTTGCTTAAATTTGTTTAAAGCTGCTTTGCTATTAAGAAGATAGTTACAATGCTTTCTACCTTCATTGTATAAAATTTCTTGAAAATGTCTGATATCCAGAGAGCAGTTAAAAAAACACCTTTTATTTAATTACTATCTGATTGATGAAAAACGTTTTCTGAATTTAGAAAACTTATTTCAAATCTACTGTTTTTGCAACAGTAATTTAAATAATGGTAGCTTAGCGCTAGTCTACATTTGAGCATGTTACATGAATTGATATGATGCTGTCACTAAAGACACTATCAGTTCATCTTAGCCAAGATTTCAGCTAGCATTACAACCCTTATGCTTACATATTGACTTATCATAAACCTTCTCTGTTTATATAGTTTCTAACATTTTATTAAAACGTGTCTTCTTTTCATTATAAATTTATCTAGCCACTTTACATTATTGGAGCTAAGTAATCTAAGAAAATCTTATAATTCCATTACCAGATAATTCACATATGAGTCATTACCCTCGAATGTCTTCTTTCCCCCGGGGAACTCACTTCTATCGAAAGAGTCTTTTCCCTTACGTACCGACAACTAATATAACTCGGATAGATCACGTAGCAAACCGTAAGTAAATTCTTTTAATTGTTCTTTAAAAAATTTCCGAGATTTTGAGTAAAGAGAAAATATTAATATAATTATGATCAAGTTCTTCTGGCTTCCCTCCCCTCCCCACAACCCTTTTGATAAACCTAGCTATAAGTTTATGTATTATTTTTATATTAATATTAGCAGATGAATAGGATTTTGATATTATGGTTATTTAATGGATTCTCATTAAACAGTCTCATTACCTAATTTGTTACCTACATATTTTTAACCCACATATTTATTACCTGCATACTTGTTATACGTGTATTCTCAAGTATTTATATATGTTTTGATAATGAAAGCAGAAACTATGTTGTGCACCATCACTGTTTCTATCAACATCATATTTGTCAATCAACTATTACTTTGAATATCTCATTTGCAAATCAACTGTTTTTATTAAAAAAAAAAAATTTAAGTAAAAAAGCTTTTATTATATTCACTAATCACAAAAAAAAAATCAGAAACAAAAAAAACATTTCCTTTTCATAGGGAGTTCATTGATAGGTATACATTCTATAGCCTAATATACGAAGCATGTTCAATTTTCATCATCCAGCACCTAGGCTTACAACCAAATAGCTTTAGTAAGGTTGCACCAAACAAAATGTATGTTTTACTGTTTAGTGTATTTTTTCCTTTTAACTAACGTGCAAGCTGATGACATTTTTTTTACAATTATCATTAAATTAAAACAAATCATTTATAAAACAAATTTCAGACCATGCAGACAGGCAACATGATTTAAATTCACAAAGTTCAAGAAAAGGTAAGACAGAAATGAATTATAAATTAAAATATAAATATTACTATTAGATCACACCACCCTCTTTCTTGTGGACTACAGATCTAGATAATAAACTTTAAAGTGTTAAATGATAGCTGCTGTGGACTACAGATCTAGATAGTAAACTTTAAAGTGTTAAAGTGTAAAAACAATGACATATGTTTGTAATAAAGTAAAGTTCCATTTTTAAACCTGATGGTTCATGCGGCAAGTGAAGTAGAGTTCACCTGTTTCTGTGACATCAGCATAGGAACAGATAGAGTGGTCAGCACTTTGCCCAGCCGCCTTTAATTTCCCTAATGTACCTATTAGAGCTGGGTGGACTTAGGGACATTCTACTGACTTGAAGCCGGATTCTAACTTTTCAGGTTAGCAGTCTAGCGCTCTACCCCTAGGCCGCGCCGCTCCACACATTTGCTGTATCAAAATGTTGAAACTTGCTTTATGATTTTAATTTTAATTTTCTTTTTAGTCTGATTTACTTTTTGTTCTTTTTCTCTATCAGTATCTAACAAAAAATTAAAAAAAAAGATATCAGGCCACTCAAAGAAAAACAAGCGTAGGTTTTTTTTTTTGTATTGTAAAAATATTAATTTGTTAATTCTGGTAGTTAAAAATAATAACTGCTTTGAATCAATATTTTATAGAAGTAATTCAGCTAACTACTTGAGTGTTTTGTATTTAAATTATTTGATGTAACAGTACAATTATGTTATTTTTATGACAAATCATCTTCTATTTTTAGACAAAGGAGCATTTGCACTGCCACTTTTCTTTGTTGAAGAAAACAAATCAGTCACATGCTTTGAGATGGAAAAAATCAAAACTGGAAAATATGATCTTTTAGTATTGGGTGTGTATTTGTATTTGTTTGTAATACTCCTTTTTTTGAATATCAAGGATAAGTATTTATAAGTTGAAATCAGGCTACTATGCTTGTTTTCTGTTGTTGGTGGGGATTTTTTCACACTTAGTAAACAGTAATGCATGCTCAAGATACTGGAGGCAGGAGAAGTAGAGTTTATCAGTATCAACATCACGCAATACTAAGTGGCTATTTCCAATCACAGCAGTCCGTTTACTCACATCTAAACCCTAATAGACGAGACTTGACTCTAATTAAACCAGAGAAGCTTGGGTTGTATCTCTCCACTTTTTATTCCACTTGCTTGTTTGGTGTGATAAAAATAACAATGAACCTTTGTCAATAGCATAGATACAAACTTAGTAAATCTATGACTTTTGAATGAACAACAGTACCAGTGATAAACTAGACTACTCAAAGTAGCATAGATTCTACTTCTATCACCGCATATTGAACTCCAAAGCCTCCATTACACAATGTTGAACAGTTATTAGGGGTCGTCCATAAATGACATCACACTCGTAGGGGGGAGGGGGGTCTGTAATTTTGTGATGGTGTGTGATGAGGGGGGGGAGGGGTTCAGATGGTGGGACATCACATTTTTGCTTTAACAAAAAGTAATGTTAGAAAACAAATTTTAGCCATTATTTCGCTTTTTAGAAAACTGTTTTAATAAATTGTAATAGGAATTGATTAAAATACTCTATGTTGAGAGAGTTCAGGCAAGATTTTGAAAAAATATCGATGTTTTAAGAAAAATTCAACAGCAGTTTTGAGCGAGGTTGTAGGTCAGACGTCATTTTAGGGGGGGGGGGGGGGGGGATCTGGCTTTTTGTGATGATGTGTGACAGAGGGGAGGAGGTAAAAATTGTCAAAAAAAATCGTGACATCATTTATGGATGACCCCTTAGTTGTAAATAGTTACTTTGTTTCTTTGGTGTTGAATGTTTTTATGTTGTTGAATATCTTTCTCAGAGAAAACGTTAAAGATTTCAATTGATGTCATCTGTTGAATGTTTTTATGTCATTGAACATCTTTCTCAGACCCAACGTTGAAGATTTCAATTGATGTCATCTGTTGAATGTTTTTATGTCGTTGAACTTCTTTCTCAGAACCAACGTTGAAGATTTCAATTGATGTCATCTGTTGAATGTTTTTATGTCATTGAACATCTTTCTCAGACCCAACGTTGAAGATTTCAATTGATGTCATCTGTTGAATGTTTTTATGTCGTTGAACTTCTTTCTCAGAACCAACGTTGAAGATTTCAATTGATGTCATCTGTTGAATGTTTTTATGTCATTGAACATCTTTCTCAGACCCAACGTTGAAGATTTCAATTGATGTCATCTGTTGAATGTTTTTATGTCGTTGAACTTCTTTCTCAGAACCAACGTTGAAGATTTCAATTGATGTCATCTGTTGAATGTTTTTATGTCATTGAACATCTTTCTCAGACCCAACGTTGAAGATTTCAATTGATGTCATCTGTTGAATGTTTTTATGTCGTTGAACTTCTTTCTCAGAACCAACGTTGAAGATTTCAATTGATGTCATCTTTTGAATTTTTTTACGTTGTTGAACATCTTTCTCAGACCCAACCTTGAAGATTTCAATTGATGCCATCTGCAAGAAGCGCTCTTGTGAGAAGATGATTATCACGGCTCAGCTAGATGGCAACTCTGCTGATGTAATGCTGGACGGTAATCCGATGACATCCAATAACTCAGGATTAAATATTACTGAGGATAAGGACTCTATTTCTGTTGATCTTGGTAAGAACTGCTCCCAGCAGTGCTAAACATAGTTAAATTAATTTAATAATAGCTTTTATTGAAAGGTTTTCATTTAAGCTATAATGATTTTATATCTGCAAAAAAAAACAACAACATAAAATATCCCAATTTAAATAGCTTACTACAATAGAAATGGGACATATAAAATTCTGATTTAAATCATTAGAAACAGATGAATAAATGTCAGAACTTAGCAAATACTTATTAACTAGAACACAAAATTAAAAATAAAATATTTGCTTGGAATTTTTAGTATTTGCTACTTTGACTGCAGAAATTTGAAAAAATGTAAACTGAAGATCTATACCCAAAGTGTTGCTGTAAATGCTCTTCATTTCCCACTAACATAAATTTGTCATCCATCCTTGTAAACAATTATTTGTATAGTGTCCCCTTATGTTAAATACCTATTTGTCTTTCCCTGTTTAGTCTTCTTAACATTAGGTCTACACAATGCATGTCTCATTGTGATAATATTTTCAATAAAAATATCACTTTACAGTTCCTTACTTCTGTTATTGCAGGTACTGTTCGTTTGACCGTTAACAGTTCTATGCTCAAAGGAGGCAACATTTATGATGTGATGATTTATTTAGACTCCAACCAGAAGTACACAGGGCTCTTATGTAAGTACTCCAGAAGTTTATCTGCAGTCTAGCCAATTCCAAGCTATTTTTTTTCTCTTGACCAGCCATGTCCATACTCCAGATATTTGTCTTCTATCCAGCTATGTCCATTATCTAGCTATTTGTCTTCTGTCCACTATCTATTTGTCTACTATCCAGCTCTGTCCATTATCTAGCTGTCTTCTTTCCACTATCTCTTTGTCTCTTTCCACCTATGTCCATTATATAGCAATTTGTCTCTGTCCACTATCTATTTGTCTACTATCCACCTATGTCCATTATCTAGCTATTTGTCTTCTGTCCACTATCTATTAGTCTCCTGTCCACCTATGTCCATTATATAGCAATTTGTCTTCTATCCAGCTATGTCCAGTATCTATGTATCTCCTGTCCAGCTATGTCCATTATCTAGCTATTTGTCTTCTGTCTACTGTCCAGCATTTATCAGTTCATGACAATCTTTATAATGAATGAATGAGACCTGTTGATGTTTAAATAAATTCATTTTTTTTTTCAGCACAACCAAAGCAATCGAATAGAAAACAAAAAAAACCAAAATGGAAAAAATCCAAGGGCATGTGTACATTGAGACAGGGAAATAACTCTGTGATTATCAACATGAAAAAAGCTAAAGGGGGTTAACTCTCACAAACCTCTGTACATGTGGAAATCAAAACTGAATGTTGCATTCTTTTAAACTTTTATGTTTAAAACTTCTGAGCAATTTGTTTAAACCCTTTTGCTGTGGTTAGCGTTTACAATAGTAAATCATTAATATTCTTTTTATGCTTTGTTACATCATGAATTTAAAAGAAGTCAGCAAAAAAACTCAACATTACAAAATGTAAAATTGTGGTTTCCCAAAGTTTTCTACAGTGCACTAAATTTCCTGTTTTCTTTGATAAAAGTGAAAAACACTAATCGCCTTGATATGCATCCTTTTAATTTAAGCAAGTTAACCCTATAGTAGTTAAGGCATGCAATTAAACAAACAAGGCTTGAAACTTACAGTAGAAATAGGAACCAACTATTTTACAAAGCTTTATGCTTTAAGGCACTTTAAGCAATGCCACACTTGCTTTCTGGTTTTTTTATCAGTGTTTTAATGCTTAGAGAATGAAGACAGCCATATGTATAGTAGATTTTTTTGTTTGTTTTACATTGCTTGTAAATGGCTTAAATTAAGAATCTGTTTAAAAATATGGTTTGCTTTAAAGCCATTATTAAACACACACAAAAATATGTGCCATTTTTGGTGAATTTTTTCCTGTGTATTAAAGTACAATAAAACAAAAATACAATTCTGAGAATAAAGTAAACAGCTTATTAAAATATTGATATTTAAATATTTGATGTGCTGCACTTAAAAATCTAAGCTGCAAGTCATTTACAGCATACTATGTGTTTTCTTTTATCATAACTGTTTCAGTATCAACAGAAATATTCAACACAGTTTAAAAAGAAGTTAATTAACAGAATTTTACTTAAAACTGTTCTTTTATTAAACTTTTATTTAACAAAGTACATTGTGTAAAAATTCACTTTTGATTAAGTTTTGTGGTATAAAAATAAAATTCAATATTTATTTCATAAACCAAAAATAAAACCTATCTTTTCTTGTTTCTTAATCTACATTAAAAAAACAACTAAATATTAAGAATATTTAAGGGGGAACTAGTACATAAAACAGAATAGAAAAAAAAACACCAAGAAATTGATAAATAATTACATTTAATTTACAAAACACTCTACTCACAATATGGCCACTGAATCAAACTCTACAATCACAGACAATTAAATACTGAAAGTTTGTGATTTTAAAAAAAATACTTTACTGTACTGGCATAAGTTATCTATATTGCAGACATGAATATTTTTTAAAAAAAAATTCATAAAAAACGTTTTAATAACAAGCTTTTATGTAATGATGCACTAAAAAGTAGAAAATAAATTATAGACTACTATTTAAATAACTATAAAGAAAAGCGTGGGTGTCTTCCTTAACATTAGTAAAGGTATCCAATAGATACTAAAGTGACCCACGCTTTTCTTTATAGTTATTTAAATAGTAGTCTATAATTTATTTTCTACTTTTTAGTGCATCATTACATAAAAGCTTGTTATTAAAACGTTTTTTATGAATTTTTTTTTCAGTACTTTACATGTTTATTTACAATAGTTATATGACTAAAAACCATTGCGCCTATTGAACGTGATGGCGCGCCTACTGAACTTGATGGCGCAGCTATGGAACGTGATGACGCGTGTGGTGCGGTCGGCATAGACATGCCTATTGATTCGGTCCAAATTTTAATTAATTAATAAAAAATTAATTAGGCATCCAATTAAGTCAAATTTAGTTTCAGATTGCATTGTCTTCATGTCTTGACCCACGTGCCAACTGTGAATCGTATCGGTCAAGTAGAACTGTCCGAATTTTCACTCCTGCGTTTCCGTCTAGACTGACGACAGACTGTCGACAGAGGAAGTGAGTTAAATAAAAGCTTGTAAAAGTGAGTTAAATAAAAGCTTGTAAAAATGGGCTTAACTTGTGTTTTCAAGAACTAGAAAGAAATATTTTACATTAACTATGACCTCAGCCAGACACAGATGAGCTGTTATTATTTTTAAAGTAATCATAAGATCAATAAACTAGATTGACTATTACTGTGCAACATTTAAGTTATGTTACTATGGCTCGGAGACTTGGAGGGTTACGAAGAAAAATACTGATAGGCTACAGTGTGGTCAGTGTGGTAGGTCAGTGTGGTCAGTGTGGTGGGTCAGTGTGGTAGGTCAGTGTGGTCAGTGTGGTGGGTCAGTGTGGTGGGTGTGGTAGGACATTGTGGTAGGTCAGTGTGGTGGGTCAGTGTGGTCAGTGTGGTAGGACAGTGTGGTAGGTCAGTGTGGTGGGTCAGTGTGGTAGGTCAGTGTGGTGGGTCAGTGTGGTCAGTGTGGTAGGACAGTGTGGTAGGTCAGTGTGGTGGGTCAGTGTGGTAGGTCAGTGTGGTGGGTCAGTGTGGTGGGTCAGTGAGGTAGGTCAGTGTGGTAGGTCAGTGTGGTCAGTGTGGTAGGACAGTGTGGAAGGTCAGTGTGGTGGGTCAGTGTGGTAGGTCAGTGTGGTGGGTCAGTGTGGTGGGTCAGTGAGGTAGGTCAGTGTGGTAGGTCAGTGTGGTGGGTCAGTGTGGTCAGTGTGGTAGGACAGTGTGGTAGGTCAGTGTGGTCAGTGTGGTAGGACAGTGAGGTAGGTCAGTGTGGTAGGTCAGTGTGGTGGGTCAGTGTGGTGGGTCAGTGAGGTAGGTCAGTGTGGTCAGTGTGGTAGGTCAGTGTGGTAGGTCAGTGTGGTGGGTCAGTGTGGTGGGTCAGTGAGGTAGGTCAGTGTGGTGGGTCAGTGTGGTCAGTGTGGTCAGTGTGGTAGGTCAGTGTGGTGGGTCAGTGTGGTGGGTCAGTGAGGTAGGTCAGTGTGGTGGGTCAGTGTGGTGGGTCAGTGTGGTCAGTGTGGTAGGTCAGTGTGGTGGGTCAGTGTGGTCAGTGTGGTAGGACAGTGTGGTAGGTCAGTGTGGTCAGTGTGGTAGGACAGTGAGGTAGGTCAGTGTGGTGGGTCAGCGTGGTCAGTGTGGTAGGACAGTGTGGTAGGTCAGTGTAGAAATCAGTGTGGTCAGTGTGGTGGGTCAGTGTGGTGGGTCCTTTAGTCCACCCAGCTTTAATGGGTACCTGGCTTACGTTGGGGAAGGCCAAGACGACTGGGCATAGCGCTGACATCACAATCCCTTCGTATGATGGGGTCAAGTAATATGAAATCTACGTCATCTGGCCAACGGTAGGTGTAAAGAGTAAGCTTTACTTTAGTTTACGCTAATACAGGAGAAGCAACAATGTTTATAAGACTAAGCAAACTTGTGTTTTAAGAAACATTTAACTGTTATCTGCCTCGAACTTGTGTTACATTTCCCTTTAAGAAGTTAAATCGAACTGCGAATAAATCACTACGGCTATTGAGGGCTTTGGAAAAGTGAGATACTCCTATTTATAGATATTTCATAGATATTTCATTTCGGGAATACGAATAAGTTAACTATTTCATTCGAACCAAGTGCGTTCTCCGTTGCTCTAATAGTGTTGTACAGTTGGGCGTTCTGGGTATACCCGTGGTTATTTTAGCACTTAGGGTCCGCTCGTCACGGAGGGTCAGTGAAACGGCTTTCGTTGCACCAACGGCGTCCTCCGGGTCTCGAGGTAAGTATACGGTTGGGTTCCCAGAATTCCCTCGCAGCTACTTACCCATAAGAGCGTTGGGGTACTAATTGACTCATTGATTTCTCTGCACCCAGTGGCGTGCAGAGGGGAGGGGGTGGGGCGGACGGTGCCCAGGCCCCGGGCATCCACTTCAGATGGACATCCAATGGGGGTGATATTTTTTTTTTGTTAATTGAAAAAAGCTGCGGTATGTGTCATTGTGTAATCACAAGTTTTCATCTGTCTCCACACTGACTGCTGACTGATTTATTTATTTACTAATCTCATCCAAAACAAATTGTAATACTCAATCGTCTATTACTATATGTATAGCACAACTTTTATGGAAAAAGAGAGCTTTAGTATATAAATAGTAATTAATGTTTCTTTAATAAATGCGGTCTTTGTATTAAAGTGTGTTTCTGATATTTATTTAGTATTGTGTAGGGGCATCTTTTAGAATACTTTTGCCCATTAATTCCTATGGACTGTAGGGGCATCTTTAAAGTAAAGTAATTATGCCCATATTCGTTATACTACTTTTCAAGGAGATCTGTAGAGTAATTATGTCCATAAGTATTTTATATACTGCAGGGGCATCTTTGAAGTAAGTATGCTTGTATGCATATAATATATTTGAAGGGTATCCATAGAGTAATTATACCCATCATAATTTTCAATTTAAAATAAATTTGGGGGAATTTGGGTAAAATTTAAGGGCATTTGCAGAGTAATTAAATCCATATTTTTTTTTTATAAATTGCAGGGGCATTCTTTATTCGTTTTGATTTATTATATGAATATACTAAAGAATAAGAATGCTCACACTGTTTTTGAGACACTATAAGGACACGCTCAAGAATATGCATCAACATATTGTTTTCTTATACATTGTAGTGCTATCATTTAAAATAATTGTGCCCTTATCGTTTTATATGAACTGTAGGGCATGGTAAATGTCGTATTAGCTTCATTATCATATATCTGACCTCGACATTCATTGATCTCTAATCCATATTTCTGAGTGCTGCTGGCAGTCAAGCTAAATATCTTTGCCTGTTGTGTCTTTAACGATACAAAAGTTCAATGAAACATAATACACGACTTAATAGATAAATAACATGAATGATGGTTAATATTTTGTTTATTTAAATGGTTATAATCATACATATATATATATATATTTTTATATCGGATGAAAATGCGCCAAAACAGTATTACAAATATTCTTTTTATATATTTACGATGTCTCTCTCCCACAAAACAACGTCAAGCATCTAAACATAAAATGATGTAAATCATTGTAGTCCAAACTATAAAACCACTAAACTGGATGTAAATGCATTGTGTACGATTTAATTCACTAAACCAATTTAAAAAAAACTGCTCAAAACTTTCTCATATATTTTATGTAACTATAAGGGTGTGGTATTTCTAGTCTGGTCGGACTGGAATTTGAGAAGTCTCAGGAAAAATCGGATACTTTTGGAGAAAACACGTAGAGGCAAAACGTTTTTAGAATTATCAAATTTTGAAAACCCTCGGTCAGATGAGGCTCGTTTGCTGGGGACAGCCATCTTCTAGGCCTCATTATACACACACACACATGCTCACATAAAGAGACCTACTCGCAGGGTTGTAGAATACAACGTAGGCCTACTTCAAAAAGGTTTCCCTCGTTTGTTTTTTTTCTTTATTCCAAAGAAAACTGAAAAAAAAGGAGAGACAAATTAAATTGAGATAAAGAAAAACATTTTGTTTTAAATCATGAAACTCTAATAACACGTAAATTACATGAGGTATCGGGGGGAGGGGGGGGGGGAGGAGCACAGATCTTCTCTCCAAGGCTAACCGTGTACATGTGTTGAGCTTAAGGCCTGTGTAGCGACAATGTTTAACTGTCTACGTGTTTTGAGTTTAAGACCCGTCTAGAGACAATGTATAACTGTCTACGTGTTTCATCTTAAAGCCTAACCAATGAGAAAGTTCAACCGTCGATGAAATACGTTGCTTCAAGTACCACCTTTTTTTTCTCTTGTTAATTTCAATTTGTAGTCAAGCGTTAAAAGAAAACAAGAAGATTGCCTAATCTAGAACATTTTTAGTCAAATGTCAATCTAGAACACGAATCTATGTCAGTTATTTGCAGAACCGGGCCTAAAAAATGGCTCTCTGAAATCAGAAAGACTTGAACCTCTAAAGTATTAGCTATTCAGCTACTGTTAGATTCAGGGCGTAACCAGCTTTTGGCTGTTCCTGCTGCCCCTAGATACACCATGGGGGGGGGGGGGGGTCCAATCTTACTGGATATTGAACGTAATCTGTGTGGTACATATAAATATAATAATACCCGTATTTTGTTAGTTATCTGATAGATGTCGCACTATGTTGAAATATATAAATATATACATAAATAAAAACCAACTTTTAAAAACACCATTTCGCATTCAAGTAGATTGTTGATGCGTTGGACTATTTTAAAAGGCTGTAGTTCTGAAGGAGTTTTTACATTTTTCGCGTGAGTAATAAGGGGTCATCCATAAATGAAGTCACGCTTTTTTGGACTATTTTTACCTCCCCCCTCCCCTCCGTCACACATCGTCACAAAAAGCCAGACCTTCAACCACCCTCAAAATTGCAGTTGAATTTTTCATAAATCATCGATATTTTTCCAAAATCTTGTCTGAATTCTGTCTATATGAAGTATTGTAATCAATTCCTATTACAATTTATTAAAATAGTTTTCTAAAACCCGATTAAACTAGTTTTCTAACATGGCTTTTTTATAATGCAAGTGTGACGTCGCACCATCTGAACCCCCTCCCCCTGATCACACACCGTCACAAAATTACGGACCCCCCCTCCCCCCTACGAGTGTGACGTCATTTATGGACGACCCCCCTAATTTGAACAATTTTTATTATAGATAAAAACGGTACAAACTGTCTGCTGGATTATGAAGCTCAAGAGTTTGATATAGTCTGTGCAAGATCGAGTTTGACGAATGCGTGTCAATATATTAAGTTTGTGTCAATATATTAAGTTTGTGTCAATATATTAAGTCTGTGTCAATATATTAAGTTTGTGTCAATATATTAAGTTTGTGTCAATATATTAAGTTTGTGTCAATATATTAAGTTTGTGTCAATATATTAAGTTTGTGTCAATATATTAAGTTTGTGTCAATATATTAAGTTTGTGTCAATATATTAAGTTTGTGTCAATATATTAAGTTTGTGTCGAGATGAATGGGAGTATCAGATAAGCCATTTTGGAATACTAGCTGTAGGCTGTAGCTGATTTGATCGTAGTATTCACACTATTGCTGTCTCATCTCTGGCAGTTGTATTCGAAATAAAGACATCTCACACTAGCCAAGAAATAACGGGTGAAATTTCTAACAACCAGAAAACGTACATATTAGTAAATAATGACGCATTCACCATAGGTCATCACATCGCTACCTCGAAAAACAAACACAGTCCCAAATAGTAGACCAAAATAGTAGACTAGTATTAACTTACCAGCGAAACACAAAAGTATGCCCACAGCTATCAAATTAAAGAAATCCTGGTCGTCGGAAATGTCTGCAGGCCTGTAAGTAAAGAATATGTTTGCAGTTTACATAGTAATATAGACAGATAGATAAATATATACATGTACAGGCCCTGCATTGGCATTTGAAATAAGCATATGTGTAAAGAGCTCTGATGTATGCGCTTATTAAGCATCTTATACAATGCACCCCTCGGAGTTTGGGAATATATCAAAGGTTCAATTAAAGGCAGAGGCGTAGCGACCCTTCCCGGCGCCCGGGGACATACTTTCAATTTGGCGCCCCCTTGGGAGCAAATTTTCGATTTGCACCCTCCTCTCGAACTTTTCATTTGCACCCCCCTCAAACTTTCGATTTGCACCCCCCCCCTCGAACTTTTCATTTGCACCCCCCCCCCCCTCAAACTTTCGATTTGCAACCCCCCCCCCTCGAACTTTTCATTTGCACCCCCCCCCCCCCTCAAACTTTCAATTTGGCCCCCCCCCCTAAGGTCGGCGCCCGGGGACATATGTCCCCCCCCCCCGCCCCCCCCCCCCCCCCCCCCTCGCTACGCTACTGATTAAAGGTCCACTAACATAAAGGGTAACATAATAATAAACACAAATAGAGAGATACATTTAATATAATACATATAATCAGAGAAAAGCGGGTTTGTAGGCAGAAGTTGGATAGAATGACCGCGGATTTTCATAACATTTAGGCCTATATAAGTGAAAACAACACTTACTCCTTATCATCCGACTCAACATCCGGGGTCTCTTGATCCAGTCTGTAAGTAAACAACAGATGTTTTCATTGTATATAGTATATATTAATACATAGATAGATAAACTGAAAAATAGATTAATATATATAATAAAACAGAAACGTGAAAGGCGGGTTAGTAGGCAAGTAGGTTGAAATAAAAACAACAAAATTTAAAATATTTAGGTCTACGTAAATAAAAGCAATCTTACGTTTCATTTGCTGGCTCCTCCTTTGGTGTTGGGGGCTCCACTTTTGGCCTGCAAGTTAAAGAACAAAATTATACAGTCTATATAGTTTATATTAATACACAGATACATAAAGTGATTAATAAATTAGAAAAATTAGCTCAAGAAGAAGGTAGGTCAGTAGGCAGTTAGTTGGATATAAAATCAAGAAGTTTTTAAATAAACCTACATTAGTAAGAAAACTTACATGTCGCAGCAAACACTTGCCGACTGACCGCAGCAGCCGTGAGGACATTCAATGGTGTAGTGGCTGGATAGGTTGATGTTCAGCACAAAGTTAAACACCTCAAGATACTGGCCGCTGTGATCCGTCCACACGGTACATATGGCAGCTCTCACACCTGAAGACAATAATAGCAGTTATCATTAGCTGCATGCCAGAGTTCATGGAAAATGGCATTGTTCACGCACACTTTTAGACAGACAGACAGACAGACAGACAGACAGACAGACAGACAGACAGACAGACAGACAGACAGACAGACAGACAGACAGACAGACAGACAGACAGACAGACAGACAGACAGACAGACAGACAGACAGACAGACAGACAGACAGACAGACAGACAGACAGACAGACAGACAGACAGACAGACAGACAGACAGACAGACAGACAGACAGACAGACAGAAAGACAGACAGACAGACAGACAGACAGACAGACAGACAGACAGACAGACAGACAGACAGACAGACAGACAGACAGACAGACAGACAGACAGACAGACAGACAGACAGACAGACAGACAGACAGACAGACAGACAGACAGAAAGACAGACAGACAGACAGACAGACAGACAGACAGACAGACAGACAGACAGACAGACAGACAGACAGACAGACAGACAGACAGACAGACAGACAGACAGACAGACAGACAGACAGACAGACAGACAGACAGACAGACAGACAGACAGACAGACAGACAGACAGACAGACACAAACATTACGATATCTTACCAGTGAACTGCAAAAGAAAAATAAAGAACCACATCCAACATTTCCTATTGCAGCAACCGGCATGATAGGTACGGTGCTCCACTTCCACAACAGGCAGTTTCTGTACGGATCCGTCTCCGTCTATCTTGGCCTGAACTATGGCCGTGGCCAATTCAGTCCCATCCTGTCCCAGCTCTTCCCCCATGTGGGCATTTTCTGTGACCAGGATCGATACAGGCTCCTTCTGCCTGGTGAGTAACATAGGCGTAATCTCTTCACCAAAAGAGTCGATAATGTTTGGACCCTGTCTTTTGTTCTGCCTGGGGTCATGTGTCACGGATGGCTGAGGCGGGTTCCAGAACTCCATCTGCAAATACATGTCGTAGTAACGTTAATCCTGTGACATCATACAAATACATGTCGTAGTAACGTTAATCCTGTGACATCATACAAATACATGTCGTAGTAACGTTAATCCTGTGACATCATGCAAATACATGTCGTAGTAACGTTAATCCTGTGACATCATACAAATACATGTCGTAGTAACGTTAATCCTGTGACATCATACAAATACATGTCGTAGTAACGTTAATCCTGTGACATCATTTAGTGGGGTGAGACAAATACATGTCGTAGTAACGTTAATCCTGTGACATCATTTAGTGGGGTGACACCAAGGTAAAAAAATTGCAAACTATATACAGAGAAATGATAATTACAGTTAATTTAATTAAATGGTTGATTAAAGTGAATTCAATAGCTTTTAAGAGCTTTAGTGGTAGACTGTACTGGGTGATGGTGTGGTTTAGTGGTAGACTGTTCTGAAGGATGGTGTGGTTTAGTGATAGACTACTGGGTGATGGTGTGGTTTAGTGGTAGACTGTACTGGGGGATGGTGTGGTTTAGTGGTAGACTGTTCTGAAGGATGGTGTGGTTTAGTGGTAGACTGTACTGGGTGATGGTGTGGTTTAGTGGTAGACTGTACTGGGGGATGGTGTGGTTTAGTGGTAGACTACTGGGGGATGGTGTGGTTTAGTGATAGACTGTACTGGGGATGGTGTGGTTTAGTGGTAGACTGTACTGGGTGATGGTGTGGTTTAGTGGTAGACTGTACTGTGTGCTTGTGTGGTTTAGTGGTAGACTGTACTGTGTGCTTGTGTGGTTTAGTGGTAGACTGTACTGGGGGAAGGTGTGGTTTAGTGGTAGACTGTACTTGGTGATGGTGTGGTTTAGTGGTAGACTACTGGGGGATGGTGTGGTTTAGTGATAGACTGTACTGGGGATGGTGTGGTTTAGTGGTAGACTGTACTGGGTGATGGTGTGGTTTAGTGGTAGACTGTACTGTGTGTTTGTGTGGTTTAGTGGTAGACTGTACTGTGTGCTTGTGTGGTTTAGTGGTAGACTGTACTGTGTGCTTGTGTGGTTTAGTGGTAGACTGTACTGGGGGAAGGTGTGGTTTAGTGGTAGACTGTACTTGGTGATGGTGTGGTTTAGTGGTAGACTGTACTGTGTGCTTGTGTGGTTTAGTGGTAGACTGTACTGGGGGAAGGTGTGGTTTAGTGGTAGACTGTACTTGGTGATGGTGTGGTTTAGTGGTAGACTACTGGGGGATGGTGTGGTTTAGTGATAGACTGTACTGGGGATGGTGTGGTTTAGTGGTAGACTGTACTGGGTGATGGTGTGGTTTAGTGGTAGACTGTACTGTGTGTTTGTGTGGTTTAGTGGTAGACTGTACTGTGTGCTTGTGTGGTTTAGTGGTAGACTGTACTGTGTGCTTGTGTGGTTTAGTGGTAGACTGTACTGGGGGAAGGTGTGGTTTAGTGGTAGACTGTACTTGGTGATGGTGTGGTTTAGTGGTAGACTGTACTGGGGGAAGGTGTGGTTTAGTGGTAGACTGGGTGATGGTGTGGTTTAGTGGTAGACTGTACTGGGTGATGGTGTGGTTTAATGGTAGACTACTGGGGGATGGTGTGGTTTAGTGATAGACTGTACTGGGGGATGAGGTGGTTTAGTGGTAGACTGGGTGATGGTGTGGTTTAGTGGTAGACTGTACTGGGGATGGTGTGGTTTAGTGGTAGACTGTACTGGGGGATGGTGTGGTTTAGTGGTAGACTGTACTGGGGGATGGTGTGGTTTAGTGGTAGACTGTACTGGGTGATGGTGTGGTTTAATGGTAGACTGTACTGGGGGATGGTGTGGTTTAGTGGTAGACTGTACTGGGGGATGGTGTGGTTTAGTGGTAGACTGTACTGGGGGATGGTGTGGTTTAGTGGTAGACTGTACTTGGTGATGGTGTGGTTTAGTGGTAGACTGTGATGGTGTGGTTTAGTGGTAGACTGTACTGGGTGATGGTGTGGTTTAGTGGTAGACTGTACTGGGGGATGGTGTGGTTTAGTGGTAGACTGTGATGGTGTGGTTTAGTGGTAGACTGTACTGGGTGATGGTGTGGTTTAGTTGTAGACTGTACTGGGGGATGGTGTGGTTTAGTGGTAGACTGGGTGATGGTGTGGTTTAGTGGTAGACTGTGATGGTGTGGTTTAGTTGTAGACTGTACTGGGGGATGGTGTGGTTTAGTGGTAGACTGTACTGGGGGATGGTGTGGTTTAGTGGTAGACTGTACTGGGTGATGGTGTGGTTTAGTGGTAGACTGTGCTGGGTGATGGTGTGGTTTAGTGGTAGACTGTACTGGGGGATGGTGTGGTTTAGTGGTAGACTGTGATGGTGTGGTTTAGTGGTAGACTGTACTGGGTGATGGTGTGGTTTAGTGGTAGACTGTGTGATGGTGTGGTTTAGTGGTAGACTGGGTGATGGTGTGGTTTAGTAGTAGACTGTACTGGGTGATGTTGTGGTTTAATGTTGGACTGTACTGGGGGATGGTGTGGTTTAGTGATAGACTGTACTGGGGGATGGTGTGGTTTAGTGGTAGACTGTACTGTGTGATGGTGTAGTTTAGTGGTAGACTGTACTGGGTGATGGTGTGGTTTAGTGGTAGGCTGTGATGGTGTGGTTTAGTGGTAGACTGTACTGGGGGATGGTGTGGTTTAGTGGTAGACTGTGTGATGGTGTGGTTTAGTGGTAGACTGGGTGATGGTGTGGTTTAGTAGTAGACTGTACTGGGTGATGTTGTGGTTTAATGTTGGACTGTACTGGGGGATGGTGTGGTTTAGTGATAGACTGTACTGGGGGATGGTGTGGTTTAGTGGTAGACTGTACTGTGTGATGGTGTAGTTTAGTGGTAGACTGTACTGGGTGATGGTGTGGTTTAGTGGTAGGCTGTGATGGTGTGGTTTAGTGGTAGACTGTACTGGGTGATAGTGTGGTTTAGTGGTAGACTGGGTGATAGTGTGGTTTAGTGGTAGACTGTACTGGGTGAAGGTGTGGTTTAAAGGTAGAATGTGCACAGGGGAAATATTGTAGCTTTCTGAAATTGAGGTGTAGGACATAAACTCCCTGTTGATTAACATCAACAAAAGAATCTAGACATTATTTTAATGGGGGGGGGGGGTACTACCTGGGGGGAATTGGGGGGTAATGTCCTAGACCTAGTTGCTACACACAAATAGAAACGACCCCGTACCTCATCACTCAGATCTGAAGGTGAAGGACAGTGGTACAGTTGTCTGACAACCTCCTCCTCCTCTGGCCCAAGCCAGTTTTTAAATGGGTTGGCGGTGGAGAAAAAATCTAGGTCAATGTCAAGGATGTAAGGTTTGCTCTGAACAGCATCTTGTATGTGGTGAGTCCATTCTTTGTATGATCTAAATATCCCTGAATGGCTGTCACTGCTTGAGCTAGAAGAGGCAGCACAGCTTCAACAGAATAAAAAAAAAATTCTATGGTAATTTAAACACATAGTAATATTAGTAATACTGTGAACAATAACTATGAAAAAATGGCAAAAAAAACAATGAATTGCCTCCCCTTCCACAATTGTAGCTACAGCTAAGCACGTCTCCAATTGGTTCCTTTGAGAGTCTACTGAGCACAGCCAAAACAAGAATAGAGATGGTTTGGGCATGTCACATGAACCAACGGCCTAACCAAAGCAATAATGCAGGACAGGGGGAATGTAAAGAGGTCATTGGATCGAGGACATGAAGCAGGACTGAGCTGCCCATTTCAGAACTACTCAGAGCTTAGAGTACCAAGACAGATGGTAGAAAATGGTGAGAAAATCATCTGTGGTGCCTAAGAGACTCTTATTAGGTAGTTTAAGGGTTAATTGAAGTATTTGTATTGGTATGGTCATTCAAGAAAATACTATGTAATCCATTTCTCAGAGTTAAAATCTAGCATAAACATTAACTCACACCTATTTCACAATTGTCATTATTGGAGGATTTGAGTTAAGGATCAAAATGTAAATGTTTATGTTGTCTGATATTCAGGGACAAACGTCTACATCAGGGGTCTCCAAACTTTTCAGTCCGAGGGCCGCATTAACTATCAAATTTCAGTTCGGGGGCCAGTTTCTTCCAGGCATGTCTTTGATTTTTCTGGGCAAAGTTCCTCAGCCATCACCAAAAAACGTTTTTTTCCCTGGACAAAAAGATCTCCGCGGGCCGGATAAGAGGACCTCGCGGGCCGCATCCGGCCCGCGGGCCGTAGTTTGGAGACCCCTGGTCTACATCATAAACATTATTTATCAATATAACAAATATACTGCTAAATATATTTAGTTTTTCGAGTTAATTCACATTAGGAAAAAAAGTTACTGTGGCAAATGAGCAATGTAGTGTAGGTGAGTGCATCTTTCCAAAACAAAAAAAAATTAAAATAAGTTAGCCAAATACTACAATGGATCAGCAGGCTGACTTAACACACCTTGAAGGCAATTCCTCCCAGTTTTTTGGTGCCAGCTCAACCACTGTCAGCTTGACCTTGCTCGTGTCTGTCAAACCTTCGACTTTGGAGAACAACCCATCCGTCAAAAAGTAATTTTCTTTACAAGACAACCTGGCAGACAAATAAAAATTATTATGGTTTATGTTTTCTGTAAATTGTAGTTTTAAAACTAAACAGAACTGTTGAGAAATAATCATTATAATGTAAAGTTAGTGGTCTAGGAATGTTGATATGCTGAACAAACAATGCTAATTGTACCTTAAGCTGTTTAGGGTGTTAGGTTTAAGGTTCGAGGAATAAATTTTTGGGGAGCTATTTATGTGGATATGCATAACCAACAAGTAGTTTATTACCTTAGCAATTGTTATACATTTTAATTAAAAAGTTAGTTTCAATACAAATTGACCACTATACATTTTTTTTAACAAATCAATAAATGTAATCAATTAATCATGTTTATTCAGTGTATGAATTTAATCCATTTACAAGGTAGTTTAAATATGCTGTTTCTATGGAAAAAAAATCCTTGTATTCATTGCTATACATTATTCCCCTGGATGTCATTTTTGCCTACCTTTTCCTGTTTAGATTTTATTTTATTGTAGTATTGCTGTGTACTAAAAAATGTTTGAGGTTCTGGAGATTTAACCCTTGGAATAAAAATCCGGATCTTCAACATAATAGTAAAACCTGTTTTACTCTATGGAGCCGAGACATGGAGAATAACTGCTATAAATAAGAAGAAAATACAATCATTTATAAACTCATGCCTCAGAAAGATCCTGCGAATTCGCTGGCCTAAAACCATCAGAAATGATGTTCTATGGCAACGGACAAATCAACTGCCAGCTGAAGTAGAGATTCTCCAGAGAAAATGGAAATGGATTGGCCACACACTCAGGAAGCCTGTATCCAGCATAACAAGACAAGCCCTCACCTGGAATCCACAAGGCAGGAGGAGGAGAGGCAGACCAAGAAAGACCTGGAGACGTGACCTGGAAGAAGACACCAAGAAGATTGCATACACCTGGGGACAGTTGGAGAGACTAGCCCTGGACAGAGACGTCTGGAAGGCTCTTGTCAGCGGCCTATGTCCCATTAGGGACGGCAGACAAACGTAACGTAAACATATTGCTGTGTTTGATTTTGTTAGGAGGGAACTAGATAATTCTAAGGGCAATAACTCATTAAATATTTTGCACAGAATTGGCCATAGTAGTTTCACTCCTCTTACATTTGACTAAGATAATTACCTATTTCAACCAAAATACTCTACCTAATTTTTCCTGATTGCACAGATTTTCCAATAGTAAACTCTTGTTCTGATGCTTGGATTTGATTGGCCCAGGGTGGTTTCACCCATACTATGTGACTGATGTGTTTTGCATAAGCTAGTGGGAGGAGCCAGTTTTCTATGCTGATTGACCTGCACACAAAAATAGAAAAAAAAGTTGTTTAATTAATAGCTCATCTGATAAATGCAACATATGATACTTTGTAAAATGGTGCCCTTAGCAATATATTTCTAGTGAATGCTGAAAAAACTTAAATAGCTCAGTATTTCAATTTCAAAGTTTAAAAATAAAAAAATAAAATTAATGATTTCAAAACATTCTCAATAATAAATCTCTAGGTGATGTATTATGTAAAATTTAAACAGATCTTAGTGTAAAGTAGAATACATATCTAATATTTTGACTCAACGTATTCGATAGCAAAAGTTATTTGAAAAGTATCTGTATCTTTTATTTTCCTTTTTAATTCTTTAAGTACTTTCAAAGTATGATAATAAATAATATAAACAGAATAAATAACATGTTTAGAACACATACTGGAATAATGATTGAGGTTGAAAAACAAGATCAGCTTGCATGTTGATTGGTATCAACAGATCAGGGTGAGAGTCCAGGTGAATTATGGGTATTTCAGTGAATTGTAGCAATTTAGAAGCAATGGCACGATGAATAAATGGCACCACCTGGAAACAAAAATGAGAAACAATATTCAACATTAAAATTTTAAATGCTAATTTATTTTTTTTATTCAAATGGAAAATTTTAAATGCTAATTAATATTTTTTTTATTCAAAAGGAAAATTTTAAATTCTAATTTTTTTTTTATCCAATATGGAAAATTTTGATAAAATACAAAAAGTCACATGTAATTTAACTAAAATAGTTTTAAGATTTCACACAATCAAAATTTGAGATGTTGTGAACAGATTTAATGAAAGATGTATACTTCTTTGTTTTGTAGTTAAACATTTGATGTGTAGGCCTACATGAATTTTATTTTGACTGCCGACTGACCAAAGAGTTAAAAAGAAATTTAAAAAAACAGAGTATTTTAAGAATGAAAGACTTACATCATTATGTTGTTCAACAATGTGAACTGGCAGTGTTTTGTTCTTTTTCAGTTTTGACATGTCCCTTCTGTAGTTTTCTAAGATCTATTACTGCTGATGGCACAATAAAAGAATATTTATGTTTAATGAAATTATATACATATTTTATATATAACCCTATAAATGCATATATATATATATATATATATATATATATATATATATATATATATATATATATATATATATATATATATATATATTATTTTGCGGGGTGGCCCTTTTTTCTAGTTCCGCCACTGGTTACATCAACTCAACGTTGCAATATATATGCCTGAGGAAAACGGTTAGTTTGAGAATCGTAATAACCTACATGCTAATCCATGCATGGGGGTGGGGAGTAAAAAAATTAAATACATCCTAAAGGAAAAAAATGAATGCATTACACATTAGTATATACATACTTACATATATATATATATATATATATATATATATATATATATATATATATATATATATATATATATATATATATATATATATATATATATATATATATATATATACTAGCCGTCCCCACAGGCCCTGCTCTGGATTCTGTGAAAAACCTTTCTGTTAAAGACCATTACCTGTGTGTTTAGTAATCATCATAAACCCGGCATTGCCCACCCAAACCACAACCAACCAAAACAACAAAACGCAAACATAACGCTAACACAATTACAAACACAAACGAAAACAAAAAACTAACAACAAACACAAATACAAACACAAATAAAAAACAAACAAAAAAGCAAACGAAAACAAAATCCTAACAACAAACCCAACCACAACCACAAACACCATACGAACACAAAGAACAAAAAAACGAAAAAGCAAACGAAAACAAACCAAATCCAAACGCAAAACCAACCACAAACACAAACCCAAAGAAAAAAACACAAACGAAAAAGCAAACGAATACAAACCAAATCCAAACGCAAAACCAACCACAAACACAAATACAAACACAAACCCAAAGAAAAAAAACACAAACGAAAACGAAAAAAACTTAATAATCGACTATAGTACCCCAACTTATTCATAGTCTTTTTGCACTCACTTAAACGAACGTAGGTGCCAAACCAAACCAAATGAACAATTATAATACTCCAAGCTTATTCGTAAAATACCTACACCATTTGCACTTGATCAATCCCCGCTAATTATGTAATTATTTTTTTCCCAACACCAAAACAAAGTAATACAAAGTAAATTCTTTTCCACTAATGCAATGTTTTATAAAGGGAAGTAATTGTGTTTTTTTTTAATTTATCAAAGGGAAGTAAGTGCTAAAGGACTCAATATAAATAATTTTCAGAAATAATTAGAATTTTTGTTATTTTTTTAAAATTGTGTTTAATGAACATGCCGACAATTATTACTATCAGTTTGATAGTACAGTCTACCACTAAACACCAATTGAAAATTTTACTAAATCTATATTAGAAAATATTTTTGTTGAGAATTTTGATAACAGATACGTCAATCAACGAACGCAGTGGTGGTGATACCACATTTAAGAATTTAAAACACAAAAATCGATTTTAAGTGTCAATCAATAAAAGGTAAAGATTAATGCTTTTAAAAATGGTTTTATAATATAATGTGTGCACAAATTAACTGCTAATTAATTTATCAACGCTAAATTCCTGATCAAGTATATTATTATACAACACCCAGCGAATCTTGAGGTGAATCTGTGTGTGAGTGTCAAAGTAATTAATTTGGTTAAAAAGTGTTCCTACCATTTATTCTTATTATCCATTATCTTCTGCATCAATACAAAAACATGACGATCAGAGAAAATCTCTTTAAAGACCAAATGCATAACGGCTAATAGATAGGAATCGGCATCCTAACAGCATGATTTGCAATGCCAAGTTGAGACGTTCTAGTATAGCGTCGGCAAAACTAAGAAAACACTTTCTTAAGCTGCATTGAGAGGGAGAATGTAATAACATAATACTCGCTAAAATGAACGGGTGTCTGAAATTCAACCGCAGAAGTCAAACTTATTTGCAGCAAACATTCATTATTTTGTTTTTGCTTTAGTGTGAAATAGTTTTGTTCTTTCAGCGGTGCTGATGCATTGTTCATTTTGTGCAAAAGTAAAATATACACCTATGTTTTGAATTTCAAAAAACAAAATAATTATTTTGTCCAATTAAGAAGGATTCGGTGAATACACATAGGAATCTGGTGGGGTTCGGTAGATCCAAAAACGTTAAAAACCAAGGGAAATTTTTGTAATCGTGCAATAAATCAAATAAGATTCGTCAGTTTTCGCAGTTTACACCTACCTATTATCGTTACGGAGTAAAGTGGTACTACTGTAATCATACAAGAAATATAAATATTAATTTTGACAAATCTCCACGTTTTAACCTTTTTGAGCCGGTAAAGTTTAGTTTTGCTATCTTTTTTATCATCCTGTCTGTCTGTCTACGTGTGTGTAAAAACCGATAACTTAAGTAGGCCTACTATTTATGTTTTTTTTCTCTCTCAATTTTTGAGCTATTTCCTGTACATGGAGTAGGTACTCTACTTCCGTTTTTTTTCAAAAGGCAATAACACGAATTTAAATTAGGTGGACGAATGCCTAATATAAATAATAAATTATATCTGCAGGTTTCTACAAACCTGTGGACGATTCGCGGCTACTGGGAGTGGTGCTTTACTTATTGTTCCGTGGGATAACAACAAACTGATAACTGTTTCAGTTAGATAGACAACATTTAACATATAAGTATAAGATCTGAAATATGTGAGGGACCTGTAATAAACTGATAACTGTTTCAGTTAGATAGACAACATTTAACATATAACTATAAGATCTGAAATATGTGGGGGAATTCTAATATCTGAAAGTGGAACTTAACTCTATTTCATGAGCATGGGCATGAACGTGAACGTGATTGTCAAGGTGAACGTCGATGTGAACATCAACATCAACGTCAATGTGAATGTCAACATCAACGTCAATGTGAATGTCAACATCAACGTCAACATCAACGTCAATGTGAACGTCAACATCAACGTCAACATCAACGTCAATGTGAATGTCAACATCAACGTCAATGTGAACGTCAACATCAACGTCAACATCAACGTCAATGTGAATGTCAACATCAACGTCAACATCAACGTCAATGTGAATGTCAACATCAACGTCAACATCAACGTCAATGTGAACGTCAATGTGAACGTTAACGTGAACGTCAATATGAGCGTCAACATCAACCTCAACGTGTGCGTCAACGTGAACAAAAACGTTAAGGTTATCAAACACAAAAACAAAGATTCTTTCTTTGCCTAAATCAACTACCGGCAAGTTTGACGTCCGTCGTGGTAAATAATAATGCTTCATTAACGCAGCAGTGAACAGCCTGGTTGGTTTATTAAATACTTAAAAATGTGGCTTTAAAAAAAGTAAGTAGACAATGGCTTTCAGAAGATTAATCACTTTCTTTAAGTCAAAGAGACATGGAGCGAAACTTTGTTTGGTTCAACAATTGTGTCAAATTGTGAACAAATAGTAAAGATGTAGTCGTCTCCGAATGGTGCGTATTGCAATATTTAGTGTTCAAAGCATTTGGTTAAGTCAGAAGACTGAAAATAACGCATAAAGAACATAAGTACAGTTTTAAAAAATTTACGAAAACAAGAACAAAATATCATATTACTCATTTTAATTAAATAACTAATAGGTGCAATCTTTAATTAAGGGATTATCTAATCTACTGCAGTAGCGTAATGGGTACGGGGCTGGGGCACTGGAAGATTAATCTATATAAGGTTCTTTACATACAGCTGATGATACGTCTTGACTCATCCCCAATCAAGCATGTTGTTATTCATTACAAATCCAAGCTATCTTTTCTTTAAAATATAATACACGGTTCTAGGCGCTTTGAACAAAGGTGTTTGAACACAGGCTATTTGACTACAATGTAGTTTGACCACAGGAGCTTTAGGTGGTTTGTCTACGTGTTGTTTTTATAGCAGTAATAATAAAATGTTAATTAGATTCAATTCATGATACAACTAAAACAATTTAATCTGACAACTTTCCTTTTGATTGACATTAATAGAAATTAACGTGTACTAAAAAAGTCAATAACAGTTTCTTTAATCCCAAAAGTCTGATGCTAGGCCTACTAGATTTATTAAAAACTCAAATTGAACATAATATTGCCGACCGACAAGGAAACAACACATTTTGGGTGATTGCTTTATAGAAGAGAGTGTAGACTGTAATGATATTCTTCGCAATTGTTTGTCCTTGCAGTACCTTCGTCAAGCGCCTGCGTTTGATTTCAAGTTTAAACTGTAGGCCTAATTGAATTTTTTACCACAATCACTTTATACAGCAAAGTTTAATCAACTTCAAGAAATGTGTTCAAATATGTAGCGCGGTTTGATAGAAAGGTATTCGTTGTGGGTGTGTGTACAGTTCGCACAAAAAAAAACCGTGACACATAAGAACGGTGTTAAAAAAAATAAAGTCAAATGCGGGAGTGATCTCCTCTAAACTTTCTCAAATATTCTTATATAACACTAAGGGGGATGGCAACTCGGGAATTAGACATGATGATTTTTACAAGCTTTTATTTGTTTGCTAACTCTGTCTGTCTGTCGACATTCTATCTGTCGTCAGTCTGTCTAGATCGAAACGCCCGAGCGAAATTTCGGGAACTTGTAACTGATGATCTATGCTGACACGTGGGTCAAGATATGAAGACAATGCAATTTTGACAAAATGCAAATTTGACAAAATTTGATGCATACTTAATTTTATATAAATTAATTAAAATTTTGTCCAAATTAGTAGGCAGTCTTATCCAACTATTAAGCACGATTATACGCGCATTATTTTGCTCATTAGGTACGCAATGGTTTTTACTCATGCAACTCTATTGCACACAAAGTAGAAATAATTTTTTTCTTTAAATATTTAAAAATAAAATAATACATTTAAATTACTATAAAGAAAATGTTTTATGAATTAATTAAAATTTGGTCCACATTAGTAGTCTGTCTCATCTAATTATTCCGCACTATTATACGCGCGTTTTGATATTCATTAGGTGCGCAATAATTTTTAGTCATGCAACTATATACAAAAATTTAAAGTACTGAAAAAATTTCACAAGAAACGTTTCAAAAACAAGCTTTTATGTAATAACGCACTAAAAAGAAGAAAATAAATGAATTTCTTAAAATATATTGTAATACTCTACTATTTAAATAACTATAAAGACACAAACACATACATACATACACAGGCAACAAACAGAATTACAGAGACCAGTTTTTTCGATTCGATTACGCATAAAACGCCGACATTTTTATAAATCTGGATTTATAATTTTTGCCCAATTTAAACAAGTCTCCTATACTCCGTTCATAATAAAGTACCTGAGGTGTGAAAGGATGAAAATTTCATGTGATTTTGTGTGCACGATTACAATACTCCCTTTATACTCTGTATACGAGAAAGTGGTAAAAAAAACGCGTATTAAAAGTTTATAAGTGCGTAAATCATACGACTTGGAAAATAACGGTGTAGCATTGAGTGTTCCTTGCACATCCGCCAGTAGAGGAGAATTAAAATGTAATATCTCCGTTTTATTTCGACTCATCCTGTACTAGAGGAGAACTTCTAATGAAGAAAGCTTCTAATGCACGATGTTTACTACCCGTGGTAGCAGTGAGCTGACTTAAGGCGGTCCTGCCTGCTCATTGTATGATGACGTCACATACAATGGCCAGAAAGGATTCCTTAAGTCGTGATCCTGCCGGACACCCGTAACTTCGCCTAGATATACAGTGTGTCTTCTGGGGGGGGGGGGGGGGAGAGAAACTCTGTGATATCTATCTAGTCGGTCCCAAGCCCGAAATAGAAAAGAAGGAGGGATTTTTTAAATTCTTCAATTAAAATTTAAGACTTTTAAAAACTTTTAAATTTAAAATTTTAAAATTTTAAAAACTTTAAAATTTAAAATTTAAATTTTGTTCAAAGAGTTTTTTTCAAGTTTTTATAAGTTTTTAAAAGTTTTTAAAAGTTTTAAATTTTTTAAAAGTTGATTTTTACATTTTAAAGTTTTTATACCCGTGCTTCGCTACGATTTGGATATTATCTCAGGATGGGGTCCACGCATTGGGGCGGTTTTATTTGTGTGAATGGGGGTGATGAAGATAATACCAGCCTGGTTATAGTTTGAATTAACACACACAAGTCCGATCCAAAAGATAAATGTCCTTTATTAAACAATCAAATTAATTCCCTACCTAACTAGCCTATACTCAGTGTTTCTTCCAGACTTTTTTCTCCGGGGGGGCACTTGAAATCTTCGGGGGGGCGGTAAACTTTCTTCGGGGGGGGCGGACACTGTTAAAAGTATATATTTTCTATATAAATTATATAAATTTCATTTCGTTCGGGGGGGGGCGGTAAAAATTTTTCGGGGGGGCTTCGCCCCCCCGAAGAGATGCCTGGAAGAAACTCTGCCTATACTCTCTACTACTACTGTCTACCGTTTTCTAGATCTGACCGTTTCTACCTCACGATCTACCTCTAATTCTCTACCTAACTCTGACCGCTCTCTATCAACGGTTACCTAGCCCTACACATCTCGACCGTCTCTAACCGATACCTAACACCTAGTCCACCGCTGATCTCACTACTAGCCTCAGTGGTCTCTCTACCCAACTATGTAACGTCTGTTTCTTTTAACCTCTATCTACTTGACCTCAACTAGCGTCAATACAGTAAGTAAAACAGAAATATGAATGAAAAAGGAAATTCAATGAAAGTGAAACATAAATGTAAGTAAAACAGAAATGTAAGTGAAGCAGAAATGTAAGTGAAACAGAAATAAAAGTGAAACAGAAATGTAAGAAAAACAAAAAACAGAAGTGTAAGTGAAATGTAATGAAAGTGAAACAAAAATGTTATGAAAGTGAAACAAAATTTTAAGCGAAACAGAATTGAAAGTGAAACATAATTGTAAGTGACACATAAATGTAAGTCAAAGCAGAAATGTAAGTGAAACAGAAATGTAACCGAAATAGAAATGTAAGTGAAACAGAAATGTAACCGAAATAGAAATGTAAATGAAAAAGAAATGTAAGTAAAACAGAAATGTAATGAAAGTGAAACAGAAATGTAAGTGAACCAGAAATGTAATGAAAGTGAAACAAGTAAGTGAAACAGAATTGAAAGTGAAACAAATCGTATGTGACACATAAATGTAAAGAAACAGAAATGTAAATAAAACAGATAAATGTAAGTCAAAGCAGAAATGTAAGTGAAACAAAAATGTAACCGAAATAGAAATGTAAGTAAAACAGAAATGTAAGTGAAACAGAAATGTAATGTAAGTGAAACAAAAATGTATTGTAAGTGAAACAGAAATGTAAGTCAAACCAAAATTTAATAAAAAGAAACAGAAATGCAAGTGAAACAGAAATGTAAATGAAACAGAAATGCAAGAGAAACAGAAAAATAAACCGGGAGTGATCTCCCCTAAACTTTCTCGAATATTCTTATATAACTCGGAATATAGACATGATTTTTAATTACTAAAACTTTAAAAAATAGAATAGAATCTCGTAGAAAAAAGAATTGCGCACCAAGCGAACGCAAAAAACAAAATGTGCATAATATTATTAGTACTTTATAAACTTACATGCGTTTTTTTGAGAAATCGGAGATAGCGTAAATAAGTACTTCCGGTCAACGGAAATTACTCAAAATTTGATAGAAGGTAGAGAATTAGATCTTTTACTCACATGTGAAATTTCATTTATCTATCTGAAATAGTACTCAAGTTATAGGCTTTTGAAAAATTCAAAGTAGAAAAAGTACCACTTCCGGTTATCGGAAATTGCTCAATAGTTGATCAGGATCTACGATTTGATAAAATACTTATATATAAAATTTCATCAACCTAGCTGTAACGGTACTCAAGTTATCGCGTTTACACACACACAGACAGACAGACACACACACACACACACACACACACAGACATACGGACAAAATTGCAAAATTATGTTTTTCCGTATCAGTGAGGTGTAAAACGTCGAGATTTGTAAAAATCTCAATTTTTTTTTTTGCACGATTACAAGACTTTCTCTATACTTCGTATATACGAGAAAGTAAAAAAATGAAACAGTCGTAAGTGAACAAAAAAGAAAAGAAACATAATTTAATCAAACTAGAAATGTAAGTAAAAAAATGTAATGTAAGTGAAACAAAAATGCAAGTGAAATGTAAGTGAAAATGATAATCGAAGTAAAAGAAATGTTAGTTAAACAGAAATGCAAGTTAAACAGAAATGTAATGTAAGTGAAACAGAAATGTAATGTAAGTGAAACAGAAATGTAATGTAAGAGAAACAGAAATGTATGGGAAAAAGAAATGTAGGTAAAACAAAAATGTAAAATGTAAAGCAGAATAATAAATGATAAAGACATGTAATGTAATTGAAATGGAAGTGAAATAGAAATGTAAGTGAAACAGAAATTCAATAAAAGTGAAAAAGAAATTAATGAAAGTGAAAAGAGAAATGTTTCTAAAACAGAAATGTAAGTAAAACAATTATGTAAGTAAAAACAACTGTTCTTTTATTAAACTTTTATTTAAAAACAAAAAATTTGTATTACATTTTAAAGTTTAAACAAACATGTAGGCCTATTCACAATTTCAAATGAATAGATTATCAACACACTATTTTCTTAGATACTTTAGCAACATTCTTGTATGGATGCAACAATCTAATTCAGTGTAGAGAGAACACTCAGAACAATAAAAAAAAAATTTGGCTTAACTCTATATGCACCAAGATTGTAAAATTTGATTCCAGATAAAATTTGGGTGAACAAAGTACATTAAATCAAATTTCACATTTGATTAAGTTTTGTGGCATAAAAAAAAAACAATATTTATTGCATAAATTTAAAAAAAAAACTATCTTTTCTTTTTTCTTAATGTAGAATTTAAAAGAAATTACTCTGAGCTTATATAGCTAAATATTATGAATATTTAAGGGTGAACTAGTACATAAAACAGAATAGAAAACAACACCAAGAAATTGATAAATAATTACTTTTAATTTACAAACCACTCTATATGGCCACTGAATCAGTCAAACTCTATAATCACAGACAATTAAATACTGAAAGTTTGTGTTGTTTTATAAAATATTTTACTGTCATGGCATACATTATCTATATCACAGACAAGAATATTTTTAAAAATGGGCTTAACTTGTATTTTCAAGAACTAGAAAGAAATATTTTACATTAACTATGACCTCAGCCAGACACAGATGAGCAGTTATTTTTTTTAAGTAATCATAAGATCAATGATATGTAAGTTACTAGATTGAAGATTATTGTCCAACATTACATAAGCAATTAGATCCACTATTATTGTGCACAATTTTAATTATGTTACTTTTTGGTCCATTCATTAGATACTTATATCTACTACTTTAATAATCATAGACACATTTTAAACATAAAGACATGTCATACTAAAAGGTCATAGTTCAAGAGATGTCAGTCAGACTACAAGGTCAGGAAGATCAAATTCAGGTTATTAGGTCAAGGTCAGACCACCAGGCTAGAGGTGGGGTAGTCGTCCACGTAACTCTGGGAGGGGATGAAATATTTCTGAGCAGACTTGAGTGTAATGAGGATGGGCTGTTGGAGCAGGTCAGACCACCAGGCTAGAGGTGGGGTAGTCGTCCACGTAACTCTGGGAGGGGATGAAATATTTCTGAGCAGATTTGAGTGTGATGAGGATGGGCTGCTGTAGCAGGGCCCTGTGGAGGTCTGCAGGGGACGGGAACGGGTTGAGGTGGACGGACTTCATGGGCAGGTTGATGCAGGACACAAAGCCTGTCAGGGTGCCAGGTGCTAGCTGTTTACCTCTGGCTATGATTGGTGGCATTCTGAATTCTGTAAACAATAGTGAGAGATTTAAAGATGGTTGGTGGCATTCTGAATTCTGTAAACAATAGTGAGAAAATTTATTATTGGTGGCATTCTGAACTCTGTAAACAATAGTGAGAAAATTTATGAAGATTGGTGGCATTCTGAACTCTGTAAACAATAGTGAGAAAATTTATGATTGGTGGCATTCTGAACTCTGTAAACAATAGTGAGAAAATTTATGATTGGTGGCATTCTGAACTCTGTAAACAATAGTGAGAAAATTTATGAACATTGGTGGCATTCTGAACTCTGTAAACAATAGTGAGAAAATTTATGATTGGTGGCATTCTGAACTCTGTAAACAATAGTGAGAACATTTATGAACATTGGTGGCATTCTGAACTCTGTAAACAATAGTGAGAAAATTTATGAAGTTTGGTGGCTTTTTGAATTCTGTAAACAATAGTGAGAAAATTAATGAAGATTGGTGGCATTCTGAACTCTGTAAACAATAGTGAGAGATTTAAAGATGGTTGGTGGCATTCTGAATTCTGTTAAAAATAGTGAAAAACTTTAAAGAAGATTGGTGGCATTCTGAATTCTGTTAAAAATAGTAGCATTCTGAATTGTGCATGCAAAACATGAGTGAAATAGTACAATTTAAACCATAATATTTAGTGGAATTTTGAGTTATGACAGAGGAGGCTGAAAAATTAACTAAATATAATAATTATTTTCAAGCAAGATGAAAGTACAATGAATAAAAAAAAAGTTTCTTTAAAATTTAACTTAATATTGCGTTATTAAAAAAAATAAGTATCTATTTGGTTTTTTTAAGCATAAGTTTTGGCATAATGACACCAAACAATTAATTTAGTGCAATAAATCATCTCCCCACAATTTGTATTATTTATTAACTTTTTATATGATCATTTAATGCTGATGTAAAGGTAATTTTGGCTTCAGCACTTAGCCTCAGAGTCAGGGAAACTCTACCTCATCCACCTCTGACACAAAACCTTTATTGTGTTGGTCATTGTCTGTTTTATTCCATTGAGTCAGTTAATAAAAAACTAATTAATTAGCGTAACGAACTTGCCTGTGTGTAAGGAGGTTTCGCGGTCAGCTCTACATTTACTGGTGTGTGTTTCACCCAGGCGGGTCAGGGCAGGTTTGCTGCAGAAAAAATGATTTTAAACTTTTTGGTAAATTCACACAGCACATTTCTTTTATATGTGATAATTAAAAGAAAACAATAATTCAAGGGTATTTCAGATAAATAAAAGCCTTTTACATTTCTTAAAACAACAATACTTATCTAGATTAACTTTTATATTGCTTTAACAATCATACATAGAACTAAGATTTGTGTATATTTACATTAGCTAAAACACCATATAGATTTTAAATAAATGTACAACTTTACATTTAATAAAAAAATATTTTTAGTGGTTTGTTTAGACAGTGCAGTACAAAAGATGTCATTTGTGCAGAAAGCAGAATTTCTAATTAAAAAAAATTACCAGCAAATTTTAATAAATTTTTTCTATTCATTTAATTTTATCACATTTTTTTATTTTAATTTTTATCACAAATAAATGTCATTTTAAAAAATTAAAACCAAAAGTCATTAAACTAAAAACAAGGTAATTAAAAAGTCTAGTGACAATTTTAGCGCAATTTCCTTATGTTATCTAAAAATAGCTCTGTCTTAGCGTAAATCAAGAGCAGGGTTAGTAAAACCATTGATTAGTTATTAAAACGTTTTTTATTAATTTTTTTTCAGTATTTTACATGTTTTATTTACAATAGAGTTACATGACTAAAAACCATTGCGCGCCTAGCTACCGAACGTGATGTCGCAGCCATTGAACGTGATGGCGCAGCTATTGAACGTGATGACGCGTGTGGTGTGGTTGGATAAAAATGCCTACTAATTCGGTCCAAATTTTAATTAATTCAAAAAAATTTTTGTGACCGAACGAAAGGATATTTTGAAAACTTTCTTTGGCAATATTGTTCTAAATTGTGGCAGGAATCGATTGGTACATGTTTCAAGTCGCTAAGTGGTCTGGTTGTCGAGATATGGGCCAAAAACTGCATTTTTTCGAGGGAAATCCATGAAAGAAACCCGGAATTTTTTTGGCCTATGTTCATCCTCGTAACTTGCTTAACATAATTGCTTTTGAAACTAGTCCTCGATATTGCTTCGTTGAGGAGGAGATACGACTTAAAGCTGCGGACACACATCCATTCATTCATACATTCATACATCCAGAAATGACGGGTTAATAAACGCAATTCTCCAGAATGGAAATTGCGCTAAATAATTATAGGCCTATACCATTTTAATACAAAAAAAACCTACTGGGCAATTTTCGGAAGAACAAGAACAGTGTTCTTATTTTGGGTAACAACTTCCCCTTCTTTACTGCGGAACACCTCGCCCCTCTTCAGCGCCTCCAGCTCTTTCTCCATCATGACCTCACAGAAGTAACTGATGGCATCGATGTACGTGACAGATTCCATGATGGAGGAGCCGTTCACCTTGTCCAGTGTTACTGAAAGATTTTAAGTCAAGTAGTTTTGATATGCACTGTGTTATTTAAATAAATAATTCAATAAAAAATTTTTTTTTATGAATTTGCAAGTACTTGTTATGTTTGAGCATAAAAAATATTGGTTTATTTTTGGACCTAAAAATATTGGCTTATTTACTTTGGTCCTAAAAATATTGGCTTTTTTTACTTGTGATTAAATGTATGTATGGCTCATTTACTTTGGATCTAAAAATATTTGCTTTGGATTTTAAAATATTGGCTCATGTACTTTGGATCTTAAAATATTGGCTCATGTACTTTGGATCTTAAAATATTGGTTCATTTACTTTGGATCTAAAAATATTGGCTATTTTACTTTGGATCTAAAAATACTGGCTTATTTACTTTGTACACTTTTTTGTATCCTAAAACATTAGCAGATTTTGTTTGGGATTCAATAAATTACTTATTAATTGACTGGGGCCTAAAAATTAAGAACGAAGAAGAAGAAAGAAGACAGGGGCCTCGTCTGTAACTGTTCTATTGCAAGTCATCTGGGTGTTTCTGTTGCAGGCAAGTTACCTTGACAAATTGGCCTATGTGAGGGGTTAACAAACTGACCTGTTACACTATTATAAGACATTGAAGATGTCCTCCCTGTTCTAGAAGATTCTGGAACCTTCAAACTTCCATGTTTAGATGAAGTCTCAACATCACCTGGTCTGACACTTCCCTAATTAAAAATAAATTAAAAACCAGAAAAAAAAAAGAATAAACATATATCAAACACTAAATATTTCAATTTTTTAATCAATTTTCATATACTTAAATTATAAAAAATAAAAAGCTCCGATTTTATTTTTAAAATTAAAAGAAGTAACAAAATTAAAGAGGCCTATATCGGACATTAAAAAAATTATTTTATATTTAAATTTTGGCATCAATTTTTATTTACTTTCCGGTCACTAGCAACTGTAGATAAACGTCCTTGCAGTGACTGCCCTTTGTTGAGTTTTTCCACTGTGTCTTCTATCCTCATCTTGTAAGCTGTCATCCATCTGTAGAGAACAATGCCAAGAGTTTTTGTGAATTTTTAAGTAACAAAAAATTCACATAAAATAAAACACTACTAGAAAATACACTACCAGCAACAAAAAAGATAACAGCTTTTGAATATAATATTTCTGCAGGTTTTATGATTGATTTAAAAACTATATATTAGGTAAATACAAAAAACACAAAACTATGGGAGATATGTGGGCAGGAAACAATACAAAGGCAAATTATGGAGAGGAAATGGTGATGGATCGGGCACATGATTAGAAAGGATGCTGGGAATAGAGCCAGGCAAGCCTTGGAGTGGAACCCCCAGGGCAGGCGACACAGGGGTCAACCCAGGAGGACATGGTGACGTAATGTGCTGGAGGAGGCCGAAAACAAATAGGAAGGAATTGGGAACAGCTGAAAAGTGAGGCAGGAGACCATGAGGAGTGACAGAGGCCCAATGCTCAACAAGGAATGAAAAGGAAAAATTATGATGATGATGATTTAAATACTAAAACGTTACCCTTTTAAACCTGGTGGTCCATGGGACAGGTGAAACTGAGTTCACCTGTTTTAGTGACCTCTGCATATGAACGGATAGTGTCGTCAGCACTATGCCCAGATGCCTTTACTTTCCCTAACATAAGCCAGATACCCATCAGAGCTGAGTGGACTCAGGAATGTCCTACAGTTTTGAGCCTGGGTTAATGTCTATGTGGGACGGAGTGGTCTAGTGGTAGAGAGCTGGACTGCTAACCCATAAGTCACGAGTTCGAATCCGGGTTCAAGTCAGTAGACCATCCCTGAGTCCACCCAACTCTGATGGGTACCTAACTCACGTTAGGCTAAGTAAAGGCGGCTGGGCATAGTGCTGACCACACTATCTCTTCATATGCCGAGGTCACAGAAACAAGTGCACTCTACTTCACTTGCCCCATAGACCATCAGGTTTGAAAGGGAAACTTTACTTACTTAATGTCTAGAGATTCTCAGGATAGCAGTCATGTGCTCTGTTATCTTAACACATCCTCTTGTAATGATTGTAAATAACTAATAGCTAAATCTGTTATGTTTTTACAGCCAACCACATCAACATATTTCCCATTTGTGCCAAAGAAACATGGGGCAGATGAAGTAGAGTTCATCTGTTTCAATGACCTCTGCATATGAAGAGGTCAGCACTATGCCCAGCTGCCTTAGTTTCCCTAATGTGAGTCAGGTACCCTTTCAGAGCTGAGTGGACTCAGAACCAACCTACAGACTCAAAGTTGGGATCAAACTCTACCATTCAACATCAACCTACTAAGCAGCAAATAAATTTTAGACTGACCTGTCCAGCCAGTTATGGACCATCTTGCGAACCTCCTCCGCGTGAGTTTTCTCATCAAAACTCCAAATGTCCCAGGTGTCCAGTTCCTTCTGGAACTGCCTGTGGGGGTCAACCATGCCCAGACTGGCCATCACTTCAAGGACAGCTGACCTGCAGGTCACAGCAAACAATCATGGTCACACTCACAATCAATCACAATTATAGTCAATCACAAATATTAATAGGGTTACCACCACAATCAAAACCATAATGGCTAATTTCACAAAAATTAAAATTACAATCAATCACAGTTAGTATCATAAACATTATGTGGACTAATGATTTAAGTCAACCGTGACTTATTATGACTTTTAACAATGATCCTGTCAGACTTTATATTATTTATCAATTAAGTAAGAAATATAAAAACAGAAAAAAAAATTTCTTAAAAAATCTTTATTTATACAGTTAGTTATATTTGCAATCTTACAAGTGAATTAATTTGAAGAAGACAAAAATGAATATATACCTGTGCACCATATCCCCATCTAAATAAAATAAAAACCAACATATACATGTAAAGCCGAATCCCTACCTAAACAAGACAGAAAGAACAAACATATACCTGACAACCATATCCCAACTAAAAAAGTGAGAAAGAACAAACATATACCTAACAACCATATCCCAACTAAAAAAGTGAGAAAGAACCAACATATACCTGACAACCATATCCCATCTAAAAAAGACAGAATGAACCAACATATACCTGATAACCATATCCCATCTAAAAAGACATAATGAACCAACATATACCTGATAACCATATCCCATCTACAGAAAGAACCAACATATACCTGACAACCATATCCCATCTACAGAATGAACCAACATATACCTGATAACCATATCCCCTCTAAAAAAGACAGAAAGAACCAACATATACCTGACAACCATATCCCATCTACAGAATGAACCAACATATACCTGATAACCATATCCCATCTACAGAAAGAACCAACATATACCTGACAACCATATCCCATCTACAGAAAGAACCAACATATACCTGATAACCATATCCCATCTACAGAAAGAAGCAACATATACCTGACAACATTATCCCATCTACAGAAAGAACCAACATATACCTAACAACCATATCCCATCTACAGAAAGAACCAACATATACCTGACAACCATATCCCCTCTAAAAAAGACATAATGAACCAACATAAACCTGACAACCATATCCCATCTAAAAAAGACAGAAAGAAACAACATATACCTGACAACCATATCCCATCTAAAAAAGACAGAAAGAAACAACATATACCTGATAACCATATCCCATCTACAGAAAGAACCAACATATACCTGACAACCATATCCCATCTACAGAAAGAACCAACATATACCTGACAACCATATCCCATCTACAGAAAGAACCAACATATACCTGACTACCATATCCCATCTACAGAAAGAACCAACATATACCTGATAACCATATCCCATCTACAGAAAGAACCAACATATACCTGACAACCATATCCCATCTACAGAAAGAACCAACATATACCTGACAACCATATCCCATCTACAGAAAGAACCAACATATACCTGACTACCATATCCCATCTACAGAAAGAACCAACATATACCTGACAACCATATCCCATCTACAGAAAGAACCAACATATACCTGACAACCATATCCCCTCTAACAAAAGATAGAAAGAACCAACATATTTCTGATAACCATATCCCATCTACAGAAAGAACCAACATATACATGATAACCATATCCCATGTAACAAAGATAGAAAGAACCAACATATACCTGACAACCATATCCCATCTACAGAATGAACCAACATATACCTGATAACCATATCCCCTCTAAAAAAGACAAAATAAACCAACATATACCTGACAACCATATCCCCGTCCAAGAACTGCGCAATCAACTCAGCAATCACATCCTTGTCCCTCACAGCAAAAGCCGACAGAGCTCTCAAAGCCGTCAAGATAAAATCCTTCTGCTCCCCCACCCCACAGTTGGGTGGGTTGGCGTGGTGATTCAGCACCGACAGCAGAGTTTTCACCACAGTCAGTGTGACGGAGTCGCTGAGGCCCTCGGAGTTGTAGATGGTCAGGATGGCCTCGGTGACGGCTATTTTGTGCAGCCATTCAGCAATGCGCAGCAGCTTCACAATCATGTTGACCAGCAGGTCCCCGGTCCATGGTTTGGGTAAGGTCTGTGGTGTCAAAGATGTAAATAATAAATTAATGTAACAGCTTCACAATCATGTTGACCAGCAGGTCCCCTGTCAATGGTTCTGGTAAGGTCTGGGGTGTCAAAGATGTAAATAATAAATTAATGTAACAGCTTCACAATCATGTTGACCAGTAGGTCCCCTGTCCATGGTTTGGGTAAGGTCTGGGGTGTCAGAGATGTAATCAATACATTAATGTGAGAAAAATTACTGGATCATACATTCCTACCCAGAGGCGCAGCGAGGGGGGGGGGGCGGGGGTGCGGACCGCACCAGGTGACACCATTTAGGGGGGGGGGGGGGTTGACACCAAGGCAAAAAAATAGCAAAATATGTAGAGAAAAACTTGATGGTGGGGTGCAAATCGAAAGTTTGAGGGGAAGGTGCAAATCAAAAATTTGAAAGTTTGTCCCGGGGAAGGGTCGCTATGTCTCTGGTGGGGTGACACCATTAAGTGCCGCACCGGGTAACACCCGACCTCGCTACGCCACTGTTCCTACCATATTTGGGAGACTCTGCCAGTTATTTTTTTAGCTTTATGGTCTATTCATATTATTTTCATTTGTTTGAAACATTTCAGATTTAAACAAATGTCTCTTTTACTACACAACTTTTCTGAAACTTAATTCCAAGAAAAAATCTGCAACTCTTTATAACTCATTTTTGTTTTCACTAAAAATGTATAAGTGGATCTAAAAAAAAATGTGTTTTAATAATAATTTAATTTTAGAAAAATGTTGACACAACTAAGTGCATAAATAAATAAGTAATTAGAATTAAATACAATCCCAAAATTGATTTCCTGCAATATTTTGGTTTTAAATTGTGGCAGTTAGTTTTACACTACTCAAAGCAAAGACCAGGGTCACATATAATTTTTGGAGATAGTGCTGAATATTTAATCTAAATCTACATTTCCATTGGGACTAAATACAAATTTACAAATATTGTTAAGCTAAAAACATTTTCAATATATTTTAAAATAAACTACTCACATTTTCATTACAGTTGGTAAAAATGATATCAAACTACTCACATTTTCATTACAGTTGGTAAAAATGATATCAAACTACTCACATTTTCATTACAGTTAGGAAAATACTTGTCAAACCACTCAGTTCCCACAAACTGTTTGATGAAGTTTGGTAGAGGTGTGGGGGGAGGTGGTGGTGTCGGGGAGCGTGGGGCCACAGGCTGGGGTTTGGGGGGTTGGCTGATCAACTTGATCACTGGCTTGGCTGGAACTGGTGCCAGACGTTTGATTGGTTCCACAGGAGGGGGCGTGGCCATCTTCTTGACAGGCTCTGTGACTTCCTGGAATGGATAAGGCTTAGGTTTAACATTAGGACAGTGTGGTCAAATGCTAGGGCTTTCTGCAGTCAACACTTAAGTCTCTAGTTTGGTAATTAGCTTGATTCCGTAGAATGTTCCAGAGTCAAATCAGTTTTATAAGGCATCTCTCAAGGATGATATGGCTGTTGGAGTTATGACTTTTCTATCAGTCATGACTCACAGATAGAAGTGAACTCTACTTCATCTGCCCTCATGATCATCATCTCAAAAGAAATTTAATTATTGTTTTTTTGTTTACTATTAGGCATATCAATACTTGCATAATTTTTAGAAGAGTTAGGATTAGATCTGGGTTAAGATGTGAAGATTAGATTAAGGATAGTGAATGTTGAGCATCCTTGGTTTACAGTTTAGGATTAGGTCTGGGTTTAAACATCAGGATTAGGTTAGGGATGGTGAAAGCTATGTATCAAACTATACAAGTTATATTTAAAACAAAGCTATCAGTAATAAAAATACAATAAAACTTCTGCTTCAACTTGTGTACTGTTAAATAGCACATCACACTGGGAAATGTACTCTTTATATTTGTTAGAACACCATCAAAAAACATATGTTAGACACTTGTAAAGTTTAAAAACTAAAACAAAAATTATTACACTGCAACTCCTCAGATGAAAAATTTAGTACCAAACAAAGCCTGTTGTTTGTAGTGTAAGGTGCAGGGTGTGTCGAGGTGCAATGTTGGTCATGGGTGAGTACACAAGCCAACTAACAAGGGAGATTATTTTATAATAGGATGTTGCTGATTTCCATTGTTTAATAAACAAATGGAGCAGTTGATTACATTCTTTTTTTTTTAAATTGATTGAAATACTACAATATGTCTAAATATTATATTAGTCAATTTAAAATTTAAGTGTGTTACAAACTGTATTCAATTTAGTTTATCTATCTGAACAGAAAATCAAATGCTTAAAAAAATCTAAATAATTTTTATATATTTTTGTTAATGAAACTTAGTGAAAATTTCGTTTAAAAATAATTTGGGCATTGAGAGGTTTAAGTATTTTATTTGGGCGTTGAGATGGTTAACTATTTTAGTTGGACATTGAGAGGGTTAATATTTTAGTTGAACATAAGCAACATTACATTTGACCAACAAGGTTTTGTTAACAAATTATGCTGATGTCTTACTTTGATTTTCTCAGGAGGTTTAACAACTGGTTCCTGTAAAATGGAATTCCCTTAAGTGTTTATAGAACAAACTTTTAAAAAAAAATTTTTGCAAAAGAATTCTTTAAAAAATGGAAGACAGAATCTGACATAAATCTGCTTCTGTTAATTGTCATACCATGAAAACCTGACATGACTCTGTCTATTGCCAGAAGATAAAATCCTGACTCTCAGTCCTGCTTCTGTTTAATATCCATTAATTCCAGCTCTATGTCAAAAGTGTATAACAATTATCTCAATTATACTTTCTTGTAGTTGAAGTTCAGTTTCAAGAAGTAAATTTTTATTTTTACAAAGGGAAGAGAAACCAAAAAAGATGGACATTACAATTTTTGTGTTTGCCTATAAATGTTCAACAAGATAAAAACCTATCAACATTTGCTTTGAGTTAACCTACAACATTTTAGCATGTAAATATATTCAGCTGTATAACATGGCTTAAATTTAATTTCCACCTGTTTCACAACATTTTGTATAGCAGAGCTTCTTCACTAAACTTCATATCAATAAACTAAAAGATTTACTTTGACTGGAGGTGGCTTCTCCATGATTTCTTGAACTCTGGACATTAGAGAGGACTTCTGGGAGTTACTTCCCTTGGCAAACATGTCTTCCTCATCACTGGATTCTGGGTCTTTGATCTGGACAGTTTTTTTCTTCTTTAGTTGCAGCATCCTTTGTTGGATCAGAGAGGAACTGGTTCTCTGGGGACCTTATACAACACATGCATCTGTCATAAATCTTATACAACAAAGTTGTATGTTATAAATCTTATACATATCTGTCATAAATCTTATACAGTAAACATTGTCTGTCATGAATCTTATACAGCAAACTTGTCTGTAATAAATCTTATACAGTAAACATCGTCTGTCATTAATCTTATACAGTAAACATGTCTTTCATAAATCTTATACAACAATGTCTGACATAATTCTTATACAGCAAACAAATCTGTCAATAATTATAAATTCAAATTTGTCTGTCATCAATTTTACAAATAATATACAATATTTTGATGCATAGAAGATGCGATTAATTTTATTCTTTATTTCAAAGGTTGCAGTCAATCACAAAAACAACACAGGAGAATATTGTACCTGATAAAACTGAGGCTGATTTTTCAGTGCTGGCTGGTGACTTAACTGATGGTGTATCTTTCATTTTGGCATCTAAGAAAAAAATAATTGCATAAATTCTTCATGTAGATTACACTTTGTATAACAATATATTTAAAAAAAAAAAACTTTATAAGAAAGTTGAAAGTAACATGATAGAGCAATCAACTCATGTAATCACTAAGAAGACTATGAATGTTAAAAATTTAAAAAAAGGAGAGAAGGTGGTCATGTGACCACTAAGAATGCTAAAAAATAATAGAGGAAGGAGAATGTTGGTCATGTGATCAGGTAAAGTAACCAACCAGTGGACTCGCGAGATTGAAACACAGATTCTGAGTCTGCTGTTTTTTCTTCCTCATCATCACTAAGGTCGACCTGCAATACTCTTGTGACATGCTCATCAAAGGTCACAGTTCGGCTTATTTCAGGTTCAAGGTCATCAGAATCAACTCTAATTGTCCTTCGCTGAAAAAAAAATTTATGTCTAAACATGAAGATTTTGAAACAGCAGTTGTGGAACAAGCTTATATCAACAAACTAAATCGTTAACACTTTAAACAGAGGAATACATTAAATGCAAACACAGTGTAGCATAATGGTGACACATTAAAACAAACAAAATAACTAATATTAAAACACAACATGGTGACATAAAGTGGTTTCACACATTAAAACACAAACTGGTGTCTCACAGTAAAACACAGTGGTGACACAAATTAAAACATAGTTGTGACACACATTAAAACATAGTGGTGACACACAGTAAAACACAGTGGTGACACAGTAAAACACAGTGGTGACACATTAAAACAAAGGTGGCATACATTAAAACACAAGTTGGTGACACATGTTAAAACACAATGGTGACACACATTAAAACACAGTGGTGACACATTAAAACACAAGTTGGTGACACACAGTGGTGACACACAGTAAAACACAAGTTGGTGACAAACAGTAAAACACAGTGGTGACACACATTAAAACACTGGTGACACACTTTAAAACACACACTGGTGACTCACTGGATACAGGCTCTGGATCTCAGCCAACTGCTTGCGTGTCAGTTTGGGGGGCTGGTAGGGTGCCTTGACCAGCTCCTCCTCTTTAGGCTGGGGTGGGGGGTACAGAATTTTCAGCAGGACTGAGTTGGGCAGGTAGCCAGAGAGGTGGGTGGGGAAACAGGCATGTGTGGACAGGGGGTCACTCATCTGTCTCATCTGCCCTAGCTCAGCAAAGAAACCAAGGGGAGGGGATTCAGGTCTGTACTTTTTTTCTAGTAAACAAAAATAGGAAGTAATTGTTAAAGATTGTGGGGAAATAACTATATAACAAATAAAATCAAGGGGAGTAACTGGTCTGTACTTTTCTTCTGGTAACAAAAATAGGAAATAATTGTTAAAGATTGTGGGGAAATAACTATATAACAAATAAAATCAAGGGGAGTAACTGGTCTGTACTTTTCTTCTGGTAACAAAAATAGGAAATAATTGTTAAAGATTGTGGGGAAATACCCATAGAACTAATGAAATGAAGGGTTATTAGTTTAAATACTGGGCATGCAAACATTCCAGTTCTGTTACTCAAGCCCATTCAGGTCAAAACTTCAACTATTTTTCAGCCTAGCAGCATGTTTAGTATGGTCTAGCAGCAATGTTTAGTATGGTCTAGCAGCAATGTTTAGTATGGTCTAGCAAGCAGTTCACATTACAAAATTTTTTGGTTGATCTTGTAGGTTTTACAAGGAACAGTGTGGTCGAATGGTAGAGCATTTCACTGCTAACCTAAAAGTCTCAAGTTCAGATCCAGGGCTTGAGTCTGTACAACGTCCTTGAGTTGACCATGCTCTAATGGGTACCTAACTCTAAGGAAAGTAAAGGCAGCTGGGCATAGTGCTGACTACACTATCCCTTTAAATGCTGAGGTCACTGAAGTAGGTGAAATCTACTTCATGTGCAGCATGGACTGTCAGGTTCACTAGGGTACTTTTGTTTTTAGTTGGCTTATGGGAATGTAGTAGGTAGAGAGAGGCTGGCAGGAGAGAGGGACTGGATTTGGGATTTGTAAACACAATGCCAAACAGTGCTAAAGCTTGCTTAAAAATAAAAATGTTGTATGGTAGTTTTATGGTAGTTTACGTTTCTTATATACTTCCATAGTTTTCATGTTCAATTAATTTATTTTTAACTATATTTTCAAGATTGTCCTATCTGATAGTAGGCTGTTCTATAGCAAGTATTTGAGTTTTGAAAACCGAACAACAAAGGAATATAAAAATACCTTCTTCTTTTACATTTCCTTCAAATGCCTTTAGTTCCTGATCCAGTTTTTTCTTAACACTGTCTCTAGGGAACTCTTCATCCTTTGGAAGCTGAAATGAACCACAAAAACTTTAAAACCAGTAGCTTCATGTACAATTTTTTAAATATACTGTCACAACTATTTTAAAGATAAGAAATTAAACTTATAGTTTCTGCATACATAGCCCTTAGAGAATATGGTCAATTGGAAATTGAAATGTTTAATTAGCAGATATTGTTGTCTTTGTTGATAAATGATTAAGTTTGTTAAATGTGTAACACAGGCTGCTTATGATGAAATAAAGAAAGTTGTCTGAGAAGAAAATGTTGAATAAATATATTTTGTCAAAAGTCATTTTGGTCAAAATGTCATAAAGCTTGTACTTTACATATGTAAACCTCTATTAACAAATTTAGTGGCAGTGGGTTTAAAAGTAGACTATGTACATAGAAGTAGAAAAATCCAGGTCCCATCTCTAGATTTAAAATATTTAACTGTGCCACTGGTTTAGCTTATTTCTCATCTTCACATTTGAAACCATTTCCTACAGAAAAAAACTAACCTGAATCCTCTCCTTGTTGTAATAGGTCTTCAAAATATCCTACATAAAACTAACCTTAATCCTTTCATTTTTGTAATAGATCTTCAAAATTTCCAGCATAAAACTAACCTCCAAAATTTCCTACATACAAATATTCCTCCACAATTCTCTACATTAAACTAACCTTAATTCTCTCCTTGTTGTAATAGATCTTCATGTACTCTTTGAAAGCTTTGTTCTGTGTCCTTTTACTTGGTTTAGGTTTGTTGTGGGTAATGAGAGCCCCATCTCTGATCTGTTCTATCTCATTCTCTCTCATCTCTAGCAGTCCATACGCCTGGAAGAAAGATTTTATTTATAACAACAACTGGGCCATCTCTAGTTTCATTTATTTTTCTTTCTTTCTTTTTTTTTCATGCTCAGTAAAAAATTTATTACTGCATCCTGTTTTTGATATTTTTTTTTTTAAATTAAATTTAAATTAACATAACATGATTAGCAAAATTTAAAACAAATAGTGAGAACCTTTTCTTTGATTATCTTCTCTTGCATTATTGCATCTTCTTCTTCGGGAGACAGAATATCAACAAAGTGTGAAAACCTACAAAATTGTGATACAGCAAAACAAAGGAAATATGTGATTTGTGCATAGTATAAAATGTGATACAAAAATTATAATGGATGGCAACTATAGTGAACAAGAGCTGTAGGGCAGACATTTTTTATATATTTTGTTTTGCTACTTTAAAGAGATTATTTTTAATATGCAGATAGCTCAGACCTAATGATGACACATTTTCAATATAAACTAATAAACTGATTCACATTTTTGTCTAACTAGGTACAATTTATTTGCTCAGTAAGAACTATCTACCGTAACAAATTTTTGCATCAAAATGAAGCTTAATATCAAGAATTGGTTAATTTTCATTTTTATATATTTGACAATAAGGAGCGGTAGCTATATTTACTGCTTCTGTTCTCTGCCTTACATCTCTATATTTCAGCCGACAAATAAATAGGTGGCTATTATAGTGAACAATCATTGATAGGTTATGATCACAGTGATCAATAAATGACATGCTACAATCACAGTGACCAATCATTGATAAGTTACAATCACAGTGAACAATCATTGATAGGTTACAATCACAGTGATCAATAAATGACATGCTACAATCACAGTGATCAATCATTGATAAGTTACAATCACAGTGAACAATCATTGATAGGTTACAATCACAGTGAACAATTATTGATAAGTTACAATCACATTTATCAATTAATGACACTATGACAGGCTACAATCACAGTGATCAATTATTGACAGGCTACAATCACAGTGATCAATTAATGACACTATGACAGGCTACAATCACAGTGATCAATTATTGACAGGCTACAATCACAGAGATCAATTATTGACAGGCTACAATCACAGTGATCAAATTATTCAAATTTATTCAAATTTATTCAAATTCAAATTTATTCAAATTTATTCAAACAACGGTTACAATTGTAGGCACAAAGGCCTTTTTTCACATTGGCAGTTCAAACAAATAAAACAATTCAATAACACATAGCAGTAACAACATAGCACTAAAAATGTGGAATAAAGAAACAATGTAACATAGCTATCATACATAATGAGATAAAAAAAGAGAATATAATAGATGAATGAGAAATGTTACAATGAGTCAGTTAGGTCATTAAATAGTTTTAGTTTTAGTTTAGATTTGAATATATTTTCAGATCTAGATAGCTTTATTTTATTAGGAAGATTGTTCCACAAATTAGAACCAGAGTAGGCGAAGCTATGTTTTTGGAAAAAGGTTGAATAAGGGAATGGTAAATTAAGACGGCGATTTAATTTTATGTTAAAAGAAAATAGATTTGACAAGTAAGAGGGGGCTGTTTCGTGGAATATTTTATATAAGAAAATTGATTTAGTATATATTATCTTTTTATTTAATGGAAGTATTTTAGTTGTAAGAAAGGAATCCAGACTACTAGACAAGCCAGTAACCAGTTTTATAGCCCTTTTTTGTAAAGAAAGAAGAGGACGCTGCTTAGTTATAAAGCTGCCGCTCCACACTACAGAAGCATAATCCAACCTGGATTGAATAAAAGCTTCATAAAAAACCAGCCTGCTCCTATAGTTGAGAAAGTTTTTTATCCTTGCTAATTGAAAGGTTGTCTTTAATAAGGACATTCTTAGAAAATGAATATGGTCAGACCAAGTGAGGTTGTGATATATAAACAATCCTAGGCATTTGTAACTTTCTACCTGTTCAATGTTTGAATTGTCTATAGTAATGTTTAATGCGGTGGATGGAAGACGAAGGCGTTTTTGATGAGTTGTAATAAACATTGACTTGGTTTTATCGGGGTGAAGTTTCATTTTGTTCAATTTTGTCCAAGTAGCAAGCTGATTGGCACACGTTTGAAGTTTGTAACTGAGTGACTCAGCACTGTCTGCAAAGACATGTAAAGAAGTATCATCAGCGAACATCTCGCACTGACCAGCGTCAATGTGTAATGGAAGATCATTAATGTATAAAGAAAAAAGTAAAGGACCTAAGATTGAGCCCTGTGGAACCCCTATATTAACATATTTCTGTGAAGAGATGTTATTAAGGTGAAACACGCGTTGAGATCGGTTAGATAAAAAGGAGTGAAGTAACCTAACTGTAAAGTCGTGGAATTTGTATGGAATTAGTTTTTTAAGAAGAATGCTGTGATCAATAGAATCAAAGGCTTTTCTGAAATCGACAAACAGCGAGCCACAGAGTAGGTTATTGTTAATATTTTTAAGCCAGTTTTCATTCATCTTAATCAAAGCAGTGTGACAAGAATGAAACTTTCTAAACCCAGACTGATTACTATGGAAAAGTTTATGCTTTTCTAGGTAGTTTGACATGAATTTGTTTATATGTATTTCTAGTGGCTTGGAGAGGGATGAAAGTATAGAAATTGGCCTGTAGTTATTAGCATCTTGGATGTTACCTTTTTTGTGTAGTGGTATAACTTTAGCATGCTTAAAATGTGTCGGGTAATAATGCTTGGCAATACAGAGGTTATAGACATAGGTTAAAACTTCGGAAATTATTGGAGCTGAAATCTTCAATACATTATTAGAAATATCATCAAACGAAGTTGTTGAAGACGGTTTAAGAGATCTTAGGCTAACATATACTTCATGAACAGTGAGAAGCGGAATGATCAGCTCTGTCCTACCACGGTGAGCAGAATTACAAAAATTTTTAAGCTCCTCACTGATTGTGTAATCAGCATCTGTGTTGAGCGCTACAGATGATATAAAATGTTTATTAAAGTCATCAGCAGATATCTGGCAATGTCCAGCTGTATTACATGTGCGTTTTTTTCTAATTATTTGATTTATGGCAGTCCAGATAGATTTGGAATTAGGTTTGCCTGACAGCAGCTTATTAAAATACTCCTTCTTCGACCTACGCACGAGCAGTTTTACATAATTTCGCTGCCTACAGAAGTCCTCAGAAGTTCCATAACGTTTAAGCCAGTCTCTTTTATTAATTGCAGATTCGATATTGTTGTTAAACCAAGAAGGTTTGTATGTAGTCTTAACCCTTTTAGAGATTTTAGGAATATGTTTGTCATATATAGTATAGAAAATACGCAGCCATTCAGAAATGGCAAGATCGGGACAATTATAATTGTATACATTGCAGAAGGGGGCAGCCAATAAATCCAAAAGAAAAAGATTTTCATTAAATTTTCTAAAAGAGCGATAACTTATAGTTATGTGTTGCCGCGAAGGTACACATAATCTTTTTGTCGAAAAAGTACAACAAACAGGGAAGTGGTCACTAACACCACAAGAGGGGACACAGACCTCAATTAGGTTGCAGTCAGGTGATGCGTATATGTGGTCAATTATTGTACTTGATTTATCATTTACCCTGGTAGCCGTGTGCACAAATTGTTTTAGATTCAGAGAATCAATAATATCTTGCCAATATCCTTGAGGTTTTAATAAATTTATATTAAAATCTCCCAAAATGATATATTCATTGTTAGTAGATAAAACGGTATCCATCATGGAGCAAAAACGATCATACCAATCCATGTTTTCGCAGGGATTTCTATATTATTGACGGCTACAATCACAGTGATCAATTATTGACGGCTACAATCACAGTGATCAATTAAAAGGGTACAATCACAGTGATCAATCATTGACAGGCTACAATCACAGTGAACAATCATTGATAAGTTACAATCACAGTGATCAATTATTGACAGGCTACAAACACAGTGATCAATTATTGACAGGTTACAATCACAGTGATCAATTAATGACAGGCTACAATCACAGTGATCAATTATTGACAGTCTACAAACACAGTGATCAATTATTGACAGGCTACAATCAAAAAGATCAAATATTGGCAGACATTTCTACCTGTAGCTGAACTCACCTGAATGAAGCATGAGCATGCTTGAGTCTGTTGACATCAGTTTTGTCCATGGCCCTCAGCCTGTTCTCACTGTACTCAATGGGCTCCTCAGTTTTGGTTGGTAGGAACTTCATACACACCTGTTTTCTGCGGTAGGATCTAGGCAGGTCTGGGGCAAGCAGGGAAATAATTTAATTTTTATTTCATGGATTTAGGCAGGTATCAGGCAAGCAAGGAAATCATTTTTAAAATCATGTCATGGAATATTGCAAAGCTGTAGTGTTTGCATAGTTCTCAATAGTTCTCAAATATATTTTTTTTAAATAAAAAAAAATATCCAACTTATAAATATGCAAAATGTACAGCTACCCACTAGTAATACTTAATAAACATATGTCCACTATTTATATGCCTGTAGGACTACTGCTTGGCCACTACTTATGCCCTATGCATTGTTGTTTTAATATCTATGCCAATTTTAGCTCACTATATGCCCCCATGGACTCCAGTTTTAATTACATCAGTGTAAAACACTAAGCTCTGTGAGCTAGATCTACTTACACTTGGTGTGTGAGATGAAGTAGAGGTGGTTGTTGACACCCACCAACAAATCACCTTTAGAGCTACAGAAAGCCACACTGTGGGGGATGGTGTTGATTTTCAACAATCTGAAACAACAATAAAACAATGTATTTGATATTCAACTGACAACCTTAATATTTAAAACAAAAAACATGCATACAAAATGTTATTAAAATAAATTTTAGACAAGTGTAGTGGAACACAGAATTATGTACTAGCTGATTTAGCTAAAATTAATGGGCAGATATAGATAAGGGATATAATTTTATATATTAGCAACTTTAAATTGCCTAGTCTTTGATAGATGATAATCTAACGTTGATATAACTAATTAAAACAACATTATTGTTCTATAAGTGTAGCCTTTCCATACCTAATTAGCACATTATTATGGGGCCTATGCCTATACTACCTCAATACCTAATAAGCACATTGTTATGGTTCCATATGTGTATAGTCCCATCCATGGAGGATGATGCGTAGATTTTCATACGTGGGCAGGACGACAAGCTGGTTATGTTGTCCATATGGTCATCATCTGGCCTGTGATCATTACGACCTACAGGATCAAATTAAATTTATAATTGTTCTGTTTGTTGATTTTACATTATTTTAAATGAAAAAGTTGCTTACATTAAGAACAAAGTTACTGCTTACCTATTGCTATTAAAGCTTTTAAAAAAAGTCTGGGAGATTGTGTGACTTACTGTTGTCTAGGAGATTGTACAACACAATGCTGTATGTTGCCGTGGAGATGTCTTGAAATGCCACACACAGATTGGTCTTTACCACAGACATGTGACTTGGTGTGTGGGCACAGTAAAATGACAACACTGGGGCCAAAGCTTCTTCAGCAAATGGGTAAACTCTCCAGATTTTTATAATATTGTCTGCCAAATAAAAATTATAGTTTTTTCGTTTAGCACTCAGAGCCCAACCATGATCACATACAGTAAACAGATAGAGGAACAGTTTGACATGTTTCAAGAAGAATAACATTGTGGATTGATAATGAAAATTATTTCAATTTAAAATGTTCAGAGTTTAATTTTTTTTTTTCAAAATTGTCAAAAAATTGTCAAAATTTTTCAAAAATGAAATCTAAAATAAATTTAAAATAAAACTGAAAAGCCACCTTTCCCTGCTGTGATCAGCTGATCATGTTTGGTGTTGGACACCATGCTGATGACACCTTTGTCACCATGGGCCTGAAAAATACAGTGAAAAGATATTCTGATGCTTCGCAAGCAGTGGGTCTCAACATGTTATATTGTATGGACCCCGTGGCTACTGATAACTTGTAGAATATTACAATAATTTATGATAATTAGAAGACTTTTTTACCAATATGATCTCGTAAACCTATTCAATATCTGTTGACTATATCTATAGGTACTAAGAGTGAATTAACTTTTGATTAAAATTAATGATTATTAATTTTAAAAATAAAATTTCAAAGTATTAAATTTTGTAAAAAAAAAGGTTGATCATGCCTAGCTTAAGTTTATGTGTAGTAACATACTGAAACTGTGAGTTTTGTAAAAAATGTTTGATCATGTCTAGCTTAAGCTTATGTGTAGTAACATGTTTGATCATGCCTAGCTTATGTATAGTAACATACTGAAACTGTGAGTTTTGTAAAAAAAAATGTTTCATCATGCCTAGCTTAAGCTTATGTGTAGTAACATACTGAAACTGTGAGCTTTGTAAAAAAAAATGTTTCATCATGCCTAGCTTAAGCTTATGTGTAGTAACATACTGAAACTGTGAGTTTTGTGAAAAAAAATGTTTGATCATGCCTAGCTTAAGCTTATGTGTAGTAACATACTGAAACTGTGAGTTTTGTAAAAAAATATTTCATCTTGTCTAGCTTAAGCTTATGTGTAGTAACATACTGAAACTGTGAGTTTTGTAAAAAAATATTTCATCTTGTCTAGCTTAAGCTTATGTGTAGTAACATACTGAAACTGTGAGTTTTGTAAAAAAATATTTCATCTTGTCTAGCTTAAGCTTATGTGTCGTAACATACTGAAACTGTGAGTTTTGTAAAAAAATATTTCATCTTGTCTAGCTTAAGCTTATGTGTCGTAACATACTGAAACTGTGAGTTTTGTAAAAAAATATTTCATCTTGTCTAGCTTAAGCTTATGTGTAGTAACATACTGAAACTGTGAGTTTTGTAAAAAAATATTTCATCTTGTCTAGCTTAAGCTTATGTGTCGTAACATACTGAAACTGTGAGTTTTGTAAAAAAATATTTCATCTTGTCTAGCTTAAGCTTATGTGTCGTAACATACTGAAACTGTGAAGGTGATCTCCCCTGTGTGCCAGTTAAACACACAAATGCTGCCATCCTTTCTGCCTCCAAGTAAAAGAGTTCTGTTTCTGTTGTTCTTCACTGCACCTGCCTTTGGTGTGCCAGGAGTTTTAGTCTCAGTTGGGTCAACTACGTACTCATACAACAGGAGGCAGACACACATTTCTGTAAGGTAAATTATTAGCATTAGATGTGCAATTTTGGATTTAATAAATAAAAACATTTTCAAGTATTTTATATAAAAATTATTTTGTAGTTTCTATTATTAATAATTAGAATAATTATATATTGAGGGGATACTTTTTATAATATATTTTAAATATTTTAAAATTCTAGCAGACAATCAGTTTTAAAAAGATTAAGAAGTTGGGTAATGTATTCATTGAAATAAGAAAATTGACATAATGTGTGTAACCAAAACAGACAAAATAATAAATCTGATTTAATTTTTTTCAAGCCAAATAATTACTGCAGCACCATTATTTTCCAACTCAGATTAAAGGTTAACCTGCTTGAAATTGATTTTATGCTATCATTTCATGTAGGGAAAGATAACTCTAATTACCTGTTGGAGTATTGCACTTCCATCTATCTAAAACATGGCATGGGTTTTGATCAGTTGCGGCCTTGACAATATCTCCATTAGCCATTAGGGCAAACAGTAGATCTAGAAAATAAAAACTTTGTTGGATAAAAGAGATAGCGGTGTACCTATTGTGATTTATTTGCTGTCCAATACATTTTTTTAAAATAATTTTCAAAAGTAATTTTAAAAAATAATTTAAAAAAAAAATAATTTAAAAAAATAATTTTAAAAAATAATTTTAAAAAATATTTCAAAAAATAATTTTAAAAAATGTTTTAAAAAATAATTTTAAAACAATTTTGAAAACGTAAAAGCTCTGACCTTCTGCTATGGCGTAGGCAGCATCCACTAACCCATCTGTTGGTTTCATCAGCAGGGTTGTGATGACCTCTCCATTAGCTGGACACACCAAGCGGACGCTTGAATCTCGACACAACAGAACAGCTCGCCGGGGAAAACACGGGTGGTCTGTTGTTTTGATTCGTGTGACTCTGTAGCTACAGCACAACAATTTAAAAATTTGGATTTCAAGCAGCTTTTTAATGAATCTAAGTACAGATTTAATGTACATGATTAAAATTTCAATTTCTTATAGACAGATGTTTTCTGGATGTAATAACTGATACTAGTTTGTCAAATGATAAAATAATGTGTTGGTGTAAATTATGTAAGTAAGCAAAGTTCCTTTTTAGACCTAGCGATCCATTGGGCAGATGAAGTAGAGTTAATGTGTTTCTTTACCTCAGCATATGAAAGGATAGTATGGTCAGCACTATGCCCGGCCACCTTTACTTTCCCTAACATAAGTCAGGTATCTATTTGAGCTCAGTGGACTCAGGGATGTTCGACAGGCACAAATCCAAACTGAGATCTCAACTCGAGATCTTCAGGCTAGCAGTCAAATGCTGTACCATTTGACCACACCATCCCAAGTAAATTATGTGCAAGGTTAAAAAATTATCAGGCTGCCTATCAAGGTGTAAACTCATTTGGTATAATGATAAAACTCATTTGGTATAATGATAATGTATCATATATCCAATGTTAGTAAATCCAGGTTGCCTTATAATATTATAACAAGAACCATAACCAATGTTGGGTAAGTTGATGTCAAATGAGTATGTCCCTAACGTAGGTGTAAATTGATGTTGTAGAGTTACATCAAGAACCCAATGTTGGTGTAAACTGATGTAAATTTATAAAATATTTTTTAATGAATGTTTGTGTTAACTGATGTAAAATGATAAAATATTCTGTTCTCTATAATGGAGAAGACTGATGTAAATTGATTTTGTAATTTGATAAACTGATGTAAATTTATAAAATATTTTTTAATGAATGTTTGTGTTAACTGATGTAAAATGATAAAATATTCTGTTCTCTATAATGGAGTAGACTGACGTAAATTGATTTTGTAATTTGATAATGGTTTTGATATCATATACCCAAGTTGGTGCAAATTGATGTTATAAAATGATCCCATACCCAATGTTGGTATGCATCTGTAGGAGATGCTGTAGCCGCCAGAGGTCCACCCTCCTGCCTGCGTGGGTGTAAATGATGTCATAGTCTGTCTGAGTGCCCATCCCTTCAACTGGTTCACTGACGACAGTCCTGTGGACACAGGTAGTGACAACAGGGTAGTGACAGGTAAAGAATGGATTCAGGTGATGAGTGCAAGTTCACTAGGGCAAAGTGTTGGGTACAGGTGATTGTCACAGGTAATGTTTGCAGGTAACGATAGTATGCGATGGACCCAGAGGGTAGGTGCAAATGATGTTACATTAAAAAAGCAAAGTAGCAATGGATTGACACAATTTAAAATATAACATACACACTAATTGTTGCAGGGTCAAAATTTTAATTAAATAATTTCTCATTTAAATAAAGAACATAATTCAAGGGTTCATCTCAAGGCTTGGGTTCCATGGTTCATACCTAGGCTTAAGATCACAGGGTTCATGTGTAGGCTTATGATCATAGGGTTCATATTTAAGCTAATGGTCATTAGCAAATACACTGTAACAAATACATTATAACAAATACATTTTAATAAAAACACTGTAACAAATACATTGTAATCAAAACACTGTAACAAATACATTGTAACAAATACACTGTAACAAATACACTATAACAAATACATTGTAATAAAAACACTGTAACAAATACATTGTAACAAATACACTTTAACAAATATATTGTAACAAATACACTGTAACAAATACACTATAACAAATACATTGTAATAAAAACACTGTAACAAATACATTGTAACAAATATACTTTAACAAATATATTGTAACAAATACATTTTTATAAAAGCACTGTAACAAATACATTGTAACAAATACACTGTAACAAATACACTGTAACAAATACATTGTAACAAATACACTGTAACAAATACATTGTAACAAATACACTGTAACAAATACATTGTAACAAGTCCATTGTAACAAATACACTGTAACAAATACACTGTAACAAATACATTTTAACAAATACACTGTAACAAATACATTGTAACAAATACACTGTAACAAATACATTGTAACAAATACATTGTAACAAATACACTGTAACAAATACATTGTAACAAATACATTGTAACAAATACACTGTAACAAATACACTGTAACAAATACATTTTAACAAATACACTGTAACAACTGAAAAAGCTGGCCTCACTTGTCAATCTCATCAAAGGTTTCCATACTCCAGACACGAATGGTGCAGTCCAGGGAAGCTGAGATGAAGGCTGAGCCATAGGGGTAGATTCTTAAAAAGTTGATGGCTTTACTGTGGCCGACAAAAACCATCTGAACTTTCCAGTTCCCATCCCAGACTTTAACTGTTGAGACAGAGTATGATGGTGAGTTGATTATAAAGTGATGTGTTGATTATGTGGTGATGTTGTATTAATTTTAAGGTGATATTGTGTTTATTATAAGGAGATGTTGTGTTTATTAAAAGGAGATGTTGTGTAGGTTTTAAGGTGATGTTGTGTAGATTATATAAAGTGATACTGTGTAGGTTATAATGTGAAATTCTGATTATAAGTTGATGTTGTGTTGATTATAAGGTGATGATGTGTTCATCATAATGTGATGTGTTGATTATAAGGTAATGTGTTATCATAAGGTGGTGTTGTGTAGATTGTAAAATGCTGTTATGCTGATTTTAAAGTGATGTGTTTATTGTATGGTAAAGTACTAATTACAAGGTAATTTTCAGTTAATTATTATGAGTTGTTGAACTTATTACATAAATATTAGATAGGAAAAAGCATGTCGAGTTTCTAAAAAATTTTTTGGATAATGATGAGTTCAATAGATGCTAATACAAGAATTGAGTTTTATTTTGAAGATGATAAAACAAGTTTAATGGCCAAGTAGTTTTGTAAGCAAACATTTCAAAAATTGTTTAGACAACTCACTGCATCCATCCTTAGCCCCTGTGATGAGATATTTCAGAGGGTTGAAAAATACCAGAGCTGTGATAGGCTGGTTGTGGAGGTCCTTTTTTCTACACACCTCCAGGCCAGAGAAGACATTATAAACCTGGTTGATTGAAAACATGAAGCCAAGATATGAAAGACAAATATAAAACAAAAATATAAAACAGCATGAAACAAATAATTAATACATTATATTGTAAACCTAGTTAAAAATAATGAAAAAAAAAAATGAAACATGAAAAGCAAGTATTCAATAGAAAACAATGTAAATCTCTTCCAACAAAAACATTCAACAAATATGTCAGACACACTGTAAACAAATGGTATAAAATTAGATTTAAACAGACCTTCAAGCACACAAAACACAAATATATTGAAGAGTGCATAGTCTGTCTTCAGTAAATTGATAACTTTAAAAAGGTTTACAGACAATTAGATAATTTTGGGAATTACCTCAATTATCTTAACTATACAAAACAAAACAAATTTTTTTTAAATCTTCACCTACCACAAGACCACATCCCAAAATGAAAAACATCCTCTGTGACTTGCTCGCAGTTTCCTCTAGCACCATGTCAGTAAACATCTGGTCCCCACCAAAGTTTGTCATGGTAGTTTTTCTGGGGGTCAGGTATCTGGCTCCATAACGAAATGACCACGACTGAAGAATATATAAATATGTCCAGTTATACAGTCAATCACACCAATTTACCAACACAATTGTCAATTACCAACAAACGTTTAAAATATCATGGCAGTGAGTTATCTAGTTTCTTGTGAAATGACTAATGGTACATTAAACACCAAATTTTATAATTTTAAAAATCATTACATGCAAGTATGCATCTAAATTAACTGCAATTAAATATGATGTGATTGTGTGCTGTTAATAATTATAATTTGTAACTAATGCTTGTTTTAGGCTCTTCAGATAAGTATTTTATTTATCTTTTTATTCATTTGGCAGTGTAAAAAAATATAATATAAGAAACAATAAAATTAACTAAATAATAATTACTACCCTATGTATTCCTAAAAATTTAAAAATGGGTCTATATGTTGAAAGGAAATAAAAATAATGTACTTACTGTAATGAAGTATGGTCCAACTGTAATCATCTCCCCTTTCTTTTCATTATAAACACCTATCAGGATATTTCCTACTGCTTTGGACTGAGATGCAACAACAAACTCTTTTGACATCAACTGAAATTAAGATCACAATTTTAACATGGTACAATACGTCTTCTCATTGGGTTTTCATGACATTACGAAAAGACATGTTTTCACTGCCCAGCTAAGTCCAAAATAAAGTTACTATTTGTCTTTTTGAATAGTTTTTAACCACAATATTGTGTACTGACAAAGGCCTTGGGTCGAAATGTTTATTGTACCTGTTATTGTCTTGACTTTGCAAGATACTACTACCCATTTTATTACTATTTACATAAATCTCACTGTAGCTACCATCTTTAACAACACTATAAAAGCCATCCTTTACAAGTTAATACAAATTATTTTTTTTATGGGAATACTTTTTGCATGATCAGCTAATCATGTTAATGTAAAAGTTTCTTACATGAATACATAATAAAGCATTATTTGGTGTGATCTTTTTAATAAGTACTACTTTTTAGCGCAATTTCCATATGGACAATTGCGATAATTAACTCGTTTCTGTGTTTTTTCTTAAATTATTATTTCACTGCTTAATCAAATCTACACCTCATCTTTTGTTTGTATCTGAAATTGAACGCATTTATTTAGATTAATAATGATTAATGTTTTAGTTCCAAATCAAACTTAGTTCCATCCTAAACACGTCATATTCCTGCTGAATACTGAATGATCCACATAAAATTTTTGTTTAGACTAGATAACTACAACTAAAACATAAAATCAATGAATGATGAGTTTTAAAAACATATAATCAACAACTGCATGCAACATGTAATCAATACCAACTCACATAGAGATCTGATTGATCCTGAAGCCAACCCACAAACTGATTTGTCTCCTTACAGAAAACGACCCGATTGATTTTAACCTCAGGTTGTGAGACGTCTTTCTTTAAACCATCTTCATGGAAAAAACGAAACGCTTGTCCATCGAATGTCAGATATTCCTGTAACAAAATTTTAACAATCAAAACAGTAGATCCAATTTGCATTCTTTATTAAACACATCAGTACTTGAGTCACCTTAGAGAAAGTAAATACTGCTTCGTCTAGAACTAACCACATTATCCCTTTACCTAGGTCACACAAAAATGGGACCTATTTTAACTGCCCAAATGTCTGTCAGATTCAAAAGGATTTTGTAAACTGATCATATTAAGGCATATTCATGCTGTAATTTTAATAATAAAAACAAACATTTAAAAATAAACCAAACCTTATATTCTGGGATGTGTAAAACCTGAATTATGTTCTTGTGATGATTCAGTTTTCTTTCTCTGTGTATGCCATGGCTCAGTACTAGGTCCTTGATATCAGACTCTTCTACTCTCTAGTAAATAAAAAAAGTAAAATTTTAATAAAATAAACAACATGACAGTGGGCTTAAAAAGTTACTTTATAAATAACTTGTTATAAGTATCCAACACAAGGATATCACTAATCTAAACCATACAAGATGGTATTGTGCAATTGTATACCTTTACCCCTAGAGTCAAATATTGGTTTCCTGATGAATTACTGCCACAAACAGAGAAAGTAAAGGTGGCAGTGTGTATTACTGACTACACAACCTCTTGATTTGTAGAGATCAAATGAACAGAAATACTCTATTTTATCTGCATTAACAACTATCAGTTCTTATAGAATACTTTAATTTTAATATGACCAATATATAACTGTTACCCATGTTGTGAAAGTCAACAGCTCATACATAGATTCCTATTAAGTGATTTTCTTCCACTGATAGTTGTAATACTCTACAGATAGCTTGAGCTGATCAAAACATTGGCATTACTGGCTCAGAAGTCAACCAGTGCAGTAACACAGGATGCCACCCACCTTTTCCACCAACAATATATATATGATCAATGTTCCCTCTAAGCTGCACAGTTGCGCAGTGCACAGTATTTTTTACCCTCCCATGCAGACATTTTGTAAAATACATATATCCTTGTATAATACTTTTAAAACACCAAGTGCACAAAATACATGAGGCACACTAGTTTTTTCCACTTAGAGGGAATGTTGTATATGATGTACTAAAACTATAAAACATTATTCCAGATTGTGTCTCATTAAATATACTAGATTTAATTGTGATGTCACATTCCCCCCCCCCCCCCCCCCCCCATGGATGATTTCCCCTTAAACACATACAGAAATCTATGCCTAATTAACTCACTATGCAAAATGAACAATCTATTCTAAAAACTAGATCATATTTTTTGTTGTACCTTGGTTACTGCCCAGACAGATTCTCTCAGGAGACCCCAATGATGGCGAGCTTTTCTTGTAACTTCATCTTGCTTGCGCTTGACAAGTATCTCTAGTTCACTGTTATTTGTTGTGTCTCTTTTGAAATCATTTTCATCCTGTGATTTCAAACTACTGGGTTTAAAATCGACGTAGTTCTGAATAGAACTGCTGATGGTGGTCATGGTTTTACAATGCAGAAATCATCTCCTCTATTGGCATTGTTCCTCCAATAAAACATTGCCTTTTTAGGGCAGATTACATTTTCTGTTTCTGTAGTCAGTGTAGATAAACATAGCTGAAAGTTTAAAAAATAATTTGTGGCTTATTTTTTGCCTCAATTACATTATTACACCATAGTGATATATTTTCTATTTCACTTTACAGTTTTTAGAAATAAAAATTGATGAAGTGAAGCTTTTAAGAAAAAAATAGAATTAGGCCTAATTCTAATTCATAAGGCCCTAAATTATAAATTATATTAATTAATGATTAGGGGAACCCCCAGGGAAAGCGGAAGAGAGGGCGCCCAAGACAGACCTGGAGGCGGAGTCTTCTTGAAGAACTGAAGCCAATAGGGATGTCTTGGGAGATGTCAAAATTAATAGCCGAGGATAGGAAGAAATGGAAGGAAATGGTGAAGGCCCTATGCTCCATAAGGAGCAAAGAGGACTAAGTCAAGTAAGTAAGTCAATGATTAGGGGCCTATATTGCCCTATAAACAGTGAGAGCTCATCAAATGATTTATTTAATTGTTCATAATAATAACTAACTTAAACTATCTATTAATTAACATTAACTAATAACAAAGAGAAAAAAGATATGATGCTGTGTCATTTTTACTTTACTAGACATTACTTCATTATTTTGTTTTTGTATTGGCATTGGTTTTTTGTTTGTTTGCTGCTTCTTTAATTATTAATCTTTAACTAGCTCTAGATCTACTTTGCTTAAATTTTAGGCCTAGGCCTAATTATTAAAGTTTTAAATTTAAATTAATATTAAATTATTTAAAATTAATATTAAATTATTAATTTTACCGGCTCGGTCACAATAGTTAAATTGATAAATTCTGTTAAATCCTACTTTTAAAAATAATAGGGCCTACACACTACAATAGTATAATCAACATGCACGTCGTAATTTAGATCCGAAGCTATGTTTTAAATGCACGATATTTCATTTTTTTAAAGTTAGAGAATCTGTTATACTACCGTTCATTATTCATTTATTTATTTTCTTGACCACATTTCCGCTTTAATTTCTTGTTGTCAGAAATCCCCATAGTAGCAGTAAGTATTTGGTCTTTAAACGCAGAAGAGCGCTTCGTTAAAAAAAAATCTCTTTAAAAAAATATGGTACAAAATATTATTTTATTAATTAGAAATACACCGTTTTTGATGAGAAGAAACACAGTGCAATTGGAAAAGTATTATATGGTCAATAACACTACAAAAATGCTACATTTATATAGAATCAGATATTTACTTTGCATTTACAACTTTGAAAATGTATAAATATAGAATAAGGGAAGTAACTCTTAAGTGACTATGTAAATGTTTTTCTCTCCCTTACATAAATGGCTTCGATTGTTAAGCACATCTTGTAGCGTTTTATTTTTAATAAATCGCGATTGGCAATATGACAGCTGTTCAATATTACTTTTCGTATTGTGCTTACCAAAGCTTTAATATAGAAATACAAAATATAAAAACCTAGATGCGTTGGAAGGCCTGCTTAGAGCTGTTTGGTCGAGTGATTGCACAATTCTTATTTCGCCGCTACATGATACGCAATTTCTTCATCGTTATACAAAGATATATTTGTAAAAACTGCTATATTGTAGGCGGTGTTTCTTCCAGACTTTTTTCTCCGGGGGGGGGGGGGGGTCACTTGATATTTTCGGGAGGTGGGGGGGGGGCGGTCAACATATCCGGGGACGACGACACTGGTAAAAGTATATGTTTTCTATATAATTCTATGTCATCCGGAGGGGGGGGGGGCGGTAGACTTTCTTCGTGGGGGGGGGGGCACTTATATAGTCACACACTTATATAGTCACACACTCACACACTTAAATATCCACACACTCACACAGTCACACGCTTATATTGTCACACACTCACACTTCTATAGACCCACTCTCCACACACCCCACACAACTAAAACCCCACACTTTCACTCTCACAGAACACACACAACTAGTGGCAGTAACCCAGGGCGTCACCCCCTGCACCAATTACATTACAAATGACGTGCAAAAGCTATAGGCCGTTTCGTGTCACCCCCATCACATATTGTTGCACACTAAACATAAAGATAAAGTATAGACATAAAAGTATATTAAATAAACTAGAAACATCAGAATGTATCATTAAAATTATATTTTGTTTTGGTGTCACCCGTTGGATGGTGCTGTCCCCACCTCTGCCTTGTAACGCTACTGCACATGACCATAGTATCCCATACCACCCCAGAACCCCCCCCCCCCCCACACACACACACACACTTTAATTCCCCATTTCAGTTACCCACAATCCCCTAGATATTTATTACCTTCTACATACCTGCACACACGTCGTTCCTGGACCCACACATTCCATAAGCCTCCCGCACATTCTATAAGTCTCCCACCCCCCCCCCCCCCCAGGTCAATAAACAAACACCCCAACCACACCAACCCCACCAAACCCCACCACAAATCTTTCTGAACCCCTTATTACGGTCACTAACACCCTCAATCAATCACAACAACAATTTTTAATAAACATCCCATTATCAACTGCGAACACGAACCACCCCACATCTACAAACTTATTTTCCTCATTTCTTGTCAAATCCACCCCTCCCCCATTCATCACCGGCTGACATAAATTGATGTTCCGGTCTTTGACCGGCTTATTTTTATTGCTTGCGTTAATTCTCTGCCGGTATTGTTATCTCGAACGGCAGCCCTCCGATCCGTCAATTTTTCTGCACCGCTTAGCTCAGCCCTAGGCCACGATTAGCTGCACACTGAGTCGCTTCCCCTTTCAACTATCTCCCCTTGAAAATTCGCAGCTTAAAACTTAAAAACAAGCGGGACAAACGATCTCTTTGGAAGCCGTTTTGTTGTTTGAAGCATGAACGTCTCTGAATAGCTGAGAATTCCTGCAGACGGCTTTAACCCCCTCTCCCCTACTCCTCCATTTCTTAACCACTACTCCCACCCCTTCCCCATACCCCTACCCCCAAACTAACCCCCGTTCTTCTAAATCTGTCCCTTCTCAGTTTTAACTTGAAGCCCCACAAAAGCACCACTGGCGAGTTCAAGTAAAAAAAAAAATTAGCTCACCCACGCAGACGTAATGCGAATCTCACGCGCGTTTGGCCCCCATTCTTTGTCGCCCCCCTGCGATCATCGTGTTCCCCCACCCCAAACATGAGTACCAACAGTGACCCCGGGGTGTTCAGCGGTCTATTGTGGTCACTTTTGTTACAACAGTCCCCGGTAAAGAGTCGGTCTCCGAGTCAATGTCAACAAAATCAGCGAACCGTATCAACCGACGAAGACATTGAGCCGCAGCCTCCGTCGTTTTTGACTTTGGTCGCGAGCAGGTTGGTGATACACGAGTATCATTTCCGGGAGTTATCAACAACCCGGGTTGACCCACCCTTGAGGTTGACCAGGGAGGGAAAATAGAAATCCCACCCTACATCAAAGAAGACGATAAATTGCGAGTGGTTTTCGGTTAGCCGTACCAATGTAATTGAATACCGTTTGACGCAGGTGCGCCTATATCTAGGATTAGCGTTATGGCTAGGGTTGGAATCACCGATGCTAACAATGTATCTACAGGACTGCAGTGAAACTTATTTACCCGCCCCCTCCCACCCCACCCCACATTCCAAACCTCTCTCTCCGACTCACATACACTCTTCAAATCCCTTCAATCGCTATGTCTTGATCAAACGATCAAGACGTTTTCATTTCACAGATGCCAGCAGAAATGTATACAGATCTACATAGACCGTTATTGAAACAAAGGTAAAGATCCAAACGACTCATAATTAGGACACATCATCTGTTTACGAACTGAGACGCTTTTTATCGTGCTAAAAATGTATCGCCCCACCCCACGCAAAGCTGACCCCCACCAGTGTTTCTTCCAGACTATTTTCTCCGGGGGGGGGGGCACTAGAAATTTTCGGGGGGGGGGGGGGGGGGTGCGGTAGACTTTCTTCGGGGGGGGGGGGGGGCGGACACTGTTAAAAATTATAAATTATATAAATTTCATTTCGCCCCCAATGTATCTTCGCCCCCCCCCCCCCCCGAAGAGATGCCTGGTAGAAACTCTGACCCCCACCCCCTCAATTGGCCTTAACGTACTGGCGACACCCCCCCCCCTCCCCTCCCCCACTGAACCAGCTAACAAGCTGACGTGTACATATAGCTTTTCTCCATTAGCTGTGAGACTGTGGACATGCAAACAGCGCCATTTGGTAATAAAACAATCCAATCAAGGCCCCCATCCCATTTGGTTAAAAATATTGAAATCCCTTTTAAAAAAATTACTTTTTAACCTGATA